ACCTTGTTGATGGTCACGAGACTTTGGTGAGTCTGGACGAGGTGGAGGTGAGGGTTCTCGTTTCCTTTTTTGCGGTGATCGAGCACGCTTTGGGGGAGCTGCCTCTTGTAAGGTTTCATCGAGGGCGATGTATTTGGACACCCGTTCCTGGAGATCCATCATGTTGCGGGGACGCCGCTTTATGAGTGACGCTCGGAGAAGAGAGTTGCTTGTTCAAAATACGAGGGCATGAGTTGCCTTTTCCGTGGTTAGATTGGTAACCCCGACAGCAATCGTGCTGAACCGAGAGTAATACTCCTTAAGGGTCTCGTACTCCCTTTGTTTAGTGCTCATGAGGCGAGACACGTCCACATTTGGCCGTTTCTGGGCAAAAAACTTGGCTCGAAAGAGGGTGGCGAACTCCTCAAAGCTGGTGATTATGCCATTTCGCAACTGAGTATACCATTGAAATGCCACTCCCCGGAGGGTGGTGGGGAAGAGTTTGCACATGGTAGCGTCAGATGCCCCCACGAAAGGCATCAAAATCTGGAAGGCACTGAGGTGATCCTCTGGGTCAGAAGTGCCGTAGTATTCTGGAAGGTGGTGAGGCATTTGGAAGTTCGGGGGGTTGGGCTGATCCAGGATTGAACGGGCCAAAGGCTTGCCGTGCCCAGGGTCCGCCATGAAACTGAGAGTTAGGTGGGCCTCAAGGTATGCGAGATCCCCTGGTTGGGGAGGTGGAGGAGGGATTGACGTCCCATTGGGATGGGCTGACCCTCCGGTGGTCTCCGGTTGGTGGCTAGAGCTGGCATGCAGCCCATGGGTTGGAGGAGGAGCTGATGTCAATGCTTGGACTTGGGCTTTCAACTGCTCAACTTGGGCTTGAAGCTCTTCAACAGACGGTGGAGGAGCTGGCTCTTTGTCTCGAACTCCGCCGCCAGTTTGGGGGTGTAGGGAGCTTTGAGACTCCATCCTGAGCGAAGTAGTGGCGCTAGGTTTTTTTCAACCTTTTGCTCCGGGGCCCCACGGTGGGCGCCAATTGTTGATGCCGGGGTTGTAGCCGACGTCGAATTTTTTATGCTGGGCACCGGAGTCGGTCGACGGCCACCTTTCACCTCGGACTTCACTCGTGATGTTAGCTCCGGTCGTCTCCTGCAAAAAGGGTCCGCCGGCCGATCTCGGCGGGGACACTCTCCGACGCTCAAGTTAGTGAGGGTGTTGAGTGGAGAGGAATATGACCTCGAAAAGAAAGATGAGGGGATGGAGTTGAGAATGAATATCTGCGCTAATCATAACGCGAGTTCACGAGTCTAGGCATGGGGAATTTTTGCTTACCTCAATCTGGAGACGAAGTGGCCTTTTATAGAGGCTCCCAGGCGAACATGAAGGGAGGACGTGTCTCCTTCGAGAGCTTGGTGGTTTGGTCGGTGGACGCGTTGCGGGGGTACGTGGCTAAATGTTGAGGTGACCTGGGGTGGGCGGAGAGCCCAAGGTATTTGACCCCGGAGTGGCCGGAGTGACCCAAGGTATTTGACCCCGGGGGTGGCCGGAGTGACCCCAAGGTGACCCAAGGTATTTGACCCCGGGGGTGACCGGAGTGACCCAAAGGTGACCCAAGGTATTTGACCCCGGGGTGGCCAGAGTGACCCCAAGGTGACCCAAGGTATTTGACCCCGGGGTGGCCGGAGTGACCCAAAGGTGACCCAAGGTATTTGACCCCGGGGTGGCCGGAGTGACCCCAAGGTGACCCAAGGTATTTGACCCCGTGGTGGCCGGAGTGACCCAAAGGTGACCCAAGGTATTTGACCCCGGGGTGGCCGGAGTGACCCCAAGGTGACCCGAGGTATTTGACCCCGGGGGTGGCCGGAGTGACCCCAAGGTGACCCAAGATATTTGACCCCGGGGTGGCCGGAGTGACCCAAAGGTGACCCAAGGTATTTGACCCCGGGGTGGCCGGAGTGACCCAAAGGTGACCCAAGGTATTTGACCCAGGGGTGGCCGGAGTGACCCCAAGGTGACCCAAGGTATTTGACCCAGGGGTGGCCGGAGTGACCCCAAGGTGACCCAAGGTATTTGACCCCGGGGTGGCCGGAGTGACCCAAGGTATTTGACCCCAGGGTGGCCGGAGTGACCCAAAGGTGACCCAAGGTATTTGACCCCGGGGGTGGCCGGAGTGACCCAAAGGTGACCCAAGGTATTTGACCTCGGGGTGGCCGGAGTGACCCAAAGGTGACCCAAGGTATTTGACCCCGGGGTGGCCGGAGTGACCCAAAGGTGACCCAAGGTATTTGACCCCGGGGTGACCGGAGTGACCCCAAGGTGACCCAAGGTTAGGGCTGCAAATGAGCCAAGCCGCTCGCGAGCAACTCGGCGTTCGAATCGGGAAAAACTCGTTCGACACTCGACTCGTTGTTTAACAAGTCGGCTCGCGAGCCAGCTCGTTAGTAAACGAGCCAAGCTTGAGCTAGGCCATGCTCGGCTTGATAAGCTCGTGAGCTAGCTTGACTCGGTGGCTTGTTGATCTAAGCTCGCGAGCTGGCTTGTTTAAAGCTTGTGGAAGGATTCATTACTCTTCTGAACATGAAAATTATCTTGTTAATAAGGATGTTTATGGAAGTTATATGTTATTTTTAGTTTTTAGTGTTCTTTTTATCATTTTTAATTTCTAATGTTCTTATTTTTACACATTTTTCAGCAAGAATGGTTTCAAATCGAGCTTATCTTGAGCCGAGCTTGTACTCAGCTTGACAAGCTGTGTTAATGAGCATTTACCGAGCTCTATCGAGCCGAGCTCGAGCTGGATTATTTTTAATCGAGTCGAGCTCGAGCTCGAGCTGGATGATCAAAATTCGAGCTCGAGCTAAAAAATTTATAAACGAGCCGAGTTCAAGCTAAGCAAAAACTCGACTCGACTCGGCTCGTTTGCAGCCCTACCCAAGGTATTTGACCCCGGGGTGGCCAGAGTGACCCAAAGATGACCCAAGGTATTTGACCCCGGGGTGGCCGGAGTGACCCAAAGGTGACCCAAGGTATTTGACCCCGGGGGTGGCCGGAGTGAGCCCGAGGTGGCCGGAGTGACCTCGGGGTGGGGTTGTTTCCGTCCAATAAAATAAAATTTTCTTAGGGTCCACCAATTTGATAGTTGTTATTCTGTGTTAACATGAAGAAGCTAGAGTCATGATTTCAATATCTTATGAACAACATGACAATCCATTTTATGTGTTTAGCATGTTCAGTTAAAGACCGGATTGGTCATTTGACATATGCATTGGGGTTGAAATATCTTTTGCTGAGTTTTATGAAAAAATCAATAATTTTTTATGTAATACAACTGCCAATGTCATGTTGCGAAAATCAATGGTTACTTCATTATTACATTATTCATAGTAATAATTTCTCATTATAGCTACAACCAATGTGTTAATTCGAAAAACTAGAATGAATAAAATTATTTAAAAACAACACAATGTCATGAAAATATTATATTTGTATGCTATATATAAAATATGTTGAGAAAAATAATGATAATTTCTAGACACAATACATATGCATGTGTATCATCGGGCGAGTTCGGGTTGGATAGTGAGAAAACCATGCTCGCCCATTACTTGCAATATCCGGGTTCGGGTTTTACTAGTACCCGCCAAAAATTCTTCGGGTTCGTGTTTTACCCTACCCGATTAGATCGGATTCAGACGGTGATGAATGCACGGATCTTGACACCCGAGATTATCGTGATTAGGAACATAAATAAGGAGAGATTAGATGAAGATTTGGGGAGAAGAAGAGAAAGAACTGACCGACGGCTGATTTAGGAAGAGGAGAGGAAATTGGGGTTGGGAGATACGCTAACCTATTCTTTGATTATTTTCTTGATTGATAATCCCGAGGAAAGTAATTAACGTACAATATATAGACTCTTAGGTGAAACCCTAAACGACTTAAGCCTATCAAAATACTAAACTACCCTTGACTTAATACGTGCTTCCATAAGATGGATATCCACGATTTCAAACATTTTTGTCATCCCTAATCAACAGACACTTGCGTAAGAACTGAAGTCGAGCAAATCAGTACCCAGTAAGATAAAGGGCACAAAGCCTAAAATCATAATATCAAATAAATGATTTTTTTTTATCGAACCTGTGTGCTACTAAAAGGATAAGGACAAGAGAGAAACAAGGATTATCCCTGAAATTCAAAACTAGCGACTTCAAATTGAAAACCTACTGTACGATCTTTGAGGTAAATACCACATTTGGTCACTGAGATTATTAAATCGTGTCATGTTTAGTCACTAGAAAAATTTAATATAAATTTAGGTCACTCGAATTACTGAAACACGTCACATTTAATCACTATCCCGTTATCCTCCGTCCAACTCCAGTCACTCGAATTACTGAAACATGTCACATTTAGTCACTCGAATTACTGAAACAAGTCACATTTAGTCACTCTCCCGTAAGTTTCCGTTCAACTCCATTTATTGATTGGGCAGAAACTAATCGGAGAGTAACTAAATGTGACTTGTTTCAGTAATTCGAGTGACCAAAATTGATATTAAAATTTTCTAGTGACTAAACATAACACAATTTAGTAATCTCAGTCACCAAATATAGTATTTACCCGCCAAATAAATGAAAATTGAATCACAAGTCACATGATGCAAGAAGGCATGGATCTTGATTCTTGCCATCCCTGAATCCACTCGAAACGAGACAAGATTAAAGTAACCGGAAGCCCAAAATGTCAACCCATGGAATCAAAACTGTCAATTCCTGTTCCCGTTATGAGGCCCAATACGAGAGAAGAAGAGATTCCAAATCACGGGCCCAAATAGTTAACCTCCCCCAAGAAAAGTAAAAGCTCTCTGTTTGACCAAATCTAATCAGTAATCAGTAACCAGAGAACTGATTGTAGGCGCCCTTTTAGCGTCCCACTTTCCTACCAAAAAAAAAAGAGAACTGATTGTAGAGACTAGAGAGGAGGTCCAAGAAAGAAAGGAGCTCAGAGGAAGAAGTCTAGAAGTCGCGAAATAGCTTAGCTCCACTAGCTGAGCGTAGAAAACGCGTCGTATTTTTCAAACAGGCCAAACCGCCAAAGGACACACACCACCCACCTCTAGGCTCTAAGCCTCTAACCCACTCTTTCTTCCCCTTTTTAATTAATCATCCATCACTGTATATTCCTTCTTGTCCACGGAGCCACGAAGCCATGGCAATGACTTCCATTGACTTATCGCAACCATTCCTCCTTATAAAAACCAGCACACCAAAAGCTTCACCCACCAAACCTGTCATTCAAGCTCTTAACAGTTGACACCAATCTCTCAAACTTCTCCACATCTCGCCTAGCTCGATTCCATCTCCTCCTCTGAAGCTCAATCCTCTGTTTTCCGGCAAACGGAAAAAAAATGAAGGTACGGTTAATTACACTGTTTGTCTGTTTCTGTCTTAGATTCATTATGCTGTAGATAATTAATGAGTGCTTAATTGCTGTTTTCTGATCTAGATCTACTTGTTTGAACAGGTTGTGGTTCTGAAGCTGGATCTGCACGACGACAGAGACAAGCAGAGAGCGATGAAGAGAGTCACCGGGATTTCCGGGGTCGACTCGGTGTCGATGGACATGAAAGACATGAAGATGACGGTGGTGGGAAACGTGGATCCGGTGGAAATCGTGAGCAAGCTGAGGAAGCTGTTCCCGACGGAGGTGGTGTCGGTGGGACCGCCGAAGCAGCCGGAGAAGAAGAAGGAAGAAGCGCCGGCGGCGGCGAAGATAGTAGAGGAAGGAAAAGACAAGAAGAACCCTCAGGGGCCTCCTCCTCCCGTTATCTCTTACTACCCTCCTCAGGTCAACGGCGGTTACTATTACAATAATTACCCTTATCAACAGCAGAAGGGGTACGGCAATTACCCTTACCACCAGTACGGCGGCGCCGCGCAAGTCGTCGGCGACGATCCAAATTCTTGTGTCATTTGTTAACTAAACTAATAGTTACCGGAATTACAGTATTTTATTTCCTTTTTTTAGTCTCTCCGTTAGCGACGATGACCTCAGATTTAATTTCTTTTATTAAAAAAAAAAATTGGTGCATTTTGTGGGTTATTTGTCATTTCCGTAACACTGAAAATATGACGGCAATATCGCAAAATACCACCTTAATTTTACACTAGCTTATAACTCGTCCCATTGACCGAAATGTTCATATTTGATTACCTATATTTTTATGATATGGTTAAGTAAATCAACCCGTTTAATTTTATTTACAATCCTTCGATCGAGATGATACATAACGAAAATAATTATATAGGTCGAACATTCGGAGAAATACCATCATCATTTAAGAATATACAGTATAAAATGTATCATTAATTCCATTTTCATAATAATAATTAAGCCTCCGTTAAAATGCTATTGGTTAGTTGATTGTCAAGAAAGAGAGTATAAAAGCTCAGTGAAATTCCACACGACCCATCAATAGTTTGAAACTAAATCTTAAACCTCACAATCCTACATAAGGGTTCAATGCGCTCTTTTTTAGCAACAATATGTCACTAATCAAAAAGAAATGGAGAGTTGTTGATTCAAGTCAACTATAAACCTCACAATCCTCCGATTTTCAGAGAGTTGAACTTCGTTTATGTTTTGTATTAAAAAAGATACAACATATTTGTTTAGTGTAAATAATTAATTGTCTTTGTTCGAAGAGACCCGAGTTCAAATCCTGATATTAATATTTTTTATGTGAGATAAATAATTAATTATAAAGACAAAAATATCCTTCCTACTTTTTCATGACAGAAAATTTAAAATGGAGAAAATGGAAAAGTATAATTTAATTTATCGTTGTTATAAAGCTAGTGGAAATGTAAGCAACTATAAGAGAAGATTGGAGGAGGAAAGACACAAGAGAAGTGAGGGGAATAATTCTTCTTATTCATACACCATTTGTGATACAATAGTGTGCTCTATTTATAGGCACCCTTTGGTAACCATTACATCAATGCATATGAATTAGAGATAATAATATAGGAATGGGAGTTACATGTAACTCCCAAGTGAGCATCTAATGTGGTAGGTCATTGGTCATCCAAATATAAATATTTACATAATACTCCCCCTTGGATGACCACTAGATTGCATTATTACGCTATCTCATGCTGCCTCATTAAAAACCTTACCAGGAAAACCCAGTGGGAAAAACCATAGTTAAGGGAAAAAGAGTGCAGCGCGTATATGCTCCCCCTCATGACCACATCAGCTCAGATCTTTGAGTCGTCGAACTCCAATTTCACGAACAAGCTTTACAAAGATTGTCGTTGGGAGTGACTTGGTGAATAAATCTGCTAGATTCTCACTTGAACGAACTTTTTGAACAATTATTTCACCACTCTTTTGAAGATCATGAGTGAAAAAGAACTTGGGTGGAATATGTTTTGTTCTATCTCCTTTAATATATCCTTCCTTTAATTGAGCAATGCATGCTGCATTATCTTCATACATGATCGTCGGAATCATTTTTCCTAGAGATAGTCCACACGATTCTCTAATGTGTCGAATTATAGATCTTAACCAAACACATTCACGACTTGCCTCGTGAATTGCTAGGATTTCAGCATGATTGGATGATGTGGCTGTTATAGTTTGTTTTGTGGATCGCCACGAAATGGCTGTACCACCACAAGTGAACAAATATCCTGTCTGAGATCTACCATTGTGAGGATCTGAAAGATATCCTGCATCTGCATATCCCACTAAATCCATCTTCGATGCACTCGAATAGAACAAGCCCATATCTGTCGTTCCTCGAAGGTAACGGAGTAAATGTTTAACTCCATTCCAATGTCTTTTAGTGGGAGAAGAGCTATATCTTGCCAATATATTCACAGCAAACGATATATCGGGTCGTGTATGACTGGCTAGATACATTAATGCTCCTATCGCACTAAGATATGGCACTTCAGGGCCAAGCAGATCTTCATCACTTTCTCGAGGTCTAAATGGATCTCTTTTCACATCAAGTGATCTTACAACCATTGGATTACTCAACGGGTGTGATTTGTCCATATAAAATCTCTTAAGCACCTTTTCAACATATCCTTCTTGATGCACAAAAATACCATCCTTCAAATGTTCAATCTGTAATCCAAGACAAAACTTTGTTCTTCCTAAATCTTTCATTTCAAACTCTTTCTTCAAGCAATCAACTGCTTTTGGAAGCTCTTCGAGAGTTCCAATGATGTTTATGTCATCAACATAAACTGATATTATAACAAACTCACTACCCGATCTCTTTAGAAAAACACATGGACAAATAGGGTCATTCTTGTATCCTTCTTTCATCAAATATTCACTGAGACGATTGTACCACATTCGTCCAGATTGTTTCAATCCATACAAGGATTTGTTCAATTTGATAGAAAATTTTTCTCGAGAATGTGTTTTGTTTGCTTCTGGCAAAGTGAATCCTTCAGGGAGTTTCATATATATATCATTCTCAAGTGATCCATACAAATAGGCTGTCACAACATCCATTAGACGCAGATCTAGTCCTTCTCGGACTGCTAGACTAATCAAGTATCGAAACGTAGTTGCATCCACCACAGGGGAGTATGTCTCCTCATAATCAATGCCAGGTCTCTGTGAGAATCCTTGTGCGACAAGACGTGCTTTATATCTCACGACTTCACCCTTTTCATTTCTTTTCCGCACAAAAACCCATTTGTATCCCACTGGCTTTACGTTTTCTGGTGTAAGGACTACCGGTCCAAAAACCTTTCGCTTTGAAAGCGAGTTTAATTCCGCCTCAATGGCCTCTTTCCACTTTGGCCAATCATCTCTTGATTTGCATTCATCAATAGATCTTGGTTCATGATCCTCATTTTCATTCATCACACTCAACGCTGCAGCGTAAGCAAAAACATCGTCGACGATTATTTTACTTCGGTTCCAACATTTTCCATCCAAGACATAATTGATTGAGATCTCTTCATTATCAAAACTCTCAGGTACCTGATGTTCTTCGGGAACTACAATCTTAGTTATGCTTGGGGACTCTTCTTGAGCTTTCATATCCTCGATTTGATCAACTTGATTCATAGCTCCTTTTCTTTTTCGAGGATTTTTATCCTTGGAACCTACTGGTCTACCACGCTTCATTCGTGGTTTAGATTCATTTGCAATTTCAGATTGTCCAACAGGGACATCAACTTTCACTGGAGCATTTACAGCTGGTATGTGTGACTTTATCACTCTTTTCTGGTCAGTAAACGAATCCGGCAGTTGGTTTGCTAAACCTTGTAAATGAATTATCTTTTGAACTTCCAGTTCACATTGTCTAGTACGAGGATCAAGGTGAGATAATGATAATTCATTCCAACAAATATCTTTTCCCAGCTGTTTGTTCTCACCCCCTAATGTTGGAAAAACTGATTCGTCAAAATGACAATCAGCAAAACGAGCAGTGAATAAATCTCCCGTCAAGGGTTCTAAGTATTTTATGATTGACGGAGACTCATATCCAACATAAATTCCCAACCTCCTTTGAGGACCCATCTTAACACGCTGTGGTGGAGCAATAGGGATGTAGACGGCACACCCAAATATTTTTAGATGGGAAATATTAGGTTCCTGACCAAAAACCATTTGCAAGGGGGAAATTTCATGATAACTTGTTGGCCTTATGCGAATTAATGTTGCCGCATGCAATATAGCATGTCCCCAACAAGATATTGGCAAGCTTGTTTTCATAAGCAATGGTCTTGCAATAAGTTGCAAACGCTTAATGAATGATTCTGCAAGGCCATTTTGTGTATGAACATGTGCTACAGGATGTTCAACATCAATCCCAGTGGACATACAATAGTCATTGAAAGTTTGTGAAGTAAATTCACCAGCATTATCTAGACGTATTTTCTTGATTGGAAAATCAGGAAAATGTGCTCGTAGTCGTATCAATTGGGCAAGTAATCTAGCAAACGCCAGGTTGCGAGTTGATAGTAAGCACACATGTGACCATCTAGTTGATGCATCAACTAAAACCATAAAATATCTAAATGGTCCACATGGTGGGTGAATTGGCCCGCATATATCACCCTGTATACGTTCTAAAAATGTGAGAGATTCACTCCTTACTTTCACAGGTGATGGCCGTATAATCAACTTGCCACGAGAACATGCAACACATGGTACATCTTTAAACTGATAAATTTTGTGACCTTTCATTGGATGTCCACATGTATTGGCAATGATTTTCCGCATCATAATCAATCCGGGATGGCCTAACCGCTCATGCCAAACTATAAAATTATCAAGATTTGTAAACTTCTGGTTTACCACTGCATGTGTTTCAATTGTACTAATAAACGTGTAGTACAACCCAGAAGAAATAGCAGGCAATTTCTCCAATATGTATTTTTTATCGGAGACCATATTTGTTATCATAATATACTCTTTATTCTCTTCTTCCTTTGTCTCAATATGATATCCATTTCGGCGAATATCTTTGTAACTCAATAAATTTCTTTGAGACTTTGAAGAGTATAAGGCTTCATTGATATACAACTTGGTTCCTTCTGGTAACAATACACTAGCTCTTCCGGAGCCTTCAATTAGATTTGTACTTCCAGATATAGTACTAACATTTGCTTCTCGCATTTCAAGATGAGAAAAATATTTCTTATCCTTCAAGATTGTATGTGTCGATGCACTATCAATAAGACACACATCATGGTTTTTGATCTTGGTGCCAAGCATGGGAATATTCATTCTTCACAAAAGATAGAAAGTAAATCAATATAAGAAAATATCTCCAAATAAATATAAAAAAAATGACATGATTATAATGGATGAAATTTAACCACATAAGGATTATAAAGAGAAATTATATTAAACTGACAAATTAATAGGAAAAACACACTTAAGGAAAACGACAAAGAAGGTGAAATTTCAAATGGGAAACCTACATTTTTCACTTGTGAACAAAGCGACAACGAAATAGAAATTTCAAATGAAAATGCTAAGTTTTTCACTTGCGAACATTTCCATCACCAATCAGGTGATCTATTTTTCCTTCAGGGTGGGCAAAGAAGTCTGACACATCTAGATGAGTAGCATCATTATAGTCTTTTCCTGGATCATCTTCCTCAAAAATACAATTGGTTTCTATCTTCTTCCCTTTCAATGATTCTTGGTAGAGGTTAACCAAGTGTTTTGGCGTACGACAGGTACGAGACCAATGACCTTTTCCACCACAACGGTAACACACATTTTCGACGTGTTTGTTACCATGAACACTTTGTTCCTTGCTTCTTCTACCATCATTTTTTCCACTTCTGGGGAAAAATGAGCCTTTGGAACTTTCACCACGGCCATTACCACGACCAAGATCTCGGCCACGGCCACGGCCTCGAGCATGACCACGCCCACGTCCTCGTCCATGTCCGCGTCCATGTCTTTGCCCATAAGGATATTGGGTGAACGTCGCCGCATTCGCTTCTGGGAATGGGGCGGCACCAGTAGGACGAGATTGGTGATTTTTCATTAGGAGCTCATTATTTTGTTCAGCAACAAGGAGACAAGAAATCAGCTCAGAATATTTCTTGAAACCTTTCTCACGGTATTGCTGCTGCAGGAGCACATTGGATGCATGAAAAGTGGAGAATGTTTTTTCCAACATATCTTCATCAGTAATATTTTCTCCACATAACAGTAGTTGTGAGGTTATTTTGAATAGCTCTGAATTATAATCACTCACAGATTTAAAATCTTGTAACCTCAAATGCATCCAATCATAACGAGCCTTAGGAAGAATCACAGTTTTTTGGTGGTCATACCGCTCCTTCAAATTAGTCCACAAAACAAGTGGATCTTTGATCGTAAGATACTCATTCTTCAATCCCTCGTGGAGGTGATGTCGAAGAAAGATCATTGCTTTAGCTTTGTCTTGATCTGATGCTTCATTGCCCTCTTTAATCGTGTCTCCAAGACCGTTGGCAGCTAAATGAATTTCAGCATCTAGCACCCATGATAGGTAATTCTTTCCAGTGACATCAAGAGCCACAAACTCAAGCTTTGAAAGATTCGACATACTATCATAAAAATATACACAAATTAAAGTTAAAATTCAATAAATAAATATAGATTACTATCAAGACAAACAACTTATGTGACCCATGATATATCAATTTGATATTTTTACAAATATATAAATAAATTCGAATTTCACAAATAAAATAATATATTAAGAAGGAAATTATACCTTTGCATTCTCAAACAAAGATTTCATGTGTTGATTAATAAAGGAAATTATGTAAATTGAAATAGGACAATAAAAGAAACAATTTGGGAGAATTGACATACCTTGAGCAGAACAAATATGGATTTAACCTTTTCAAAAGGAAGAGTCTCGTGCTGATAACGTGTTATAAAGCTAGTGGAAATGTAAGCAACTATAAGAGAAGATTGGAGGAGGAAAGACACAAGAGAAGTGAGGGGAATAATTCTTCTTATTCATACACCATTTGTGATACAATAGTGTGCTCTATTTATAGGCACCCTTTGGTAACCATTACATCAATGCATATGAATTAGAGATAATAATATAGGAATGGGAGTTACATGTAACTCCCAAGTGAGCATCTAATGTGGTAGGTCATTGGTCATCCAAATATAAATATTTACATAATAATCGTCATTTTTTCTCGCGTTGGATTTTAGTTTTTTCCCCCTTTATGGGTTACCTCTAAAACGGCCCATGGGCCTAGATAAAAGGGGCAGCCCAACCGAAGTATAAAAGACTAGATTTAGACGGGTTTCCGTCCGAACTACGGAATTACGAGATTAGCCCCGGTTTCGTCCTTTGTATTTTGATTTTCAGTTTTATTTTGTAACTTTTCCTGGTTCCGTCCGAGTGCCGACGCCTTTCGTCGGTCTCCGTCCCCGCTTCCATATGCCGGCGACAACGCAGCTCCGCCGTAGCCGATGGAGAATCGGCCGCAGACAAACACCGAAACACGAGCCAGGAACTCTCAATTTCCGTTCTGCTTGTTTCCATTTTTCCATAGAGAGTGAAATTCAAAAGCCGCAGATTCTCAATCTTCCATGAGAGTTTTTACTATTATTTTACCTTCTCCTTTGTCGCAAGTTGCAATGCGAGTAGTCGATGTCTCCCATCTCGCCACGTGAACAAGGAGACGGCAAGACTAGAATAATCAAAAGGTGGACGAATCCACGGTGGTCGAGATGAGTTGGCCACTTTCGTAGTGATGAGCGATTCAAACAGCTTGACCAATGGCCAATGGGGCTATAAAACTATTGACATAACTACGTAGTTTCAAAAGGCAACAAGAGGCCAAGAGTTTCAAAGTGGCCAACCCACCATAAAAATACGACTTGCTGCCGTGCTGTTTCCAGGAAAGTGGAAGTAACCTTTTTGTTGCCTTTTCTTCATCCAGGCAAAAAGGGCAACAAGTGCCACCGCTGGAAAGTGCGTGAGGAAGTTAAGTAGGGATGGCAATTTTGACCTGACCCGATTTACCCGACCTGTTTGACCCGTTTTGGGGCGGGCATGGGTACTTCTCATCGACCCGACCTGCCCTGACCCGTCCCATTTTCGACCCGTTCTTGCCTAAATTACATATAATATTAGTCAAATTACTTAAGAATTTCCTCTTACTACATTATATTTTAGTTATAATAAAGTTGTAAATAAGTGAAAACCTCAATTTCTTCAATAATTTAACTACATTTTATCATATTATGGTTTCTTTCTTGGTCTTTCAATGAAAAGAACGAATATTTCTAATTTTTTTTCACATAAATTACATACCCAATGGGTCGACCTGCCTCGACCCGCGCCCCATGATAAATTACCCGACCTGCCATGGGGCGGGTATGGATATTGAGATACCCGCCCCGGACCTGCCCATTGCCATTCCTAAAATTAAGGACATGAGACGACGTCGTATTTGAAATGCCCAACTCACACTACCTAGCTTGCGTCGTGTTGCTGCCTTCTGGGGGGCAACAAGACAGTCATTCAGTGCTTGATGAGTGAATGAGTCATGAGTGATGACCCATATCAAAAGGTTGCACTTTCTTGTACGTGATTATGATCTATATAAGACAACGTTTCAAATAGTTCAATTTCCATACATATTTATATCTTTTAATTATAAGAATGCAGTGCAGATTTAATATGTGTTGTTTAACATGCAAATAATGAATTTTTTTTTGTCCAGCGTGGTGCAAAAAATGTTTTCCTACAAAAATAAATCAACTTTGGGATTATTAAAAGTAGAAATAGAGTGGTGCACTGCTGATTGTGACTTTGTTTTTAATGGAAGGTATTGATTGTGACCTTAAAGACGGCAAATAAAATAAGTAACAGTAAATGGGGGGTTTCCAATGCAATAAACTAAATTGTGGTACCGAACTTTTTTTTAGGCAAAAAAAAAAAAAAAAAAACATGAGAGGACATTACAACAATATATCGAACTTTTTTTGGTGCAACAATAATAAAATCAAAACGACGATACAAATAATCGTTAGAACAACAATTTGAATCTTCCGCAACCCTCACAAGTAGGGATGGTAATGGGTAGGGTCGGGTGCGGGTTTACCCTATACCAACTCCTAACCCGCCAGGTAGAGCCTTCTAAAATACCCGACCAAATAACCACCGGGTATGAAAATTATATAACCATACCCTATAACCACGGGTATTCGGGTAACCATGGGTACGAATTCTAAACTATGAACTTATACACATATATACACATACATACTGTTGTCCATTAAAAATTCTCAATACTTGTAACTGTTCTAGCTTCAACAATCTCCACAAATAAAAATAGCAAACACATAATAATTGTTCTTGCTTCTACAATCCACACAAACATAATAATCCTCTACATCTTCATCATCAATAATGGTAGCTAAACTCAAATTTTCAAGCTAATCTAAATTTCTCAAGGGAAATTGATCTTTGCTTAGCGGGGAGGGTATTATCGATTACCATACTCGTACCCTACCCTTTATTCTGAAACCGGGTATTACCCATACCCGTCAAAGCGGGTAATTACTCTCGTTGACCGGTTACGATCGGGTAGGATACCCATGATTACAGGTTGAATTGACATCCCTACTCACAAGTCACAACACCCTGTGAATGAAGTCCAAACCCAAAAGGCCAACTAGATGAAACATGAACCACAAGATACAAGCAGGCAAGCCATCTTGCTTAAGGATATAGCGCCCGAACACTAGTATCAAACTTCAAATTAACCACTTTTATATATTGATGTACGCAATTATAAGAGAATGTGATGAAACCAAGTACCACGTGTTAATGAACAGTAGTACTATAGTGTGCATCTAGCTAGCTTTTTAACCTCTGTAAAAAGACGACTAGAGCAAAGGGACAAAAAGGAAAACCCCCCAAAACAGCCTCCTCTACTGAATATCCGAGTTTAACCGCACCTTAAATCTTTGATTATCTCCCCAATACGCAATGTGAAAATCCCCGCAATTAAAATAGTGGTAAAACGTTGTTTTCAAAGAGATTAACACAGGTTGGAAATGGCGATGGGATGATAATGTTGTGGTGTTTGTCGTCAACCGCCCGCCCCTTCTCCCCTCCTCCTCTTGACGATATATTCCATCAAACCTTGAGTTGACCCTTTTCCCACCTCTCTTCCGAGTTCTAACCTCTCTCTCTCTCTCTCTATAAATCTCTCCATACATCTCTTCAATTTGCAACAGTTTCGACATAAATCTGCAAGATTGTGCCCTCGATCTGCCGTCAATTTTAATTTTTTTTTCCTTCCCTTCAGATCCAGATAGCAGTTCAGAATTATGAAGGTCGGTGTTCTTTACTCTCTAGCTACTCTTCATATTTCCACTCTTTCTTAGGCTTGAATATTCCCTTTTCAAAAGCTGGCTGATTGCTAAAGCAAATCCATGGCTGTGATCAATTTATGGGTTTCCTTTCAGTTTTTTTTTACTTTCTTTTTAACACGATCTCGACTCTCTTTCAGAAATTAGTGTTGAAATTGGATATGCACGATGACAAGGACAAGCAGAAGGCCATGAAGATCGTCTCTAGCCTTTCAGGTACAGATCAATCTCAAATTCCTTTGTTTATTATGATAGAAATTTCAGGACACATATGATCGCGATGTCAATTTCAAATTTTCTTACTTTTGGATAATCATTAGTCCATAATTCGAATATGATTCGTACTAGTGAAAGTTTTTTTTCTCTCGTTTGGGCGATTTTGGAGGAATTTGTTTACTTTTTATGTATTTTACGTTTTTTTTTCATTATTTGAGTAATTTTTGTGCATTTTGTTCATTAAAAATTCAGTAAAACTGCCTATATAAAGTCATAAGACGCACTTTTATTGATAGTTTGATTGCATACGGACTACAACTTATGATTAGAATCAATCTTGTTACCAAGAAGCAGTGAGTTTTGAGCTATATATTCTGTTTCTCTTAAGCATCAGAATTTGTCTGGATCAGATCCGGTAATTAATTACTTCTCAAGACAATAATTATGGGTGTGATAATTAATTTGGATCAATGATTGATTGCAGGGGTGGACTCAATCGTGACAGACATGAAGGAGAGAAAACTGACGGTGACAGGGGACATTGACCCGGTCAACGTGGTGAGCAAGCTGAGGAAGTCGTTCCGCCGGACGGAGATCGTCACCGTGGGGCCGGCGACGGAGCCGAAACCACCGGAGAAGAAGCCGCAGGGAGAAGGCGGCGGCGGGGGAGGCGGGCAGCAGAAGAAAGACGACCAGGGTAAGGGCAAGGGCGACAATCAGCAACAACAGCAGCCGAAGAAAGATGCTGCCGATCAGGGGAAGAAGAAAGATGGGCCGCCGTCCGGCGGCGGGAATTCCAAAGAGGCCCCGCCGCCGCCGCCGGCGGTCAGGGAGATTCCGTACGGGATGGTGAATTATCATGCCTACAGAAACGAATACTACCCTCCGCCGCCGATGACCACTTATTACTACGCCCGGCCGCCGCCGCCGAGTGCGGAGGAAGACCCCAACTCTTGCGTCATCTCGTGACGTCGTTTCACCGGCGGGGGAAGAGAGTTTTCCCGGCGAGTTTTAGCTTACATGAAGAATCGTTTTAAAGATAAATGTCTAGTGCTTGTACAGAATGTCAGGCTTGGGTTGTGACTTGTGAGACTGTGAGAGCTTTGTTCTGTTCTTGATGCTAGCTGGATTTTTTGGCCAGCTTAATAGTTGTTGCTAGGACCTTTTTTTAATAGTATTTTGATGGTTGTGATGTAATTTACATGAGACTGAATAATGCATTGGAGGTCTATGTAATGATTTAGGGCTCTAATTTTTCTAATCAATGCGAGAGATTTGTAGGATAAATTTACGTATTTTTCTCTAGTAATTTTGATAGGAAGGTACGATTAACCACTCTATTCGGTTAATTTGTGTTTTGGTTCACGCAACTTGTACAAGGACATTTTATACTTTTCTAGGCTTCAGCTTGTGTAAAAAACAAAAAATTCGCTTTCTAAAAAGAATGTATTGTAGTTTTTATATTTATGAATGACGATATCTTACAATACGACAATATAAAACATGTAAATCATCGTGAACTGGCTGAAATGAACCCCACTTACTTATCTCAAATGCTACCACGAACATCATTAGCAACTAGTACTACTCGTAAATGATAACATAGCTTTGAGTTATCTAGGAAAACATTGCATAAAGTGGTCGTTTGGATGGATCAATTGAAAAAACGAGATAATTTGACCAATTGTCTAATTTTGCAAAACGAGTCATTTAAAACGAGTCAATTTGAATTGTCTGCCCCCACTCCAGACAATTGTAATTGCCTCAAAACGAATCAATATAAAATTTTCCAGGTAAAATTGCTTCACCTAAAATTTGTGCTGCCAAACAGATCAATTTGATCAGATATTTCAAAATGAAACAATTGGATCAAATTGATCCGATCCGTTAGAATTCATATACTTAGTCATTTGCGTTGAAAAGGGGAAGCCAAGAAAACCTTTTGCACTTGCTTACTCTCTTGACCAAATGTAGGGATGGAAATGATATTGGAAAGAGTCGGCTAGGAGCCTTGGACCAAGTGCAGGGACGGAAATGCAAAAGCTTGGGGATGGGCCAATCCAGCTTAAGAACCGTGTGAGAGAGATTGCAGAATCGGTAAAATCGACGACTGAGGAGAGAGTGCCAAAATTATTGGCCGTCTTTGCTCGCTTCTTTTTGGAGCTTTGGGTTTCTCGTTTTCTCGCCATGACATCATACGAAGAATATATGAAGGCTTTGGATCTCCTGCAGGCGGCAGATTATATTGTTGCCGGTTTTTGATAGCGTCTTTTGGTGCTCAATCTCCCAGCTAATGGACAAAGAGTGGCTGGCTTTGAAGTTATCTGAGGGGTTGTATGCGGGCAGGGAATAGAGGGCCGGGATGTCTCTTTCGAACAATTCAAGTCCGAATTGGCAAGAATATGGCCAAATTTGAAGCTTCCAAAGGAGAAAAAGCTTTTTAATAAATTAATCGACGTTGTTGTGTATCGATGTCTGTGGCCCATCTCAGAAGAAGTTGTCCAATCTTTCAATTCCCAACTGCAGCAATCCGACTGTTTGTGTGTGTGTGGGCTTTGTTTTGAATGCCAAGTTCACACGTTACTTGGTGAAGAAGGTTTTAGCTTCTCTATGCTATCAAAATTTTTTTTTTTTTGCCTTCTGTTTGTTATCATGTTGGTTAGTTAAGTGCAACTATGATATATAGAGAAGAGTGGTTGAAGTTGAGTAAAATAGAGTGTAGTGTTGTTTCGAAACTGCGATCTTGATATTCATTATAGTTAGTTGGAGCGATAATAGTATTATGTATAGTTAACATGTAGATTTATCTATATGAAGGTGTGCATAATATGTCACCATGCCAAGTAACCTGACCGAGCAGACGGTATATAGCACCTCACATAAAACTATAGACAAACTATTGTACATGTGAAGAAAAACATGATTGAGAATTGTATTGTTTTGGCTAAAAATACACTATAAAAAAAATAAGAAAGATATGGTAGATTTATTCTCGAATACAATAAATTATCGCTTGTTAGACGAGAAAAACCTAATAAAGAAGTGGATTTTTGCCAATAGGTATCCAACCTAATTCAACCTGATCAAAACTATTTGAACTAAATGTTGACGAGTTTTGGGTTGGAGCAAGTTTTATATGCTTTTCTAATTGGCACGTTGGGTCGAATGTGAATTTGTTCCAAAATCAATTCAACCCAATCAAAGCAAGTTGAACCTGGTTGATAACAAGTGAAATACGCTATTTTATATCCTCGTATTATGATCAAAAGGCAATGTGGGCCAACTTGCTGAGATAGATGACGGGCTTTGCTGTTCTAGTGCATTGATTTCCCATCTTTAGCATCATATACTTTGGATTTGCTATATATGAATGCTCAAAGCGTGTTTCAGACTGTTTTTGTTATTAAGCTATGCTTCTGGTAGTGTTTTGTGCATTTTCAGGTCAAAGTAAGGCCAATGTACCACTTGAGAGCTACGAGGGTTGAGTCATCCGCCATCCACTTAAGAGCTACTAGAGCGAGTTTCATCTACTTTTAATTTGTAGTTGGTGGGTTGAGTCGGGTGTGAATTTCTTAAAACTCGACCAGCTTTCCATCTGACACACAAAAAAAAAAAAAAAAATCAAACCGAACAAAGCGGGTTGCATATGATGTTGATGTGTTTTGGGTCAAAACCTAGTGTTAACTGCTTTTGTATTTGGCGGGTTGGCTAAGGTGTTGATTTTTTAAAAAACCTCAACCCGTTTTCCATCCGACCCGCACCCAAAGAACAAAACAATGTCATTTTACAAAGATATATTTATTTGGGTAAACACTAATTATTAGAAATATATGCATGTTATAAGTCTTTATGGTAATATATAATTTAAATAGACACAACCAAATCAAATTTGGTCAAAGCGGGTAGAATTGATTAGTTTTGGGTCGAGAGCAAATTTTACCAACTTTTGTGATTGGTGGTAGGATCCAGTGTGAATTTTGTTTAAAAATCAGTTTGCTTTTCATTTGACTCGCAAAAAAAAAAAATGTCAAGTTCCTGGTATAATTTGTAAAAAAAAAACCCTTACTGTCTATACCTTTTGGAAACATATTTTTATTGTGAGATGACATAACAAAGAGTGTTTTAAACTATTACGTGACAAATCGATAATGTTGTTAAGAAACTATGAAAATATAAGCAACTACAAGAGATGATTAGAGAGGGAAAGACACAAGAGAAGAGAGGGAAGAGTTCTTCTTATTCATTCTTCACTTTTGATATAATGGTGTGCTATATTTATAGGCACACTTTGGTAACCACTACATCCTTATATCAATGCATATGAATGAGAGATAATGATGTAGAAATAGGAGTTACATGTAACTCCCAAGTGAGCATCTAATGTGGTAGGCCATTGGTCATCCATATATCAATATTTACATAATACTCCCCCTTGGATGACCACTAGACTGCATTACGCTATCTCATACTGCCTCGTTAAAAACCTTACCAGGAAAACCCAGTGGGAAAAAACCATGGTGAAGGAAAAAAGAGTGCAATGCGTATATGCTCCCCCTCATGACCACATCACTTCAAATCTTTGAGTCTTTGAACTCAAATTTCACGAGCAACTTTTAAAAATATTGTTGTCGGGAGTGAGTTAGTGAACAATCTACTAGATTGTCAATTTGATCCATGATCTTCAGATTTTCTTCATACATGATCGTCAAGATCATTTCCTTTGAAAATAGTTCACAACCACAAGTCCTTTAGGTATGGTGAATCACAAAGTGTAACGGAATATATTCAGGACTTGCCTACTATAGTTTGTTTGTTTCTCTATGAAACACTTATATCACCATATGTAAGAGATATAGCTCATCTCCGATCAACCAATATGAGGATCAAATGGTACATAGAATTTGGATATATAATTCACCAAATCACTCTTTGATAATACCACAATAGAACAATCGCATATATTGTTCCTAAAGATAACAAAGTATTTTCCAACGTTCCATGGAGGGAAATATTGTATTTTGCTAATATTATCAACACCAAAATGATATTTTTTATGGTGTTTTGCTAGCAAGGTTCATTGGTGCTCTGATGCATCAACATATGGTACTTCAGGACCTACATCAACATTTAGTACTTCAGGACTTAATGATTTACTTCTTTCTTGTTGCATAAATGGATCTTGATCACTTCTAGTGATCTTAGAATCCTAATGTTATTTGATGAACATAATTTGTTCATGCAAAATTATTTTTCCATTTTTTCAGCATTATCTTCCTTGCCCATCAAAGGATCTTAAATCCTTCAATTTAACTTATTTCTCTAAGCAATCAACTGATTTAGGAAGCTCTTCAGGAGCTCCAATAATAGACATATCATCAACATAATATGAGATGGTCATAAAAAAAACTTGACTAAAACAAATTGAAGCAAGCAATTCTTTCATATCACGAAAGATATTAACAAAACACACATCATAGAAACATACGAACTAGACAAAGCACACTCATAAAACACAACTCATACTTTAAAGTAAATCACAACTCATAAATCAAGAATTTAAAATCCTTGAAGCACATACAGACAACACAAGTATATATGCACAATGCAAATGCTCTAATGACTCTATCCGGATTTAACCTTTTAAGGTCCATTCACCCTACTGTTGTAGGTGTTCACTTAGACGAGTATTTCACATTCGTCTATATTTTCTCAACCCATACAGGGGATATTCTTAGTCTATCATTATATATTCTCGAGAACTTTACTTGTTTACTTCAGGTAAATTAATCCTTCTAGGAGTAATTAATCCTTCTGGGAGTTTTAAATATATTTAACATCTTCAGGGAATTCAAACAAATAGGCTATCACAATAATTTTCAAACATTGATTTGAAAAAGTAGTTGCACCCACCACAGGGGAGTATAAATCCTCTTAAACAATGATAGGTCTTTTCGAGAAACCCATTGCAAAACATTGTGTTATATCTCTCACAATTTCATACTTTCCAATAGCACAAAATTTTGTTTGTATCCCGCTATTTTTGCCCTCTTTTAGGTGCAAGGACTTCTGGTCCTTAAACTTTATGCTCCTTGAGCAAGTTTCATGATTTCTTTCTATATTGGCCAATAACATTATCATTTTCATGCATCAATAAAGTTTTACTCTTGATCCTCACTTGTATATATCATATTCAGTACTGAAGTACAACAAACAAATTTCGTCGACAATGACTTCATTTCGGTTCCAGTATTGTAATCTAATATGTTTTTGAGATCTCTTCCTTTTCACAACTTTCATAGACATGTGTTCTTCTAGAACTAAAATTATACTTAATTCTTGGTTACTCTTCTTGAGTTTTCATGTCCTCGAGTTGACCATTCTAATTATAGCTCATTTTCTTTCTCGAGGATGTTTATCATTGGAACCGATTGATCTATCATGCTTCATGCGCTCTTTCATACACATTTTTTATTATATTAGAGTATCCAACAAGGATATCAAATTTAGTTGGAGCATTCACAGCTAGTATATGTGACTTGGTCACTTCGTATGGCCAGTAAATGCATTTGATAGTTGGTAATGATAATTCATCTTATGAACTTCAGGTTCATGTTTCTACTTTGAGGATCAAAACTAGATAATGATAACTCATTCCAACTCATCTCTTTGTCTAGCTGTTTTTTTTTCCTCTCCCCCTTAATGTTGGGAAATTAATCAATCAAAACAATAATTTCGCAAACCAATTTCCCATTTGGGATTCATACCCAACACAAATTCTCAATTTCCAACGAGAATCAGCTTAAGATACTGTGGTGGAGCAATTGGGATGTATGCGCACACCCTTATATTCTCATATGAGAAAGGTTAAGTTTATGACCAAAACCATTTGTAAAAGGGGAGAACTTATGATAACTTGTTGGTTAGATGTGAACCAATACTATCACTTGCCAGCTAGCATGTCCTCGACAAGAGACCAGAAAGCTCAGTTTGTTCTCTTAAGCAAAGTGATGTTTGATTGGATAACCATCACAATGTATCCATAGCTAGTGAGGCAACCAATATCGCAAACATCGGGTTGCGATTAGATAAAATACATGTGATCATCCATTTGATGCATCAACCCATAAAATTCACAAATGATCCACATGATTGATGTATTGTTCTGCATACATATCCATAAAATCTCAAGAGATTTATCAACTCTTTTACAAGCGATGATCAATTGTTCTATTTTCCTTGAGAACAAACATGACATAATAACTCTTTTAGTTGAAGAGTTCTTTGCCTTCTCATATGATGTTCTCATGAATTCTCCAAGAATTTTTTTCACATTATGATCCGGGATGGTCAAACCGGACCAACCAAATTATCAAGTTATCAAATCTTGTAAACTTCTGGTTTACACTTTTATGTGTACTGATTGTACTAATATACATGTAGTACATATTTGTGATGCAAATATTAGTTTCACTATTTTCATGATAAGATATTCATTTTATGAATATCCTTTTAATTGGGTAATGCATCATCACTAGGTAGTTTGGTTCCTTCAGGCCACAAAATTAGCTCCTTTAAAGCTTTACCATATTTTGTACCATATTCCACTCTTCCGGGGACTTATGATTTGATGCATTCTTAGTAAACACTAATTCATAGTGAATATCATCACAAATTGTTATCACGAGTACATAATTTAGTTACTTCAAGTAACCAAACATAAGCTTTTCGGAAGCTTTTCTTATTTATGTACTCTACCATATAGTTTATATGAAAATTTTCTAATAATCATACTTTACAAAAACATACTAAAATAATAAATGAGAATATTTCAAACTTAAGACAAAAATGATGAATTTATCAAGTTAATTGTTAAAGATAAAGGTTATCAAATTAAATTATACATGAAACATAACGTCACAATAAAACATAAAAGAAATAAGAATCATAATACTAAAATTGTGAAAATTAAATAAGATTTATTTGGAACATTACCATCACTAACTAGGTGATTTTAGATTTATATATGCGTTTAATATACATTATAATGTACAACATGTACATTATGTTATCATGACTTTGATAATGCAATTGTTGTGTCATCCTTATTTATAATTCTCCTCTTTTCTCACTTCTGGTGAAAAGATCTAAACAATACATTTAACATATATATAATCATGTTTATAGCTTCATTCACTTCGGGGAATAGATTGTTTCATTCACTTCTGGGAATGAAAATGTCTCAAGTGCAATTTCATTTTCATCTTTAATGGAGAATATACCAACTTATAATACAAAAAATATGTTCCATTATATTGATATTGCAAGAGCGTATATGAATTAGCTTTTCCCTTTGATTCTTGGTAGAATAGGGTCTTTTGCGTACAACGGGTACGAGACAAATGCAATTTTCCATTACAATGGTAACATACAAAACCAATATTCTTATTACCATGTTTTTTTCTTTATTTGCCTTTGAATTCTTCAATTTCCACTTCTGGGGAATATATGGGCTCTTGGAACTTGCATTTTCTACATATCAATGTGGGATTGATAAGAATAGGATAACACAGAGAACTGAAAAATTAACTCATCACTTATATTACTTTTCTTGTTAATCCAAATAGATTGACGTGATAAAATATCAATGGATACGAGAAAAGAGTAGCGCCCATCTTGATATATTGGAATGAGATAATGTCAACACAAATAAGACAATAAGATAAGAAAGGATATAAGATTTACATACCTTGATCATATTGTGATCTTACTCCAATATACTGGATTGTGTAAAGAGACAATGACCAACCATGATGCTAGCAGAGCTTCGTGTTGATAACGTGTTAAGAAACTATGAAAATATAAGCAACTACAAGAGATTATTAGAGAGGGAAAGACACAAGAGAAGAGAGGGAAGAGTTCTTCTTATTCATTCTTCACTTTTGATATAATGGTGTGCTATATTTATAGGCACACTTTGGTAACCACTACATCCTTATATCAATGCATATGAATGAGAGATAATGATGTAGAAATAGGAGTTACATGTAACTCCCAAGTGAGCATCTAATGTGGTAGGCCATTGGTCATCCATATATCAATATTTACATAATAAATGTCACTCTTTATAAGATTAACTATCTATTTATAATCTCGAATCACTAAAATTTACGACCTGCCGCGCGCAACGTGAGCTTTTGTGATAGTTTAATCAAATATTAATTAAGGCTATCAATATATACGAACTTTTTTTTTTTTTTTTTTTTTTTTGACAAAAGATAATCTTATATTGATTCACAAAAAAAGGTAGTTACACCCTGGAATTCAGCCAGGTCTGGAAATCAAAGGAACGGCTAATGGTAGGGTACAAAGAAAGGGCTTTCCTAGCCACCAAATGGGCTACCCTATTGCTACGCCTACCTACAAACCGTATACTAGCACCTGCTTGAGCCTGGAGACAACTATAAATTTCTTCAAGAACAGCTCCCATCCTGCTATCTCCAAGGTCCCCCCGATTGAGCTTATCAATAATGACCTTGGCATCGCCTTCAAACCTCACATCAGTAAGGCCTAGGCCACGACACCAAAGCATTGCCTCTCTAAGCACCAACAGCTCCACTACCATCGGGTCCTCAATAACTGGGAAATGCACACCCGAAGCCAAACTGATCCCTCCCGTAGGGTACAGAAGCACCATTCCGCCAGCTGAATGAGATCCCCTCCTAATGGCGCCATCCCACCGACAAATCATCCGCTGGTCACCCTCAACACTCGACAGCCCTGGGCTAACAGGAGGGACATGCGGGACAGACCGTACAGGCAAACGAACCCATTCCTCATATTGCTGAGAGAACTGACGCATCAGTACTTGGATCCCAAATTGTTTCCCTTCAAAAACCACCCAGTTACGAGACCGCCAGATCCGCCAAAGAATGGCAACCACTGCCATAAACACCGTTGGCTGAATGGCCAACGCCAGCAATTTTTTAAGGAACAAAGGAAACGATTGACGAGGCAAACCCTCACCCAAATAGTCCAAACCCGAATGATCCCAGAGTGCCCGAGCCACCGGACAATAAAGGAAAAGATGCTCCAGCGATTCTGTATTATCCCAGCAAAATTACGAACAGATTGAAGGAATATGCAAAATTGATTTTACCTGTTAGGTAATGTTTTCATGTTCATAGCTAATCCTGTCCTTTCTATTCTCTAAACTGCGTTGGGGGAAGTATTAATAATACAAATTATTTATTGGTATACTATTGGTATAGCTACAATGAATAAGTAATCTCCGATTGATCAAGTTAATAAGATCAGTAAACCTAAACCCAATGGGCATTAGGAAAGAATGCTTTCAGGGTTATGCACACTACTGTCACATAACGAGAACCCTTAAATGGATATAAAACAATACATGAATCAATTAATGTTTAAGCTGTGACCTAAGACACAAAGCCTCAGCAATTTAGGACCAAACTTGGGCAGGGGAATTGCAGTGCTTCTGATCAACTCCATTAGCCTGGATCCAGGCTGCAGGATCATTCACCATCTTCATCAGCAAAGCTGTCCCACCACCAGCAGCAGCTTCCTCCTCCTGCATCCCGACGCGGCTCGTCGTCGTCGGAACCTTCCAGATCTTCCTAATCAACGAATGAAACATCCACTCCTTACAACAATTGCTACCTCCTCCCCTGCCTTCACCAACTATTTCAACCTTCCCCATTTCCGGCCACTGTTTCTTGCACAGCAAGAAATCCCACCCCCCGCACTCTCCAATCTCTTCCCCCGGATTCAGTGCTGCACAAGCAATCAAATCAACTTAATTATCAGTGTAGAACAGAAACGACAAATCAATCAATCGATTCAATTAAATCGATCGATCGATCGAATCGATAATTCGATATCTTACGTACCATCGAAACCAGTGTAGGCGCGGTAGAGAAGGAAGTCATGGGGGTTGGAACCAATGGCAGGGAACCGGCCTTCTCGAGCGTAACGCTTCAGGGCGCCGCGGATTACGGCCAGCACGGTGTCGCCGTGGTTCGCAAGAAACCTAATCGGCCCGAAGCTACCAGGAACCGTGACGCTAATCAAGAACCTGTTGTTGTTGCTGTTCTTCCTCCTATTACTACATTCTCTAACGTTACCCAGCAACCTGTTCAGATGCTTTCTTTCTCCAGCCATCACCCTCTCCTTCACGTTCCTCTTCAGCTCCTCCATCATACAACCAAAGTAAAGCGAGAGAAAAAAAATGTACCTTTCAGCTTACAATTTTGGGTCAGGGGTCGAGGCCAGAGCAATGGTGGTACCAGGAGATTTTGCAGCAGAATCGTCCCGCGGGGCAAGGGCTAGAGATCAATGTTGTAGCAAAGGGCATCAAATTGCGAGATGATGATGATGTTGATGATGATGATGATCTTCTATTCACCATTCAAGATCAGAATGGTGTAAAAAAAAAAATGGGGAAGTAAAAAGTTTATATAAACAAGATCCAACTTCGAATTCGATTCTTCGAGAGTTCTTGTTGACCTGTAACAGGATGTGTAGTCAGGGGAAGAGGAATTGGAGACCTAACAATTGTACTATTAGTAACAGACACAGAGATTGAGAGAGGAACTAAGAACTCAAAAGGGGGAGAAAGAAAGCCAGTTGTTGTCTACTTGTTTCCGGGTAGTTTCCTGGTGGAGAGGGGAACTGGCTTTACTACATTCCCTTTCTTTGCAAATTCTTGGCCAAAGGGTTCAAGATGTGGCATCAAAAGAGAGATTCCTTGTTTGGGCAGCGTAAATACGATTAGAGTAGCGGTGTTTTGGTGGTTTGATTCAAAGAATGAACCGTATGGGAGTTAACGATAGTAATTGCATTTTGTCTTAGCCGACTTAAACCCATACATCCAAACGATACCTAGTTTCATTCCAGTGCAAGTAAACGAGGCAGCTTCTATACGATCTTCAGGCCGCTCGTTTGATGTCTAGGAAGTTTCATTTCGCTCATCCAACGCCTTTATGATGTTTAGCAAGACCATTCTTGTACTTCAAATTCACGATTCTTCGAATGAGTGAGGCTTTGTTTTGAGTCGACTGTCGCTCATACATAGACTCTAATTTCTGCCACAATTCATTCGCTCTTGTATTGTTTACAACACGATGAAAGATTAGGGGTGGTAATCGGTAAACCGGTATCCGATATACCGGATACCGACGTGTGATTTTACATTCGGTAATACCGGATAAGAGTCGGTAGTTACCGACGGTATACCGGTATACCGATAATACCGATTATAAAAAAAAAAATAAAAAAAATGCGGTGCAACCCTAAAAAATTAGAGACCCAGCAGCCTCCCTCCCTCTCGTCTTCCTCTGAGCAGCCGCCCCGCCGGCCCAGCAGCGCTCCCCGCCGCCGCGCCTCCAGCAGCGCTCCCCCCGCCGCCTCCAACAGCCTCCTCTTCCCTTCTCTCCATCCCGAAAGGCGAGACCCAGCAGCCGAGATCCACACCTCGTCTTCCTCTTCTCTTCAACAGGCAGCAGCCGCCGGCCGCCGCTTCTTGAAGCCAACGATGTGAGAGAGCTCCCCTAGCTGGAGCTTTTATGACTGCATGATTTCCGGTTATGGCTGCCGCCGCAGCTGCAGATGGGAGTGGTGTAACTACAAGGAAGTTGGGGATGTAGCGGTAGTGGGAGGCGCTTCGATGGCGGTGGAGTGGGGGGCAGTCCGCCGCAGGAAGGTTTGAACACCATCGATGTCGGCGTTGGAGTGGGGAGCAGTCCGCCGGAGGAAGGGTTGAACACTATGACCGCCATTCTCGAGAATTGGAAATTACAAGGGCGAGCTACTGAAGTAATTGAGAAGACGGCAGAGCCCCTGTCTTCCTCCCTCTTCTCTTCTCTTCACCAGCAGGCAGCAGCATATTAGCATCTAACTGGTATTCGGTATACCGGTATTAATACCGGATACCGACTATTCGGTATTCGATATACCGGTTACATTCGGTATCGGTATTCGGTGGGTACACTGTCTAGTTTCGGTATACCGAATACCGGATAATCGGTATCCGGTATACCGGATACCGACCGATTACCAGCCTTATGAAAGATGCTTCCGTCAATCCATTGTCGAATGTTTGCCAAAGCCTTTCTATGCAAGATCTCCCATTGCCACGTCATCACTGTTAACGCTTTGTCAGCATCGTTAAAATAGTCCACTAGGTTGAAACGGAAGTGATGGATGGTGATCTTTTACATAAAATTTAGTGGTTTAGTTGACCTAAAAATAAATCTAGTGGTAAACTGAGTTGATAGAGCAAGTTTGATGACCAAAGATGCTTTTTTACCACGCCTTTGGAATTGGGTTAGATTAGGGTAGGAAACGGTGTGGTTGCTGTTAACTGCACCGCAATTTGCGGTTAACCGCCACCGCAAAGTACCCACATTAACCAACCGCAAAACGCGGTTACTAGAGGTAACAATCGATTTAACCGCATCTGTGTGACCAATAGTGGTTAAGCAAAAAAACCGTAGACAACCGAACCGCATTGAACAACAAATAACCGAATTACTCTACTAACCGCAAAACTACCCGAAAACACTCTAAAACCAGAAAAAACAGCAACTACTGTGTGGAATTTTACACTTCCGCCAACCCCTACATCTGCATAAGAAACAACAACTACTTCTAATAGTCGATCATTTCAAAACAAACACACACAAAAATGCAAATTGGACTCACATGTATCCAAATAACCATCCAATCTACGTCTCTTCTTGGTCTTGGTCTTGGCGGTAGGAGCTGAAATTGCCTTTCCTTTGTTTTTCATTGCTCCTTGCTTCTCCCTGTCAGAATTTCAGAAAAAAATGTCAATCGGGCAGAAAAAGTCGAGCATAAGTACATAACAGAGTAGTAGAGGAAATGACGAATGGAGCATAGCAGAGGAATGGAGGTCTGGTCTGAGGCAAGTTAAGGGTCGAGCAGATTGACATTTAAAAACAAAACTTTATAGACAACCATATGAACATGGCAAGTTTAGTGACGTGGTGGGTCGGATATCACTATTTCTGGCCGAAAACGACGCTGACTAGGCGCTCCCGTTGGCCATGTTAGCACATGACAGACTCTTTTGACGAAGTTGGACGGAGTCTAACGGAGAGTGACTAAATGTGACCTATTTCGGTAATTTGAGTGACCAAAATTGATATTAATTTTTTCTGGTGACTAAACATGACATGATTTAGTAATTTCAGTGACCAAATGTGGCATTTACCCCTATCAATAGTTTCCATTATATTTCTTTATTGATTTTGTCTTTTATCTTCAGAAATTTTGTAATTGTGATGAGCTTTCTGATTCTCAATTAGTTTTTGAACCAGAATATGGTGCATTCATATCAATTTGAAAAAAAGAATTTTTTTTTAAATTTGATCTAATTTGACCATAATATATCTTTTATTTGCGAAAATAACTAAGAAACGAAGCCGAACATCCCAAAGCTCTAAGGCAACAAAAACAAAACTTTATAGACTACCATACGAGACACCCTATTATTAAGCACAACAGACAAAACAGAGATCAAACATAGATGTTGATGAATCTAACATTTTGGACTACCATCCCGGGTATTACTTTCTAAGCCCATATTCACATGCAAAGGCGTTGATCCAATTACGAAATGGGCTTCTCATTGGGCCTCCTTACAATGAACAGCCTGCCTTGTTTAGCACTTTAATTGTCTTCTAAAGCGAGTCACAGACGTCGTCAGGTTTCCTCAGCTTCTCGTACGGCTTCCTCGAAACCTGCAACCAAATTCACAAGTCAGAAACCCCCAAATTAACCACGCCCCTAATGCGAAAATCCATCAAATCAGCAAAGGTTACCCGGTGCGATGAAGGCGAACGGCGATCAGGAGAACCAGTCACGGCAGCCGGAGAAGTTGGAATGGACTTCCCGGGAGAATTGGAAATAGAAGGTTTCATCACCGGAGAGCGAACGTAGGGCGGAATTGGCGAACGCAGGACGCTATGCATCGACAGCGGGCTCCGGTGATACGGGGAAAGCGGCGACGGAGAGTATCGCCGTTGGAACTGAGATGCTGAGGGCGTACCAGGCGATCTCATCGGCGATCTTTGAGACGGGAGCATGTTTATCTTTATCCTGAAGGAAATGAAGCAGACTCAATTGCATCTGAAACCCTAAAATATTTGGGGGAAATCAGGAATCAAAAAGAGGAAGACACCTTAATTTGTAAGTTACCTGTTGTGAACTTCCATATAGCCGTCTGTCTCGTCCAGAATCTCCTCCTGGAGCAATTCCTCGATGACGTCCTCCAGCGTTATTATGCCGATGACCTCTTCTTCAGAAGGGAATGAAATGGTTTCCAGTTCCTCACTAGAAAGGGTTCTTTCTTGGAATTCCAGGAATTCCTTCTCACTGGAATATGATGGTGCGCTCATCAACATTCGCTCAGTCCAGCTGAGTTGAGGATGAATTCCTGATGAACACGGATTTTTTTAGGTAAATTAAACTGCCCTATTTCCATTAAGAATACTATGCATGTGATTACCAGTACCCTTCCTCTCTGCTTCTATTCGTTCCGAATTTGGATCGATGTTGATCTCTACAACCTCACGTTCTGTTCTTGTGTTTTCTGCATTAGTCCTATTAGTATCATCCTTGTTCTTGACAACTACAGCCATGTGGCTATGACCCTTCTGGAATAGGTTCAGTATGTCATATAATGGAAGTTGATCATTTACCCTGCCAAAAGTATATAACAAGGTCTTAAATAAAGTTTCAGAGTGATTGTCACTTAAGTTGTTCGAATTGGAACAATAATAGTTCTCAAGGAACCTAGGGATTTTTCTGATCGTGAGGTCCCTTATAGGTGTTCCGTCTTCAGGGTTGCACTTGATCAAATTCTTCACCTAGGAAAACAAACAGAGAACTACCAAAATCAGGCCAAGGAATCTGGGTTTCTGTTCAATCTGGCTGCAACTTCACCATTTTGCTAGGGAGGGTTTAATGTGCTTTTACCAAAATCAGGCCAACAATGTTCTCCAAGTTGCACATGTAGATGGGTACACGGCTATGTCCTTGGCCAATGATCACTTCCATTGTTTTCCTATGTAAAGGTAGAGAAATAGGAACAAGTTTCTGGTGAGGGACTAGGCAGAATATTAGAAGAGACAAAGCAAATTCAACAGGGGACATACTCATCAAGCTTAGAATTGATATCTAGTGAGAATATCTTAGAGATGGGAGTCATAGCATCTTTAGCTTTTTTCAGGGTCATATCCAAAGCTCCGGTTATAATAGTGGTCTCATCATGTGTCAGCTCTCCACCTTTACCGGCCTGAAATAGAAGAGAGAAAACATCAAACACTTTGCTCATGATCCCATAACTTTCAACTCTCAGTTGCTCATTAGGCTGCATACTTGTATCACTTAGTCAGAAAAGAAGAAGAAAATTTTGGAGCAGTGACCTTGTTCCCAAGTAAGTCCACTAATGTCTTCAGCTCTGCTCGTCTCAGGAGTGCAGAATGCTTTTTCCCCAGAACCCAATCAAGTAGCTGAGGATATGGAAGGTTTGGGGGATTCAGAGGCTCTTTGATAATCAAAATTTCAGGGATTGGAAACCAAAATGTTGAAGCAGGTTCTCTGATTCTTACCTTACTGATGGGATATGCAACTGGGAAGAGGATGATGACTATCACTTTTACTATAGGAGACAGCTTGGCACCAACACGTAGGCCATACCTGGAACAAATTGCTTGCGGTATAATCTGCAGCACACAATGACTTTTTCAGCACATTATTTTACCATAGTGGATGGCTGGATTTATCTCAAGGTAAAGTGATTAGTCATCTTACCTCACCAAATGCAAGAATGAGAGTGACTGATATGAGAACAGCTGCCCAAGGAGGAAGGATGGAATCAAGGAAGATGGGCAGTGCCTATTTTAGATTCAAACTCATCAGTAAGTGTCGAAACTTCAGACTTAGCATTCAACTCAAAGTAGCATTTGTGTTCAGAAAGAAACTTCCTTTACCTCCATTGCCATTGCATTTCCTATGAGTAGGGTGCACAGCAGTAAATGCTGTCTCTTCACGATTGGCAGTATCTTTGCTGTTAAAGCAAAGGCAAAGGAAACGGAATCAGCAGTCTGATTAAGGGCACAAATTAATCCTATAACCATGTTTTTTTATTGTTTGCAGGGTACTCTAACCTGCATTTCTCCGGTCATCGGGCTGTCCAGCCTTAATGAGGACTTCAAGATCAACCAAGCTGAGGGACATCAGGCCTAAGGTGAGGCCAGACATTAGACCTGCAAAGGCAACCAGAACCACACAGGCAACAAGGTATCCCCAGAACATAGGCTCACAGCAGGGCACATCGTCTGCCATTTTGTGCTGCTAGACGATCAATAGCGAAGAACAGACAAGAAGAAAATTAGGCTAAATGGAACTAGTAAGTAAAGCTTGTGGTAGTTAGAGATGCTCAGGTTCATAGTGCAGGGTGTTAGTTATATAGGGAAAAATGGGTTAAATCTCTGTTAGACTGTTACTGATGAAGTCAGTAGACTGTTAGGTTCTGTCTTTACTGATGAATGGCCAATGAAATTAATATTGTAGAAGCTGCTGAACCTCCTCCATCGTCAGCGTGGTTTTGCTCTAATATTCAATATCCACCCACACGCAGGCTCCTAGCAATACACAATTTTTGTTTCTGACATCAGCTTTCTGCAGAATTTGCCTCGAATTTAGTCGAAAAGAAATGCAAGGACCAGAATCGAATCAAAAGTGTTTCTGGTATGGTTAGTCCGATTTCAATTTGACAATTGCATTGTGTTTGTTGGTTCTACCCTTCATTTTTTTTTTCTCGTACATCAAACTGCTAATTATTGTCTGTTTTCTCCACGAATGTTCCAAGGTGACCGTACTGCAAAGCATATATAGAAAAACGGAGCAGTTGGGAAATGATACGCGGCATGGATTCTCAGCCATTATTGCCACTTTGGTATGCTTCTGGTTGGATTTTTCCTGCGTATGGCTGTAAAAGGTTCACCATTAAGAAAAAGGAAAGCATGTTGAGATTAAAAACCAAGGTCGGCCAGGTCCATATGCGTAGTGGATTTGGTAAAGAACCAAGACTTGTGGCTAATATGTTTTCTTGTGTCAAATTAGATTAGAATATGCCCACCCCAACTGATGAAAAAAAAGTGGGGATAAGTTGATCATGAACAGAAAAAGGGGCATTTGATCCGTCTAGCGAGTAAGGGACATTTGATCTCTCTGTTTGGGGTACTGGTAGTGATGGCATAGAGTGTGTTTATGTTGGCTTCTTGGCTATATCGAGAAACTATTGTGAGTTTTGAAATTTCAAATGTATCTTAAAACGAATTAGAGCGCTCTTTTGTGTGTGTATTTTTACAAAAAGGGAGAATGTTAATGTGAAATCGAAAACTAGACTGAGTTTAACTCGTATAGTGAATACAGGGTTGGAGATGCATAACCCAAAAGTTATAAACAAGTTTACAACCATTATATTTTGATCGTTTCAGTATGTAGGAACACAAGCATTGGCGTAGCCAAGGAATATATATTAGTGGGATCCAAAGATAATCAATATGCAATGTGTATTCTATGGCAAAGCTATTGGCTTGGGAAGAGGGGTGCATGGTTCAATAGTTACTTGACTCCACCTTGAATTTTTTTTCCCCATGTGTATTCATTTTCTAAGTGTTGTCTTTGGACGCGGCTACTCTCTACCTAATTCCGCATGTGACCGAGCAGGCGTAACACTTGATAAAAGAGCATAATTTGAATTGTTTCAAAATATATCAAAATAGACATATCTTGTAGAGCATAATGAGAAAAAAACCAAATTAAGAAAAATGGTATATCATCCATTAAAACTAAATGAAAAGTTACTTTATACAAAGTTATGCAGATAAATGATCCATTAACGTATTAAAAATGTTTTTTCCTTTGCTTTTTTTTTTTATAACACCGGTGACTAAACTTATTAAAGCTGAAAATAATAGCATTAAAAATGAAACGCAGGAAGAACATAATGTGCTATAGGGTATATACTGGGCACCGGTAGATCATGATGTATTTGATTGATGAACATATTAATTTTTACTTAGGCCAGTAAAAGTTATACTGCAAATGACATATAAGTATAAGATATACTGTGGATGGTGTCATGGCGACAATGTTGTGGTAAAATACATTTTCTTTTAAAATATCCAGTACAAAATGTTAAAATCTCTCCACATTAAAATCCTAATCCTAACGCTAAATTACTAAACTCTAAAACCTTCAAATCAAAATAATTCTTGAACTATATTTGTGCAATTTCATGTGTTTTTTTGTCCATCATATTACAAGTGATTATTGACGTTGTTTTGAAATGATAATTATCAATTATGAGATGAATGCATTGAAAACACAACTCAAGTGGTTTTGGTCCAAAATTGCGCCTCTACCTAGTAGTTTAGGTAGTTTTTGAGAAATGGTGCTATGTTTCAAGAAATTTTGAAATTGAGTGCTATTTTTGTATTTTTTTGTTTTTAATAGTGTTATAACGGCCCAACAAAAACCTTGAGCCCAAAACAGTCGAATGAAACACCTATACCTGGTTGAAGGCCCAAGGAGTATTGGCAAACAAACAGAGGTCGCAGGCGAGGCGAGTTTCCTTTTCCACGGTCTTCCTTTTTGGTGAGAACCAGCCAATAGATATTTCAAAATCAACCGCCAGCCTCCAGTTTTAGCAAATCAATTTCCCGCTTATTTAGCAAGTACCAACGGGAAGACGAGAGCCGTCGCGGGGAAGGAATCGGGTGGATGACGGGATACTACTAGTACTACTCCCGGAGCACGAAAGAGGAGGAAGAAGAAGAGCACTGCAAGGAGAAGCAGCCACGAGATTGAGCTCGGGAAAAAGTGTGGAGAAGAAGATGCCGCAGGACGCCATGGATGACGTCGATCGTCTGTTCCAGTGCTTCAAGTGCGGAGTTTCTCCTCCTCGTAAGTTCTCCTCTCCGAAATCTCAATTCGCTGTTTGCGGTGTTCGATTCACCAGAGATTTAAGCGATTCGCGTTTCATCGGAGATTTCATCTAAGCGATTCATTCACTTCCGGTGGTGCTCGATTCATCGTAGATTTAAGCGATTCATTCACTTCCGGTGTTCGTTTCACCGGTGATTTCAAGGATCCATTCATTTAGACCTCACTTTCTGCTTGGCCGATTGAGCGGTTTGCCATATGGCTGGGCGCCTCTTCCGCTCTTCTCAACTGGACTTCCGATCTACTCTCAGGATCGATTTCTTAATTCAGTTTTCTTCATTTGATGTTATTCGCCTAAGCTCGAATTGGCCGTCAATGGTGTTTTGTCAGAATCGGCTGTAAGAGAGAGGAAAAGAAGCAAGAGCAAATCGAAGCAAAGGAGTGGAATCCATGCAATTAGTGGCACTCCGTCTCCAAGCTCAGCTGAGCCGCGGAAGAAGACTGCTACTGATGCACTAGTCCTCAAAGAGAATGTACGTAGTTCTCCCCCGCGTGATCAGCTTTGATGCCTTCCTTAATGCTGATATCATAAATTGCTGTGTTAGGGTTTCGCTTCACTGATGCCTGATGTTAACTAATTATGCTCATGTAATTCTCTTCAGGTTGCTTCAACATCGAAATCAAAGGGCTTAAGGTGCGGCAAGCAGATTTCTCCTGTTGTATTCTATGGTTCCCCTAATGGAGTGCCTCCCAAGAGACCAATCAGTTTGCTACGATTGTTGCGCGAGATACGTGTTGATCTTTCGGAACAAGGAAAAGAGGACTTGAGGTACCCCTGGTGTTTTTATGAGCCTTTGTTTTTTCTTCAGCTATGAGGCATTAGTTTATGTTGTTTATATCTGTAAATGCTGCATACCATCCTGATATGAGTTTGGTTTGTACTTAGGAAGGAGGTGTGGGCTACATTTCCTAGACAGAATGAAGCTATGAACTTTGCAAAAGAGCATCATAATGTCCGTATTTTCAGTTATCAAGATCATATTCACGGGCAAAGAAGGTTCCTCGTTTCGACATACCATGAGTTTTGGAAAAGGTGCTTCTGTTGTTTTTAATTCAATTAGTGAGTCCATTCCGCTGTCGAGATGCTTCAAGAAGGTGTTTGGCATCATTCAATTTCTCAATTTCAGGTACCAAAACATGGAATCCAAATTTCGACACCATTATGAAGTGATTCAGGAGGTAATTATCTGTCTATGTTGCCATTTTAGGTGATCAAATTTGCAAGCTTCTCATTCACTTGCTGTACATTTATTCTTTTGAATCTCCAGGGATTACCATGTCACCTATACTTTGATCTGGAATTCAATAAGAAAGAAAACGTAGAGAAAAATGTGGATGAAATGGTCGATCTCTTGATATCAGTGGTTCTTGAACTCTTGAATGAAAAGTATTCAATTGAAGGAAGTGGAGATTGGATAGTAGAGCTTGATTCTTCCACTGCAGGTGTGTACTGGGTGATACTTTATTTACAGCCCCTTCTTCTATTATCTGTGGTTTTTGCTTTACCTTCAAAGCATGAGAACTAGGGAAACAGCAAACTGGAGAACCAATGTATTCGAGATTTTATAGAGAACTAGTTAGCCTTTGCTTATCCCAATTAATTAGCCTTGTCTGACTGCTCTGCAGAGAAGTTCTCACGCCATCTAGTTATCCGCATACCAAAGGCTGCTTTTAAGGACAATTCCCATGTTGGCGCAGTTGTGTCAGAGGTATACCATAATGATATCAATCCGATGCCTCGTCCTAAGTGCCCTGTCGTCTTTAACATATGTTAAGTATTCAAGAGATGGTTGTTTTGTGACTGAATGTTGTGAGAAAATAGTATAGAGCTAGTTTATTTCTTTCTTTGTGGCAGGAATATAATCGATTTTCACTATCACCACTAACTTGTTTTCAGGTATGTTCCCGGATTTCAAGTTTAAAGGAGAAGGATAAGAGATACAACAAATTATTTATTAGAAAAGAGTCGAAATCTGCTGGACCTCCAAATCAGCTATTTATAGATAGTGGTGTTTATACCAGAAATCGTTGCTTTCGCTTGGCTCTCTCATCAAAGGCAGGGAAAACTTCTTTTCTTCTACCAACAGGGCGCTTCAAATGTAAAAGCATGGTATGCAGTCTTTATCCTAGTTAACAATATTCATGAAACGAGATGCTATCTTCTCGCGAAACTCCTTCGATTATCGTGCTTCTTCACTTGTGCTTGCAATCTTTTCTTTTTGAACAGTGTGAAGAAGACATGTTCATGGCTTCCTTGATCTGCAATATAGATAGTGACTGTGACAGGCTGCTGGTCTGCAAAATGGATTTGGATTGTGTCAAAAAGCTGCATTTTGATACAGAGGTAAAGCTACTTATTGCTTCATATTTTCATATAGTACAGACCATCAAACACAACCCTCAGTTTTCGGTGTATGTTCTATTTAAACTGGGAAATTTGTTCTTCTCAAGGTAAATTACAGTGCAATAACATTCAGCTCTCGTCGGGAACTGTCAACAAATGGAAGTACTGGAGGCGCTCCAGTGACATCCATGGACGGGAACTCACCATTCCCTGCTTTGGACAAATTTGTGGAATCCATTGCCACTACGGGAAGTACATCAGGTGATCTCATTTTTCTGCTTTACGCTCTCTTGTGATACAAGAATGGTTGCAGCAGAATCTCTTCAATTCCTTTACTATTTGCTCCTCTATCTGATTCCCTTATTAACAATGTGCTAAATTTAGGCAAAATCCGAAGCTGGTACTGGTTCTCCGAGTATGGATTGATGGTCTACAGCATGGCAAGAAATAGATACTGTGAACGAATTGGCAGGGAACATAAAAGCAATCATGGTAACTTCTTATCTTAAAACAAGAGCTCTCTAACTCCTCCTCTAGTGAGTTATAATGTAAACTTCCAGCTATTTTGAAACCCTCATCTCCTTCTTATTCCTCTTGTACAGTTATATATGTCATTGACTTAAGATGGGGATTCTATTACCAAAAATGCCATGATCCAGATTGCCAAGGTGCATTCTCCATCAGCCAATACTCAGCCTTTTCCTTTGTCATGCCCTTTTGCTTCAATGATAATTTTTATCTGACCTAATTGAACCAAAACACCACCAGGTTACAAGTCTCCCTTCCGTCCAGTACCAATCGACATGATTCCAAATCAGTCATTTCCTCGCGACTCTGGACAGACATTGAGCCAGGCAGCGTTAACAAACGACTGCCTTGAGTACCAATTTGTTGACAGTAGTTACGATGGAGCCATGCCTTGGAATGCAAGCAATTCAGGCACTGGCAGCTCTGGTAAAGACTCTTGGTGGCTTGAAGCCATGAAAGTTGCAGAAGATATAGAGACGAAGAGGAATCCCATGGAGCCTAGTCAGATGGTTAATCTGGTCTGACTGATCGATAAAAACCAGAAATTAGTTTACCCTCTTAGAACCTTGTTTGCCACGTTTCCTTCTTGACCGTTTATTTATGTCTTTTGAAATGTTGTGGAAGCAGGAGGAGAACATTAGCGACGAAGACGAGACGTGGTGGATGGCTGTTGAAAGAACTGCATCTCAGGCCGAATTAATGCACTTGAAATCAATCGACCATGGGATGCCAGTAGTAGAACCCTGAGCATGAAGAGATGTCAGGTATGGCTTCTTCCTCGACTTGGATATTCAAGTTGGGGATGATGACAGAATTCCGCTAGGGAAACCGTCTGAACAATGTACTTAGGGCGACTTGATTGTCTCCGCTGTTCGAATTTAGGTTCTCGTACAAATAAGCAACACGCAGGAGGCAAGACTAAGGCGCCAAGTAAGCCTCCATGTACATAGCTAAGCGCCATGGTTGGATCACCTAGTTATAAGTGTGGGTTTATCTTTGTGGTGCGAACTTACAAGTACAACCACATGTCGTATTGGTTCATTTTTTTTATATCAAATGAATTTTATCGACCTTAGTGCACCAATATTTAGTAGCCATGAAACTTATCTTCAGAATCTAAGTCTAACTAATAACAAATAAGCAATGAATAAGCCATTCTACTAGCCCAGTTTGCACGGTAATGCTTGTGCTAGTTTGTTTCAGTTTGTGTCGAATCATCCAACATTTCTACGTTTCGGCATTTCCTTTTGGTGATCGTTTTATGGGTATGTTCTAGACTTCTAGGAATCTGATATTGCCAAAATTTTGAAAGATAACGAGCTTCGTAGAGTTCCTCCACTTCAGTGCAAATTACCATTCTGAATAATACGGATCTCGCAGCAATAGTGCCAACTACGTTCCAATCGTATTGCACGAGGCAGGAGCAACACAAGATTCAACCACGTTGAAATCTTCGGTTTTAGAGGGTGAAGAAAAGTTGGGAATTGGGCTTCAGGTCTGCCGAGTCGAGGCCCAATGAGATCATCTCGAGTTAATTTTACAGGCCCAACTTGCAGGCGAGTCAAACATAATGATCTCCTCAATGAGCTCTCTTGACCATGGCTTTGACTGAACAGTCGTCGCCACTACTGTTCTGTGTTGACCAAGTCGCTGCTTATTTTGGTACCTGCAACTGCAAGGTCCTCTACCGGACCTTCTGGCTCCTGCCTCTCGGGGCTCGCCTCGAAGCTCCTCGCTCGGACCGACAGTCGAGTCCTCGTGATGGTCGGCGTGGGCGCCCTGGCGCTGCACCTGATCAGGGCCCCACCTCGCAGCCCCGGAGAGGTGATCATCTGGAACAGGACGCAGAGCAAGGTTGTGGAGCTCGCCGAGAGGCTGAACGAGGAACTCTAAGGTGTGAGTTTCAGGATTTGGATGACGTGATCAGGCTGGGGGAAATAGTGAGCTGTGCGACGAACAAATGAGGATGCTCCGCCGTTGGTGAAGAGGGGGAAGCTGAAGCCAGGGGCGCATTTGGATTTGGTCTGGTCGTTCAAGGAGAGAACACGAGGGAGCGCAACGACGTTGCATTGAAGAGGGCAGGGGCGGTGTTCGCGGAATAATGAGGCGGCTTTGGTCGAGGCAGGGGAGCTGGTGGGTGGGGAAAGGGTTGGGAGGAAGGGCTGTGATGAGATTACTGTGTTCAAATCTGTTGGTTAAGCGGGTGTGGACATGCTCGTGGCGCAATTCGTGCACGAAGCAGCTCGAGCTAAGAAGTAAGGTAGAGAGGAAGAGTGGAATGAAATGGATATACAGAGCTTGTACCTGGAGAGAAATGAGTATGGAGAATGAAGCAGAATTTTTTGGTGATTCGAGCCTTTCTTTCTATGCTTACATTCGGCTTTCTCGGTCTCTTTGGCTGCCCTGTAATGGATGTTCTCGAGAAAGCATTGTCGAAATATTTCAGCAATCTATTCCCGCCAAATCAACGTATAGCAGGTGTTGAAGCTGTAAAAGGTAACGAGCCAGGGAGGGAGAAAAGAATGGGATTCCAATAATATTACCAGCATTTGAATAACTGATTGTGCCGCAAAGGAGTTATTTTGATAGAGAAGATGGGAGAGAGAGAGAGAGAGAGAGGAGAGAGCGCTACTGATGTTCATTTTGCTGAGGCTCTTTCTGTTTCAGGGGCATCTGGATGGTCCTCGGGTATAGTAAATCGTTAAGTTGTCTCTCTGCGCTGTATTCCGAAGTTGCCTGCAAGTAATTGGAAGGAAATGAGTGAATCTTTAGGAATAGGCAGACTTTTGGTACTGAAAAGATGTTGTGATTTGATTCATAGTGCAGTTTGTTACCCGTGAGTTGAATCCAAATCGCAATGTCTGGACTTGAGTTCCAGAGCAAACCCTCAAATCAAAACCCAGAGAATCCATGCCTGTAACGGTTGCTTCCTGCAGATCTCCAACAGGCTAATTAGTAATGTATGCAGTGTTGCAGTCAGTCTTATTATCTGAAAATCGATGGATTGTGCAAAATGAAGGATCACAGAAGTGAGTTACTAGTTTCACCCATCAAACCCATGGAAATGTAGAATTGGATTCAACAAACCCTCATGAAATCCATGGGATCCACGTATTTGCATGGATTTAGAAATGTAATGGTTGTGGCAAAAAATTTATCCATCAAACAAGGGTTTCTTGATTAACTTTCTGTGCTCAAATTCTTGAGGCAAATCCATGATCCAAACAACTGACTTGTATCAATTTCCCAAATAAAAAAGGTTTGAGCATATTACCTCAACTTGGATGCCTTTACATCTCCAACACAGAGATATCAGGGCTTCCGTGACCTCTTCACCACCGTCTTTGAGACGGGATATGATCTTGGCTGCTGAGTGAGCAATGGCATCAGGCTTGGCATTCCTAAAATCTTCTGGTTCAACTGAAGTCTGCACCGGAAAATCACATGAGCTGACATAATTCGTGCTGACTCAAAGACTGCTCATAAAGAGTCACAAAGCCGAAGAAACAATTGTTATATCAATTACCGATGGGGACATAATCTGCATTATGTGAACATAAGAACCTACTTGATGTCCATCAGCTGAAATAAGCTGGATCTTTATCGGTTCAAGCTTGTAAAATGAAGTCCCAGTCGCTGGGGCAGCCACATCTTTCTCTGCACGGACTGAAACATCTTCAGATGATGCAGGCTTGGTTTCCTGACCATTGATTGCACCAAGATCATCTTTTTTGCTTTCTGCTTTCTCTTTCCCAGCCTGATCTTCGTGACGGAGTTTATTGTCAGACATATGCCTCCGGATGTCGGTATGTTCCTCGTCAAATGCAGGTCTTAGAAGGCCTTGTATGGCCAGACCAGTTGGTGGTTGCTTCATCCAATCTACAGGATCATCTGAAGCAATCTACGACAGAAAAAGAAGGAAGAAAGTAATCTTCTTAGATCAACAACTAAAAGTGCTTACACCATCTTTCAGTAAAGACTTCCAGAGTCTCCCATAAAATTACCTGAGTCAGCCTTTTGGCAAAATACATTGGATGAGAAGAATCCCCGTCTTCCCAGTCTTCATCATCACCATCGTCATCACTATCCTCATCGCCGTCATCTTCGAGGACAGCTACTATTTCCTATACACACAATGAGAGAATGCTCAATGGAATTGGTCTCAAGGAAATACAATCAGTTATGCAAGTTACAAGTTGAACCGAACGCGAGAAAAATAAGAGTCCAAGAAATATCATATCAAACCTCGTCATAGTCATCATCATCATCTTCTTCGCCATCACTATCTTCATCGTCAATTCCCTCAAAGTCAATGTCAGAATTATTCAGCAGCTCCATCTCACTGATCATGTCGTCTGCATCAAAGCCTATAATAGCTTGCTGTATGAACAGAAGAAACCTTCCAAATATGAGAACATGCATGAGAAAATAAGAGACATTGAAATAATAGAAGAATCGCTAGCCATTAGAAAATGCTTGTACTATGTATCTCCCTCTACAGGTAACTGGCCAGACAGCTTTTATATTGCTGCTATGCAGTGTCGTTATGGACAAAGTAAACACTTGACCAACAATTTTATGTGCCACTTGTGCCTGGAATAAAGAAACTACAACTAGGGTAACTAGCAGTAGCAGGGAAATGTTTACCACATAGTTGTTCTCTGACGTAAGCGTCTTCAGTATGTCTTCATCATTCTTCACTTGAAAATAGACATCTGCAACACAATCAAATTCTTCAACAACTCTGACTCCTAAAACCATAAAGCAAGTTGTTGCAGATTTCAGCATACAAAAAGAAGCATGACTTACTTCCATATTCATCAGTCACATATGGCATGTCTGACCACACGATATTCTCATGAATTTCCTCATTGAACAAGTTGGTCAGCATCACAGTAGCTCTGCTGTTCACCTGAATATGACTCACTACAGACAGCGTTAGCCATGCAAAAGTACCACTCCGATTCTTTGAAAATATCCAATCATGTCTTCCATTCAAAATATGATACCTCGACAATAGTCCTGCAAGTCTCTTCGGCTGTAAGCCTAGCATCTCCACTACCTTTGGAGGCCGAATCGGCAATCCCCTCAAATGGATGATACTGCACTTTGTCATTCTGCTCAGAGGAATCCGAGCCGGATGCCAATTGTCCTTGAGATGCTCGAATCGTACTCTTTGGTACAGAACCAGCTCTTGATCGCTGAGATTTCTTCCTGTGGTGATGATAACCGTATGAAACGATTCGTATGAAATAGAACTCCACAGACAAGATGAAAGGGAACGATCCAGGAAAAAAATTTCACACATGTCCGTTGTAGGAACTCTAAGACATTCTACAAGCATTCAGAACTCCGATTAAGCACTCGTGAAATCCTTGAGTTCAGTAATGGAACTTATAATTAAAATTTCTCAGAAATGAACTTCAATTTCATCTTCGATATGACTCTAGAACTGAAGTAAGAAGAAAACTCAAACAGTACCACGGTAGGTCGAAGCTGGCCGTGCGCAGCTGCCGGCGAGTGGTGCCGCTTGCTCTGCTATGTTCCTCCAAGTTGGCCGCTCCGCGATAATCTACAATCGGAGATTCCGATCACAACAACAAAGACAAAGGCCTAATTCTCCGATTCAAAAAGCAAGAAAACTGCTCATGCGTGAAACTTAAGCTGATGACGGAAAGTGAATGAAAACTTCGAAAGGCAGTATCGCTCCAGGAGCGTCAGTTGAGACATTGAAGTAACTGAAGCTTTCGAGCTTCTTCCAGAGCTCCAATGGCGGGAAACAATTTAGTAGGTAAAGAACTCAACAGACAGGAAAGTAAACAAGATAGGACAGCGGGAGGAACTTACGGGATAAGGTGGCGGCCGAGCAGAAATTAGCGCCGGCGGCGAAGCGGGAGGCCGTCGCTGGTTCAATCATCATCACCAACATAATTTCTCGGCTTGCTGCTTCCTACTTTCCACCATTAACAGTAGAGAAGCAGCTTGTTGTGTCGACACGATGAAATGAAACCCAGCGCTCTCTTTTGAACCGTAGAGGCGGAGCCATTTTAATTTCAGAGATTATTGGATGAGGCCGCTGCCCAGTTGTGGAGGATCGATCTCCTGCATGCAGTAGCATCGAAACAAACGTACAGCCTGGTTGGGAATCCAATCAACCCGCACCAGCGGTTTCACTAAAAAAACCGATGCACAGTCAAACCCACAAAGCCTGGTTTGACCGAGCACCCGATTCAATGCAAAACTAAATTGTTCCGTTAATCGTCAGTCGTCACTTCATCCTTCTTCTTCTCATCACTCGCCCGTGCCGGCCACAAATTCGCCTACCAGCATCCACAAATCGCCCTTTGCCAGCTCCAAATCAACGCATTGCCGACAAGAAATTCTCGCACTAAGGGCTCGAAATTGTCTATCAATCCTTCAATCATCCAGCCGCAATTAGGGATGTGCAACGAATCGGTCTTGTCCGAACCAGACAAACTCAGGAAAATCGCAGTCTAATAGTAAAAGACATCTTAGGACAATGACCAGATCAACCGTGCTTTGGCTTGTTTAGTGGGTCCAAATATCAATTCGGTCTATTTTTCTTCATCAATTTTAAAATCCATGAGACCAAGTACCGACCCATATTATATTTAGTTCGGTATGGTTCGGTCCAAACATTGATTTGGTCTGGCAAGGACCAATCTGTTGCACAACCTAACCAACCCGATTCTCTCTGTCGACCCAAGACCCATTTTGTTTGGCCAGTCTAATGGTTGGAACCGGGTTGATCCGAAGAATTAGAATAGATTCATAGAATAAGCCCCTTGTTAAACCGAGTGAAAAAGAGAAGCGCGCGCCGTTTTGACCGGAAACGGAATCACTCAAGGATAGGAAAGGAACGGGGAAATCAAAATATCTGATGTTTGGATGGAGGGATTTGGCAAGAAAACGCAAGAAAATTAGAGAGGAAAACGCGAAGAAAACAGAAGTGTAGCGAACCAGAACTTCTTCTTCTTCTTCTTCTTCAGTTCTTACCTTTTTCCCGGAATGCTTTCTTTACGATACTGTCTGCCGCTTATTCCGACAAGATTGGAATCAATTCAAGCATCGAAGAAAAAGTGCCCGAGGAGCTATATTGTAAGTTTCCCTCTTTCAGTCGCTGCAAGTTTGATTATACAATCTCGTGGTTCGATATGAGGCAGAATTCTTACCGAATGGCGGATGCTTGATGTTAGATATGCGAGCAGAAAGGGCCGCGGCCAAGATATCCTCGAGTCTGGAAAACGAAAACGAGAATAGGAACCGTCTCCAAGGCAGCCAAGCTAGTTGACTGTGTGAGTATCTCCTGCCCTTCCATTCTGCTTCTCTACGAAGAATTTGATGTGGGTTTTGTTCAGTAACTTCACAACTGGAAGAACTGCCCTGTGTATAAGATGTGTTCTTGGGGTGAATTGGTTCTTGAGCTCTGGAATATGTTTTTTGAATGTACTTCTGGTCTGTGTGGTGGTCATGTAGGTAAAGGGATTGTCGAATGTGAAGGAGGAAGTGTATGGCGCACTTGATTCTTTTGTCGCTTGGGACTTGGAGTTCCCCCTGATCACTGTAAAGAAAGCATTGAGGACTCTAGAGCATCAACAAGAATGGAAAAGAGTAATTCAGGTACTGGGGGTTCAATGGCATCTTTCCTCTTTTTCTACTGATGAAGCTTGAAAGCTTTTGATTAAAGAAACAAGAAATGGGGGGATCTGTAGGTCTCTAAGTGGATGCTGAACAAAGGGCAAGGGAGGACGATGGGAACATATTTCATCTTACTGAGTGCATTGTCTGAGGATGAAAGGCTCGACGAAGCTGAAGAGCTATGGAATAAGTTGTTCATGCGGTACCTGGAAGGCATGCCTCGTAAGTTCTTCGATAAGATGATGTCCATCTATTACAAGAGGGATATGCACGACAAGATGTTTGAGGTAACGCTCCGAAACAGCTTTCCTGTTGTACAAACTGTTTTTCATGTATGGTTTACTTAAAATGACTGCTCTTTCTTTGTAGATATTTGCTGACATGGAGGAACTGGGGGTCCAGCCGAGTGTTTCGATAGTCAACATGATCGGGACCGTGTTCCAGCATCAAGGCATGGTGGACAAGTACGAGAAGCTGAAAGCCAAGTACCCTCCGCCGAAATGGGAATTCAGGTACATCAAGGGGAAGCGTGTGAGGATTCGAGCCAAGCATTACCGTGAATATGAGAGTGAGAGGGGAGGGGCGAATAAAGCGGATGCAAGTCTTGATGGCTCAAGCGAAATGGACGATGATGAGAACCCAGACGAAAGCAGCAATGAGGAAGAGACTAGTCTCAGCTCGGATGAGTTTGACGATGAGCTCGACGATCAACTGAGTAGAGACACCAATAGCAGCAATGGAAACGAAGGTTTGAGCAGGATTGAGCAGGAGTAGCGATGAGGCAGCCTTTGCATCATATCAGCAGTCCATGGAACTTGACGATGCCAGTTGAAGTCGGTAACGTCTTGAGACGAGGGCCAAGAGTTGATTCGTTCCGGACTTGCAGAATGCCAGCACAAGAGGAAATCTGGTCGGCAAAGAAACTCTTAAGAGGTGGCAATCGAATTCAAACCTGTTCATGTCATCATTGTGCTGGGCTGCTGGGCGCTCATCGTGAGATGCAAAACAGAGATCATAGTTTTGATAGAAGCATAGGAACCTTTTGACGAGGGTAAGGCAAACAGAAGCCATGTTTTACCACTGAATAGTCTAGTCTAGTCACCCTTTATTTGTCACTCCCAAATTACAATTCTTGTTTTCAACTTGGGAAAAAGAGTTCCATGAAAAATTGTGTTCACTTCCAATTCCAGTGGGTGGAGAATGAAGATGGAAGGAGAGAGAGATAGAGAATGAGATGAACAATATACAGAAACTGGAATTAATGCTTTCTAGCGGATTGAGCCAACGTCGGCTGATCTACAGTTTATAAAAAGAACCGACAATTCAACGGATGAAACCCGTCGTAAATTACAAATTCTAATCACAGGATCAGCTTTTCTTGCGCCCAAAGCAAGCAACGATTAACCCTACTGATTCCTTACCCTTGGCCGACCGCTGCTGCTTACCTTCCTTCCCGCTCCTACTTATTTTCTTCTTTCTCTTCTTCTCATTTCTTTTCCTTAGCTTCTTGCCCACGAAACCTAACATCCCACCCACCATCGTCCGACGATCTTCAGAAGAACCGCCGCCGCCGCCGCCTCCAGCAACGGCAATAGTTTCATCATTATCCCGCCCTCCGGTGGAGCGAGTTGGAGAAAGTGGAGCCGGTACAACTACAGCCTGACTGCGGCCCGACGTCGCCGAGGAGAACTTTCTACTGAGCTGTTTCGATCCGCCGTCGCCCAATGACGACGGCAGAGCCATCAGGTGGCGGTCGATCAAATGGCTGACCGACACCACTTCGTGGGAATCAAACAGCGGGCTCCCCAAATCCCACATCGCCGCCGTTGCCGCCGCCGATTCCTCCTCCCCCGTTTCCTTTCTCCTGACATTTTCTTGGAACATGGTACTGCCGTTTTTCTGGCTATTCTTCTTCTTCTTCCTCTTCATCAGTTTCCTCATTCTTCTGTTCTTGTGAGAATGAATTATGGATGGCGATGAACACATACGTAACATATATAACAACGAGACAAGCACAACTTTGTTGACAGATATGCACCCCACCAACTACGAAGATGGAAGATTCGTTTCTTCCCCTTGTACAGTTAAAATATTAGAAGCACCATGCATGTGATAGATAATTAGAATCCTCGTTGGCCATCTTCTCCGATCTTGTCATTTTTCACACAAGTGAACAAATGGTGTGGAATAGTTCTTCCAACCTCGAACCAGTGAGTAGAGATGAATCCGCCAGCAAGCTCTCCGTTGGTTACAGCGATCGATGATCGACTAGACGACTACAGTCACAGTGTGCTGGCTACGAGAGGGGGTGGTGGCAGTGAGATTGCCGAGGTTTCGCACATAATAAACCGGTTGGGAATCCTAGTCATTTGGCTGGCTCCAACTGGAAAGAACCTAAACATGACTAAGAAGCACTGAAACTGTATTTCTGAGTCTCCAGAGAAATAACTGTAACTGTAGTCTAACTATGATGGCTGTAAAATCGACATTTCCCAAGAGTACATTCAATTCAACAAAAGCAAAGAAGACACTAGAGAGTCCAATCCATACGCCTCTTTTCCCTTGTTGACACAAACCCCCCAAAACTGATCATTTTGTTTCACTCTTCATCTTCACCCTCGTCCTCAGAACTCGACTCCTTTCTACGGACAGTCCCATTCGCCGCACCTTTCCTCTTTGTATCCTTCTCTTCTTCCTCATCCTCGCTGTACTCGCTCTCGTAATCATCATCGTACTCCTCTTCCTCGTTCTCTTCTTCCTCCTCGATCCCATCCTCGGCAACAAGTCCATCCTCATTCGCGAACCCGCCACGTGTGCCAGCCCTGGTTCGCTTCAGAATCTTGACCTTCAAGCTCGTCTTCTTGTCGCACCCTATCCAAGCGTCGCACATGCAGAAGCAAGTCAAATTATAGCTCCCCTCCGCTGGGGCAGGGAATTTCCCCATCACGAGGCGGGACCCACTGCGGACCTTCTCCACCGCTTCCCTGACAGCTGTACTGATCTCCTTCACGCTCGCTCCTGATCCCTCCATCGTGTCTTCGATTGCCTTGGAAGCACCGGTGATGGCGGCTGCCTCGTCCATGAAGTTGACCTTCTGGGAGAACCATACGTTGTTTGAGACAGGGTCAGCGAGGAGGAACCAGTAGTTCTCTTCCTTGTGGAAAGGGTAGTATGGAGAATGTGGGAGTCCGACAGGGAGGCCATTGGGTCGTTTCACGGTGATCCAGGCTTGGACTGTGACGATGTCACCCTCTTGTATGCCTTCTTCGCCCTCAGTCTCACATCTGACTTCGGTTGTTACTGATGGCATCATTGAAAGTACCGTTTCCACATCCTGCACCTCCGATGAGCTGAATCCTGCTACTTGAGTGAGAAGCTCTGCTCGGTCTTCTGGGGACATCTCAGAGAAGTCCTGGAATGTTCTTACCTTCTGCAAGTAAAGAAAAAAGACACTTAATGAAACGGAAGATACTTTCAATTCCTAACTTATACATATGCTGGATCTACAACACTCAGAAAGATAGTTCATCATTATTTTGTGAGTAATAGTTCATCGCATTTTGGATTTACCTTGCGAGCTATCTTCTTGATAACAGAGTCACTGAAATGTGGAAGCTGCAAAAATGGAGCAACCCCTTCGGCCGAACCTCCTGTGGACTTCCTCGCACTGAGTGGAACAGCCTACATTGGTGAAACAAAACCAAACATGAATATTTCCATACTGGAAAATAATTAGGAACTGAAACATTAAATTAGGAACAGTTCATTCATGAAAGAAAGCACGACAAGAACACAGAACATAATCGCAACTCAAACAGGTCTAAGAGAGGAAAAAATTATGGACGATTAAGAGATTCGACACTCTCCTATAATGCATAGCCAAAGACAAACGACAATTTGAGTTGGAAGGAAAAAGCAATAAAATCTCGGTGAACACTAAATATAAAGGAACATGTTAATACACACCTGAGTTATGCATTGAGAGAGCTCAACAACCCCTATAGCAGGCCTCAACCATCCGTGCATCTGAGCATTGCGTGGTATAAGTGCCATCTGCATACAAAAAGTAAAAATTAGAAACATAAAGTCTGCAGCAAAGGGATCTTCTCTCCAACATATAAGGATACGTCATATAGCAAGATGATGATAAATGAGAAGTTTCCGTCTGATTAGTTATCTGTGCAGTACAAAAAATAGAAGTTCATCACACTTCCATCTTTCTCAGAAGTTGTTGAATATGACCATAATTTGGCCAAGTAAAACCCAAAATCCTAAGGGATCTTTGTTTTATTCCTTATCTGAATGCGATATATCTCGGGCAATATAGTTAGCATTTGATCGCCTAAACAGACCACCAGTTGCCCCAAAGACAGATGCAAGCCCAAATCCCTCTGTCGTCTTATAGTTTTTTAAGCTTATTCTGCTAGCACATCAAGAAATCCTCTTTTAGTTCTCAAGTTCAGTTACCATAGAACCCCGGATTCAAAGATGATCAACTTTCTAATGCAGTGGACACCAATCGGTTCAGCCATGTTCACCTTACAAAGGAACCCTATCGCCACATACTAGCTTTCTACTAATGTGTATACCATGATAGTGCAATCTCTTTAGTTCAATATGCCATAGGATGCAACAATACCTTCATCAGTTCTTCAAGAAGACGAGGAGCAAGTTCTAGCACACGTTTGAAATCACCTTGCAAGGCTGGGGGCAGGGCTGCCGATTCCCGAGTCAACTGAGCTTGAATCAACAATTCTGTCTGCATATTGAATGATGACAGGTTGAGCCACCATAACAACAACAAAAAAGGAAGTCTATTCAAACTTTCCAAGAAAGTACCTTAACTACAGCAGGGTGCTGCTTCCAAAATTTAGCCTGTTCTTGCTTTATGTTCTTGAGGTCCAGATTCAACTCGCTTCTAACAGACATAAAGAGCTTCTGAAGAGGCTCATCATCAGTTCTCCGAACAGGAATTTCCATATATTCAGCAGCCTTTGTGAAAACCTCCATCACTTTGCTACATTGTTGGAGAAAAGGAACAAACATGTTAGAGAATAATTCTAGACTTCAACAATATGCCATCAAAACCACTACTGCAGAAGATAAGTGGAAACTAGGCAGAATGAAAATACTGGTGACCAATACACAAACTCTCCAAATGGCGTATCATCAGGCATTTAAAAGCAGAGAAAATACACATTTCTATGGAATTCAAAGAATAGCTTAGCCTGCAGAATGTACTTCACGAAGAAATCCACTAATCATGGAACGATGATAAACTAAGTGAACATAGATGACAGACCAGCAAGCATTATCTAGCAACAGATAACAATTTCATTCCTGTTGAAAGATCAACTCAATCTATCTTAAGGGATGATATGGCATGATAATTATATGGCAACTAACTTTCATGTTTACATTTAGACCAAATAGAAGCACCGTACTACTCAAGTAACATGAGTATGTTCTTCACAATCTTTTTAGAAGCCAGTGTCACTATGATGCAACTACTTGGTTGCTGAAAGAATTTACATGCTGACCAAGATTTAGGATAACCAAAGCCACTGAAAGAAAATTTACCTTGGGGCTAGTGATGGTTTCATAAAATAGTAGTATGCTGAGAGAGTTTGGTGCATGACATAATTCCCGGTATATTTTGCAGATCTTGAAAGATATATAGCAGCAATCACCAATGGCAAGAGAATACAAATACCAACGATCCAAAGTAAAAGAATTCCACCAGATGAACCATCAATGTCAAGCAGAAATTGAGGAAGAGCAATTCCCATTTTAAATCCCTGCCAAGAATCAACTATTCAGTTTTGCTTTGAAATAGAAGTACAGAAATGTCAGTAACTGAGTGCCAGTCCTAATACAAAAGCAATCACCTGTCTACCATCTGGATGGCCATATTTCTCATAGTTCTCACGAGATATTGGATCTGTCAGCGCTTGATATGCCTTTGTTATAAACTCCACAAAGTACGTGTGAGCCTCTGCGGGAAAACAAATGGAAACATAAGGCATTCATTTGATAACTAGATGATACAGAAGGTAGAAGAAAAGACTCCGCATATTTAAAATTGATCAGGCATTACAAATAAGAAATAGCCAAAGAAAAATAACACCTCCAACCTGGATCTGGATTTTTGTCAGGATGGTACTGAACAGAAAGCTTCCGGTAACTCTTTTTAATTTCTGTCTCTGATGCTCCAGGTTTCAATCCAAGTATGGCGTATGGATCAAAAGGTTGAGCCTGTTTAAAACAAATAAATCATAAGTAACCGAAGAAAGTGTTTCCAGGACAAGTGAAAGTGGCAAAACAACGGAAGTAACAAATTGAACTCCTCAAACAACAAACTAGTCGAAGTAAGTATTGCAATCAACTAAGGCACCATAAAAGAACCACAAATTTACCTCTCGGCTCATGTTCTTTATGTAACTAACTAGGAATATCATAATGACCCAGAGTAGTATCACCGTCAAGTTACTGCATGTCGAGAAGTTTGAAATCTGCGACAGGGAAAAGAATTTAGATACTCAATCACTTACCAAAGAATCCAATCAAAGAGCTCATAACACAATGTCACACTGAAATGAGTCCAAAGGAGACTAACCCGCTTAAATAGAGATTTCCGGTACTTCCCCGAACGGGTACACTCGGAACATTTACAGTGGATGGTCTTTGCTTTCGTTGAGGCAGCACGGCACAACTTCATTATTGTGTAAGGCACCAGGGGCAGTGCCATTATTGTCAGAATAAAAATTGGGAACAACGCACTATTCTCTTCAGAAGCCGCCATGTTGACCTCCTGTCACCTGGAACCAAATTTCGGACTAGTAATCACTCCAAAATACTCAAATGCAAGCGTCTAAATCGAGAAGAATCCGAGGTGAGATTCTCAAGAACTTAGAACCACGGGGAACAATCAGAAAATACCAAATTCATTGACCTTGAGCTCAGAGCAACTAACTAAGCAACAGTCCAGTTCAAGCGAGAGGCGGAGAAGAATCCGCTCAAATTGAGATATCAACGCACGGACAAAAAAATAGCACAAAATGAACTCATGAGATCAAACAGAGCTATCACTGAGACTATTCGATTACTGGCAAGGAAAGCCGGTACTGCGTCAAGCTAGACTAAACAATTGAATCGGGGCGGCGGAAGTCCCGAAACACTCCGGTGGAGCGTCCCGATTACACAACGAGCTTAAAAACGAATAAATTCGAACGCCGGAAATCCAGAGATGCAAATATGGAGAAATCGATGAGATAGTTGAAATACCGGGAAGAGACGGAGGGAAACGAGATCGGGATCTGAAACTCCGGAGCGCCGGTGCGGCCGATGGCGCGAATATGAACAGAGAGGGGGAAATGGGGGCGACGAGAAGATAGCTAATGCCCTTTGGGGTTTTTGTGATTTTTTTTCTCCCTAGATCCAAGAAAGTAACGTAACCCCGGCAACAGGTTTTGGCCCCATGATTTTACTATTATGCCCCTTTCTTGCTGATGTTACCTTAGTTTTTGAATTATCTTACCAAAAAAAAAATCCTTCTCTAGAGTGTGCTCATAAATGTTGCTTCATCCAAATCCATATTGATCTTCTTTGTAAGGTCAGCCAATTACAAGCATTCTCCAGTTTTAACAACAGATCAGCTGAACAAGAAAACTAGGTAATGTACATTTTACAATGCCATACATTATCCAAGTCGAAACTCGAACAGTTCCTCACAATCTCGACGGATCTGGATACAATTTGTACAACAATTTCGTCTACCAACTTCAATCTTTATCCCCCTATTCCAGTGATCATGCTTCTGTCGACTCAAAATTCATTTAGCCACCAACTAGGGAAGCTACTTCGATTTCACTCTATTCAACTCATTCCCCGACGGACCCATCGCGATGAATTCGCCTTCGACATGGCCGAGAAGTAATCCCCCACGTTTGCCACGAACAACGGATCCCTATCCGTGAACTTGAAATCGCTATCGCTATTGCCGGAGGTTTTACCGTGATCGGTCTGCTCCAGCTCTTTAGTCAGAGTGTCCATCGTCTTCTTCAAACTAGCTTTGCTCATTTGTCCAGCCTCCCCAGTAGATATGCCTACCATGGTGATTTTCGGAAGAAGAGGATTGTCATCCAACTTTTGCTCCATCCATTCCTTTGATGAACCATCCACTCTGTGAAGGGAGAATAACAAGTTCAGTCTGAGAGTAGTCATGAAGAGTCATGATTAATGATGGTGCTGAAGTAGGAGGCAGAAAGAGAATATAATTTTCGCACCTTGTTTCTGACCCTCTGGCCGGTTTGGATTGATTTTTCAACCATGGCACACCGAGCCAATTTCCAAAGGGTAGTCGTAAATCTGGTCGCTCTTCGTAACTCACTTGAGCATTTTCTTCTACTTCAATTTCAGAATTTCTATCACCGGCTTGGGAATTGTCAAGTAAGCTGGTTGACTTCGAGACTCGCCTTAAGGAACAGGCACTCCTGCAACATCCCCACAACAGAATTCAGGAATAGCCAAATGGGAATATCTCTCTACAGAATTCAGAAACACTAATCACATCCATTCACCATGTGGCACACTAAAAAGAACTAAAATATGTTCTAGAAGAAGTGGAAATAGAGGAGGGTGAAACTTGTAGGCGGAAGCAGCAATGTTCAAATATTGAACCCTCCTAACATTGACCCTCCATCCAACAATCATCCACTTCTCTGAGAACATAGGGCTAAGAACAAAATAAATGTCAATGGTGTCAACTTGAAGGGTATCTTCTTTTGAACAGTGTAATAAGATTGTGCCGTGGTGGAATGCTAATCTTTGCCTATGGGCTTGATAAAACGAATAAAGATGGGCAAGGTAGGTCAATGTAACATATCCCAGCTCCATCAGTCTACTGATCCCCAACTGACTAACTGTTCAAATATAAGAATTTAATGTATTTATATTTTACACACTAAAATTTAGAAGACGGTAGCTGAGGGCTGAAGAGATAGCATCTGTGTACCTTCTCTCAAACGAATCAACAACGTAGGGGAACCTTGGTTGAATCCCAGTGGCCTTCCTCAACCAACGGTTACCCAGGAGTAACTTATCAACAACATAAGAAAGCTGGATTTCAGCAGCTTTCGAGATGACACTTAGAGGTATACCAGGATTTCCTATCTCATCCATCATTTCCTGAACCTGTCAACCAGAAAAAAATTACTTTTCTCTACAGATAAAAAATCTGTATAGTTTTTGGTAGTATGAATATCATTACTATTAAAGTACAACCGTGTGTATGCTTCTCAGGGATTTCTTTGTATGTTTCTCTAATTGAACATGCTCACTGCGCCAAAGTAACTGGAACAATTAATTGTAACTCTTTACCTCGGGTGGCTCATTTAGGCTTTCTGCCATTTCTTCAATCACTTCTGCAGCCAAGTTGTCGTCAACTATATCTCGTCGCCGCTGCATGTGCCGAGTTTGTATTAAAGTGTGGAAATGCTGATCAACAGACTCTTCAATAATACCATCTAGCATGCCTTTATCGAAGAAGTACGGAGTATACCTAACAGTACAAAGCATTGGCATAAGCAGTAGATAAGAATATTGGCATTATCAAGTGTCAATTTCATAAAAATAGGAAAAAAGGATCTCAACATTGCAGGGGTAAGCCCTTCAGTGTCCAAGTGAAACAATTACAAATTTCACCATATAAGTTCAATTATCAACAAAGCGAACTTCTAATGGAAAAGAAAGATGTGTTTTCACACAAAAAACAGATGCAGATCAGGAGTGTTTCAATTGATAGTTCCCTAATGTATACAAAAACATAGTGGCCCTGACTAGGATGAGGTGCCAGTAACATAATGTTCTCTATCATACGAATTCCTGATGGACAAACACCATACTAACATTCATTCAAGTGAAGTGAACACTAAAGACCAATTCTAGTCTTGGAAACAAAGATTTCAGACCTCAAATTCAAGTATAAATTACTGCCTCAGAAGTTAATGATTACCACTTAATTCCTTCAGAGGTAGCTATGGCGATATCCAGGTTCTGAGCAGTAAAAACAGGAACCCCATCCACCTTTCTCTTCCCTTCACTTTGCTGCATTGTCTTCAGGAGCTGGTTTGCTGCCTTGACCTATAAGAGCAGAATATTAAGAATGGAACAATGATGCCTATAAAAGTATGACAGGATCGATCAATCTGACAGCCATTACTATTACAGCATATAGACATACTCTACCTGTTTTTCGTTTGGAACAAACTGAAAGAGATGTGGTTTTTCCTGCACAAAGAAGTAACAAGAATTAGCCCGCTCTTGAAACATACAAGTGCCAGACATTTATTAGGAACTCAAGCATGGTTGAAAACTAAGAAACACAACCTAGTGGTGGAATCCGGTGCAACCATAATGAAAATCAAATTCGACAAGTAAGCAATACCTTGAAATGTTCATATGCCAGATCAAGGCGGCAAGCACCCACAATGCCACTGGGGATGTTAAGTTGTTTCACGTACGAAACTATACAAGTAAGTAACAAAACATCAAGTTAGACACTACTTCTGTCAATTAAGAACATGCAACGATCGTACTTGTTGATCTAGCAAATGGTTAAATTGAAATAACAACTTAACCAGCGTCACAACAAGAATATGAGCATTACAAGAATATAGACCGAGTGAACCTAGATGACACCCTTTGATAAAAATTCATCATATGAGAGCATTACTCCTAGAGCTACTCTTCCACAGTCAAGCGAGATTAAACCCAACATTTGCTGATAAATTCTGCACTGAAATCCCTACCACCGTCAGAAATGGAAAAGGTTGCATGCAAAGTTCTGTACTGAAATCAAACCTGCGTCGCCTAAATCCATGAAGAATCTAAACACGGGGCCATTTCTCTCGCTCTTGGTAACAGTTGCAAAAACCTTCTTCAACCACTCGGGCGTTCTGAATAGCATAAAAACGTGGCAGCCATGAGTAATTCGAAACTCGCCAGTGATTCTAGCACCAAGAACTAACAAATTCGCTGAATAACAAGCAAAGACACAAAGCAGAGCTCAGAGAGGCGAAACCTTTTAGAGAGGAATGGAATATCGAAGTGAGTAGAGACGGCCATCAATCCAGTCCCGGAAAGATCGCACATACTGAAAACCTGCCCTACGAAAGCAGGCCCGCCGCCCTTGCCGTCGGAACTCAGTCCAGAAATTCTGACCGTGGACGGGAATCCCGAATTGGACTCGGCAGAGGATAAGCCCTTGACCGTCGCCGATTTCGATGAGACCGAGTCGGGCTGAGAGGACTCGTGGGGAGAACGGAATGACTGTGGATGACACGAATCGACGAACTGAAAGGGTAAGCAGACTTTGGGAGGCGAAGAAGCCGGAGAAGCTGATGGCCGGGGATTGGGAAGAAGAGAGAGGACGGCGGAGGTAGTTGAGTGGAAGAAATTGGGAAACAGATGACGCTGGTGCTGCGGCGGTTCCGACGAGGAGGCCATCGACGCCAACTAATTTTTGGGAGGTCGGCCGACGGGATTTTTTTGAGCTGAGCCGATAGATGTGAGAATATTTGGAGGGAGGTGAGGTGAGTACTGAGTACTGACTACTGAAGAGCCGTTTAGCCAATGCCCTTATTTTGACATTTGCAACCCGGCCCAATCCATCCATGGGCCGCTCTGTTTGTTAAAAACTGTTTTCATCCCATTTTTTCCCGTTTTACTTTTACCTTTTGTTTGATATAAGAAGTGATTTCGTAAAAATGTATATAAGTCGATAAAAGAAATAGAGCCAATGAATATTATTAAAGTTACTAGTGATAGGCTCGGCCAGTTGGCCAAATTCATTGGCTAATCACGTCAACATCAGTAGCAATTTGTATGTGATATACACATTTCTTTGGTAGTACCGAGTACGTATAAGAAAAACTAAAATTTTCAAATTAGTGAGTATCCAAATTAATTGGCAGCATTAAAAAAATTCAAATTATTAAAATACTTCAATCATTCAAAAGGACCTACATCCTAGTGTTTTCCGACATTGTAAATAACACATCGACTAAAATCTTTTTCACGAAAAATGAAAGAAAAACCACGTGCTAGGGAACCGACTCCTCATTTTTTTCCGGAGAACCCTTCTATTTACTCCTAGGGGTGTTCAAATGGTTACCGTGGTAATAACCAAACCAATTAAGCCTAAATTTCATTAACTATTGAATAAAATGTCTTAACCAAACCATCCAAATTAACATGAAAACCAAATTAACCAAACCAAAGTTTAATTGGTTTGGTTAATCGGATAATCGGATTAACCAAATAACATAACATTACATGAAAGCAATTATCCTATTAATGAATAAAACATAACCATATGTTATTACTATCATAAACTATCATTATATATAAACAATAATAATAAGACTAACCATCCATGATTATCATCATCATTCGAGTTAATACATCGTTCATCATCTCTGCACCTAATATAGTTAGCTTACAACAAACCTTTGACATAAATATTAAATACATACCAATACCACTCATCAGGAAGTTAAAGCTCTCCTACAAAACACTTAAACTATACATAGTTTGAGGTGGTTGTCATGGTATTGTATTTGTACGTACTCCTAAAGTCTAGTAATTGTCCAAAATGTTTTGGTTTAGTAAATAGACAAACTCATTTAATTTTTCACACATAATGCTTTGGTTTGTTGTGCACATGAAATAGGGAATCACGAAAGTTTGGTTTGGTTGGTTACATCGAAGTATAAATAATTTTATATATTAGGTGTATCATTAATGGGTTAATTGGTTTCATTGGTTAGCAGTGTTGAAACCAAATCAAACCACTTAAACCAAATAAGCTAAATTGTTTAACCAAACCAGACCAATTATCCAAATTAACCAAACCAAATAAACCCTAATTACATGTATTGATTGTCTACAGTACCATATTGAAAGTTGGATGAATAACACTTTACCTAGCATGTAAATTATTGGAAGGTGTAATTCGAATGGAGGAATTTTTAATGATTTATGGCATTAGTGTTTTAACTTAAAAAAAGATTAGAGTATAAATGGAATTTGCAACTTTAAATTTAAAGTATAAATTCAGTTTGTATTTATATTTTTTTTTAAATTCTTTTATGGTATAAGCTAACTTTGTACTTTTATGTTATTGTACAAATTGAACTTGTGTCATGATATAAATGTACAAATTCTTTCATGGTACAAACTGAATTTGTATATTTATATAAGGATAATGTCTATTTTTTATCCAAACTTTTTTCAAATTTTTTAATATTATTCAAACCTATTAAAATGCTATTAATTAACCAAAATTTTCATAATGCATCAAAGTATTAGTCTTTTTTACGTTATCGTTAATAATTTTTTAACTCTTTTCTTAGTTAAAATACTAATTTGAAATATTGACATTCATGTGCCTCTTCCAAGTCAATATCATGTTGTCAAGTCAACATTACTAACAAAATTGATAGCTGAAAGTTGACATTTGGCTAATTCTTAGTATTTAATAGGTTTGGTTAATAAAAAGAATTCGAAAAAGTTTTGGCTAATAAATAGTCATTACCCTTTATATAATGATACAAATTCAACTTGTGTCATAAGATAAGATAAAGGGGTTAATTGCTTGGTTGGTCACTGAGATTACAAAAAATGTTAATGTTTGGTCACTGAAAATATTTAAATGTTCTTATAAAAAAATATTTAAATCCAATCTTGGTCACTCAAATTAGTTAAATGGTTCAAGTTTGGTCCCTCTCTGTTACCTTCCGTCAATCTCCGTTAACGCAGTCAATTTTTTGCTGGCGTGGCTAACAGAAATACCTAGTCACCCAATTTTAATACAAAAAAATTAAAATTCAACCCACCACGTCATTAAAAATTTCCACGTCATATAACCACAACCAAACTCATAAAGCAACCTGAACCAACCCCCTCTCTTTTCCCCTCTACCCTCTATCTCTATCTATCTGCGTTTCGTCTTCCTCCTCGTGAAACTTTAATTCTGCTTCCTCTTCCTCAGTCAGCAGCTCACGATCTGGCAATCGACTATGGATTCAACTTCATCGCTTGGAACCCCACCATTTTCGTGAGTGATATCCTCCCCAAGAACTTCAACAGCAACCCCTACCAGCCAAATCGAACTCTAACCCCCCCCCCCCACCTTTCCGAACACCAAGAAAACAAAATTCGAAATTGAAAGCCCAGCCGTCGAACTAGCGAACCACACCAACCCCGGCGAGCTAGCTGCAATACGACTATGTTCCTCGCCAACCAAGTAGCAGCGGCGGCGGCAGCCCACACTCCTCGCTGTATCAAATCGAAGAACCATAGCGAAAGATAGAGCGAGCGACGCGCTATTGGAGAGTGAACAGATGGAAAGAGAAGAAGAAAATGAGATTCAGACTAATTAGATCTGGAGCTCCGAATTTTTCCCTCACCATAAGTCGATCTTTGCCGACTGATGCTCCCTGTGGTAAGGTCGGATTCGGGGACGAGGATGTCGGATCGACTCTGAATTGGGACCGACCTAAACGACCTGGGGTTTGGGCCTCCCGTCAATGGTCTCTGAAGTGTGGTCGGAGCAGCGACGTCGAGAGGATTGAAGGGTGGACAGAAGAATTTGGGGAGGTGGAGTAGAGGATGAAGGCTGCGATGGGTCGACGGTCTTCCTCATCCTTGCCGGTCGGCAGCGAGATCCAGATCTGCCCTGCCCTGCCCTGCCTTCGTCATTCATCATCGCCTGTTTTCGTCATAATCAAAGATTTGTTGGGAATAGAGGAGAGAGAGATGCATAGTGGAGAGAGGGACAGGCGGAGAGGAAAGAGAGAGGGTGGAGGCGGTCAGAATCAGAATACGGGTTGTTGTGTATAGGTTTAATTTGGGTTGGTTAATGGGCTGGATTGGAATTTTGATGGTGTGGCTGGTCGGGTATAAAGTTTTTTGGGTTAAAATAGGTTGATTGGACGATTCTGTTAGCCACGTCAACAGAAAAGTAACGTCGTTGACGAAAGCTAACGGAGAGTGGCCAAACATGACATGTTTTAGTAAACTTAGTGACTAAAATTGGATTTAAATATTTTCAGTGACCAAACATGAACGTTTTTTTTTTTGTAATCTCAGTGACCAACCTTGCAACTAACCCTAAGATAAATGTACGAGTTTTCTTAAGATACAAACTTAACATATATTTAAGTTATTATATAAGTTCAATTTGTGTTTCGAAATACCAATACTTGAAAAACGATGGAATGACTCATCCCATTGATTTTTTAATAATGAAACTGAAATTCGTTTTAATAAGATGGCTTTTGTAGGCAGATTGTATACATATCTTTAATTTATCGCACAATATTACCCTTTCCTTCATAGTAGCTTTCTCCATTCATCGAAGGAACTCACATTCATAAAAAATAAAAAAAAAGTTGCTTCGTTATCTATGATTATAATGAAGACAGGATTTTGTGATAGATCAACTAATTGGAATTGTGCACTAGTGTTAGGTTTTCATATAATTGATTACCCCGACTTTCTTTTTGGCCTTTATTAGTCGTTACTATGTTACTTTCGGAAGAAATGAAATATATATAAATATAATCCTCGTTATATTTGTTGATCTGGTTCATTCATGGGAATTTAATATAGATCTAGCCTAGGACCGGCAAAGTTAGGAAAGAATCAAAGATAGTTTAAACTACGAGGGACCAACAAATTAAGAGTTCACTGATCCACCGACAAAAGGCCCACAACGCGGCCCAGTTAGATATCGTCGTCACCTCCGCCTCTCGCCCACGTATTTCGCGGGCATCTCTGACGGTGGCAGTGAATTTGTGGACACGTATGTTTCAGCAAGTTTGGTTGTTTCCTCTCGGACGTGGCTCCCACGCCCCCCATAATGGAGCGTACGCGTTGGTACGGGGCCGGGCCTAAATTTAACCTTACCGGGTTGGCCAAGTTTGGCCCGGTCAACATTTAATAATTTTATAAATCCAGACCGAAAGTATTTTAGTAGTATAATTATTGAGTAAATGCCACATTTGGTCACTGAGACTAGTAAATCGTGTCATGTTTAGTCACTGAAAAATATTTAATATCTATTTTGGTCACTTGAATTACCGAAATATGTCACATTTAGTCACTCTCTCGTTCGCCTCCGTCCAACTCCGGTCACTCGAATTATTGAAACATGTCACATTTAGTCACTCGAATTACTAAAGCATGTCATATTTAGTCATTCTCCTGTTAGTTTTCGTACAACTCCATTAATGAAGATGGACAGAAACTAACGGGAGAGTGACTAAATGTGACTTGTTTCAGTAATTCGAGTGACCAAAATTGATATTAAATTTTTCTATTAACTAAACATGACACAATTTAGTAATCTCAGTGACCAAATGTGGCATTTACCCGATAATTATTATTATGGTTAGTAGGATTCCCAATCTCTAAATTTCCTTTGTTACGAGTAATCGCGGGTGTCGAAAATCAATTCCTAGAAGTCCTTGAAAGAGGATTTACTAACAAAGGCACCAATCTCCTTTCCAATGACCATAGTACAAATCCCTCAAAGTGTAGATATTTTAGGCCCTTTCATTATGATTTATGGCTCCTTCACTAGTTAGGACATTGCAAAGCATGAACTTATTTGTAACGAACGAACATTTCGGACCCTATCTTGATGAGGAATAAGATCCAAAAGAGCACAAAAAAAGAGGTAATAATAGGTCAAAGCAAAGGAAACATTAACCTAATTGCATCAATACGAGGGTGATATCAGTTTATTTTTTAATTATTAGTTGTGACTTAATAAATTCAAACCAACAAATTTCAAATTGAACACCAACAACAAAATTACTAGATCAACTCGTTATTTGCAACCACCCGTACAAAGCTTTCAATCACACCCCCAACGAACTAAAGCCAACACTAACAAAATGCTCACAACCTGAGGTAACTCGACCAGTTTCACCCTACATATAAACTGAACAACACAATTTACTACACGAATAATATAGGGTAAATGCCACATTTCGTCACTGAGATTACTAAATCGTGTCATGTTTAGTCATTAGAAAAGTTTAATATCAATTTTGGTCACTCGAATTACTGAAACTGGTCACATTAGGTCACTCTATTGTAGCCTCTGTCCAACTCCTGTCACTCGAATTATTGAAACATTTCACATTTAGTCACTCGAATTACTGAAACATGTCACATTTAGTCACTCTCCCAAAAGTTTCCGTCTAACTACATTAATGGAGTTGGATGGAAACTAACAGGAGAGTGACTAAATGTGACCAGTTTCGGTAATTCGAGTAACCAAAATTGATATTAATTTTTTCTAGTGACTAAACATGACACAATTTAGTAATCTCAGTGACCAAATATGGCATTTACCCGAATAATATTTTTACCATTACTTCACTTATCACCCCTATTGTGTTTACACCCAGCGGCCAGCACATTAGCACAACATCCCGAAGTGCCGTAGTGGAGCATCAGCACCTTGTTCGAGTGGATCCAGTAATAAACGGGCCGGGGGATGGGCCCATAACTAGTTAATTAGTTAACAATATTTAATCCCGTCCCCCACTCTCGCTCCGGGCCTTTCGAAACCGGGAGATCCCACAACTCCCGATTGCCAAATGCGTAATGGCGCACGTCGGCCGAGTGATCCCCACGAACTCCGCAGGCGCGTGAGATTTGTCCCCCACACAGCTTTTTTTTTTTTTGTTAGGCCGTGTGTGGGAAGTTTGGGAGGCACAGAAGACACCACACCAGTGTACAGCACTCCCCGCGCGAATATTTATACCATCGCTGTTTTGGGCCCCATTTTGACATTTCGCCCAAAGTCAAAGAAAAAGCATCTCTTCTTTCTTGTTTTTCTCGCTTCTTCGATACGATTTCTTTTCGCAAAGGTCAATCCGGTACCGAATCTATTCTTATTCATTCACACAAGTCCTTGAACATCAACAACGGCTGGAGGTTAAATGGTTCGTGGAGTGTTTCACAAGATTGTTAACCCGCGGCTCGACCAGCTGATTTCTCCATTTTAATCCGGCGAGAAAAAAGAGTCAATCTGCTTAAAGATTACAGGGTTGGGAGTCACACGATATCGTTTTCTCTTTGGTTTGCGAAATGTGTCTATTTTTCAGTTTTTCTCTTCGCATAGACCTATCTTTGGAATTCTAAGTTGAACATATGAATATTGATGATATATAAGTGTGTGTGACTTTTCACTATATGTTCAATCCAAGTACGACATGTTATTTTAGTGTAATGTTAAATGTTATAACTATATGTTCAATCCAACTAAAGCGATCAGACCATTAACCCTCGACCCACTTACTCGATCGGGCCAACGGGCTAAATCGGGTTGACAACCTTGGTGTTTCAGCACCATTGTAAGTATAGATCACTTCAATCCTTACATTTGGTGCAACTGAATTTATCAAAACCCCTCATGTGGATGGATTTACACTTAAGTCCGTAAGTGTTTACATTGATCGTTAAACCACCATCATGATGACACATGGATTTCTATAAAAATTATGGATATTTTATAAACGAATTGTGAAGAAACCATATTCACCCTCCAAATCGTTTCTTCACTAACAAAACGTTCATGCAACTCACACTTTTGATAATTGCTTTCATGAACCCTTGCGTAATGCTTATGACTTTTTTTTTTGTTCAACCTACTCCAAATAGAGAGGTGTGTTGTTTCTAGTTTTGTTCTCTAATATTTGTGAGTTTACAATTTGAATATTCCTTGAACAGTGATTCTCGTACCACTCGTCTTTGAACAGTGAACTAGGGGTCAAAGAAACACCAATGGAGAGAGCATCTTGGCCTGGTGAACACCAAGAAACGATACTCACACCACTCAAAATCACTCATCAGATTCGCCATCAAGAAAGTTCAGGAACCTAAACTTTCAAACAATATAAAACCGTGGACCTAATTGACTTTTTCCTGTCTATATATTTTTCTATCTTTTGTCGGTATAAATAAATCGAATAATAGCATTTCAACCCCTCCCTCTCTTCCAGAAGTCAGTGCTCCACCACCACCACCATCTCTCATTCTTTCGATCCTTTCCTAGCGCGCTCTCTCTCTCTCTCTCTCCCTTCTTTCCAATTTTTTTTATATATTTCTTTTTATTGCTTTACTCTTTTCTTCCCCTTCTCTCCTGTCTCCTTCCCAATCCCCAGAAAAAAGTCAGCGCCGCCTCTTTCTCCTCTCCTCTCCTCCTCCGTTGATGGCCGACGACTGGGATCTCAACGCGATCGTCAGGAGCTGCAGCTCCGTCGCGGCGGCGCAGCCCGACAACTCCGCCGCCTCCTGCTCAAACAGCAACAATCCCCATCGCGAGAACAACCCGCTCTCCGGGTTGACTTTCGACGACGAACCCGACCCGTTCGCCTTCCCGGATCTAACGGTGCAACCCGAAGACAAAAGCTACAGCTACAACAACTTCCCCGATTTGCTGCAAGATTCGTACAAGCCGTTCTTGTCCCCTCCCGCCGCCGCCGGTCAACGGAGCGTTCTCATCCCTCCTCCTCCCAACAATACTTCAAATTCCAATTTCGGAGCTCCGAGTCAGCCGCGGACCACCGCATCAACCGTGAGCCCGCGGGTAGTCAATCCGAAGACCCACCACCAGCAGCAGCAGCAGCCACGCCAGCCGCAGGATCTTGGCGGTCGTCATCGAAATCAACGGCAGCAGAGCACCATTATTACCCTGGGCCCTCCTTCTTCCGTAGTAGTCCATCCTGCGTTGAGGACGGCGGCGACCTTGCCGTCGCAGCAGCCCGCAGCCAGGTCAAGGAAAAAGTGAGCCGCAGGTTAAATTTGAAATTTACTTACCCCACAGTAAAAAAAACAAAATTGGATTAATTATGCTGTAATAATTAACGTTTCCTTTCCGTTTTGTGCAGAAAGAACAACCAGAAGCGGCTGGTTGTCCAGGTGACGGCGGATAATCTGTCGAACGATGTTTGGGCCTGGCGGAAGTATGGGCAAAAGCCCATCAAGGGCTCCCCGTACCCAAGGTTAGTGTTTTCCGCTAAACTTTTTTTTTTTTTTATAGAAGAAAATAAATTGGGGGAGCTTTTAGGCAGAGAATTTAATTCCGGGGGAGTTAATTAAGTGTTATTATTTATTATTATTATTTTCTTTTTTTGGCAGGAACTACTACAGATGCAGCAGCTCAAAAGGTTGCGCGGCGAGGAAGCAAGTGGAGAGGAGCACGACGGATCCGAACATGTTCATCATCAGCTACGCCGGCGACCACACGCATCCCAAGCCCACACACCGGAACTCGCTCGCCGGCAGCACGAGGACGAAGTTCCCGGCGGCGAAGGCGGGTGCGGCGGAGGGAAAGGAGTCCGAGGCGGCGGCACAGCCCGCGCCGCCGCCGACCGCCAAGGAGAAAGCCACGTCGGCGGTGGCGGTGAGTCTTTCCCCGACCACTCCGCCCTCGGCGACGATGGACCACGACAACAACAACAACAAAAACGCGGCGGTTGCGGAAATGATGCCGACGAACGCGGATATCGATGACGTGGACGGGCTGCCGGAATTCGAGAGCGGCGAGGATGATGCGAACGTGGACGATTTTGACAATATCTGCGACGATGACGACGACGATGACGACAGCATTTTGATTCCGAATAATAATAGCAACGTGGATGAGGATATCTTCATGAAGGGCTGGAAAGAGCTCGGCGGTGAAGGCGCGGCGTTTGGGGATAACTTCTCTTCTTGGATCTACGGTAGTACCTCTGCCGCCGGCGGCGGCGGCGGCGGATAGGTAAGTGAATATTAACTATCATGTAATAATTATGTATATCTATAAATATATATATATATAGAATTCTGTTATTTCTTTCTTTAATTTGTAGGGTAGGAACGACGAACGGAGGAAGAACTTATTAGATGTAATATAAAAGCATAATTTTATTTATTTTCTTTTTTGCTGTTTGGTGGCCACATTGGTAGATTGAGAAGGAAGCAGAGATTAGAAAGGGCGAGAGAGAATCTTTACCCATCCACCCATACTTTTTTTTTTTTTGGAGTCTTTTCAAAACTTTCCTTTTGGCGTTTGATCTTTTGTTTTGGAGCAATATATGTGAATTAGGGTCCAGTCATCATTTTAGCAACTTTGAGGAGGGATTTAGAAATGGATGGTGCTCCGATTAAAACGGGTGACGGGGAGTGACGTGGCGCCTTTCATTTTACAGGAAAAATCAGGGAGAGTGTTTACATGTACTAAAACTTCCCAATAGTAGGAAAATTAGTGGTTACATGGATTCTTCATATATAGAAATTCTCTTGGTGGATGTAGACGCCGGGGCAGATTGATACTGCCGAATTGCATGTCTTTTTGATTTCGGTTATTTGAGAAAATGTTGACGAGTATATTCTATCTCAATCTGAAATTACTTAGTTCGTATTAACGTCGACACTTTTATGCATGTTATACAGATTTAGAATGTTGAAATATGTGATGGATAACCTCCATCTATCAATGCAAACTGATACTGTTGAATTGCATGTTTCGTGATCTCGATCATTGAATATACACAATGTAAAGAAGTGGTTAAGTACCATATACACGATCATCTCCCCAACAATTCAAGTTATTTGGACCGGTTGGTTTATGACATGGTATCGGAGCTGGTTTCTCCTTAAGGTCACGTGTTGAAGTCCTCACTGCCCGTAATATTAACCGTTGCATTTCAAGCACATGGTATGGCAGACCTGTGCAAACTTCAAGCCTATGAGTCAGTTTTCATTTAAGAAGGCGTGTAAGGAAGTGATTAAATAACATACTTTAGCATGTTCCAACAACTCGAGTTATTGTGACTAGTTGATTTATGAAACACAATGAGGTTATTTATAAAAATGTCAACTGGGTACTATCCAGCAACACATGGTTGCAGTTGCAGACTCTAAAAGTACCAACTCTTTAGACGTTCTACACCATTTTGCATTTTCCATGTTGATATACGGATTTAGCAAATGCTGAAATGGCCAAATGGGTGTTAAAATGGAGCCATTGAATTTAATCGAAAGAAAAAAGAAAACGGAGAACAAAGTCATTGAAGTTGAGGTGAGAAAGAGAAGATTAGTAAAAGACCTTGCACTTACTATCAAATTATGACATTCATTGTACAGAAAAAGGGAAAAAGTAAATGATGGCACTCAAAATCTTAAATGATGGTTATCGCAAAATCTTGATAAGATTGATTTGAATCCTATAACCATGTCAAAAAGAAATTGATGGGAAATCTCTGTAATATATAGGGGTGATAATCGGTTGACGGTTTCTCAGTTAAACCGAAAACCGATCCGAACCGAGCGGTTATTCACCAAACCGAAAACCGATAAAATGTCTTCGGTGGCGGTGTCGGTGGACTGTTTTGGGGAATTATGTTAACCGGCAACCGTCGGTGGCTAACCGAGATAAAACTCGGTGCACCGAATAACCGCCCCGCTCTCTTCTTTTTCCCCTAATCGGCTAATCCCCCTCCCATCCCAAGTCCCAACCCCTTCATGGCTCTCTCGAAGAAGAATCTTCGTTGCCCCTCCATCCTCAATCGCTGCCTGTCCGCCATCGAGATCCAGCTAACGAAGGCCAAGAAGGAAAAGGGGTCGCTGTAGCAGTGAAGATCGATCGTCGGTCGTCGTCGCCATCCCGTCCTTCTTCATCCTCAGAGGTCGACGAGATCTGGAAAGAGTCGAAGTTGTCTCAATCGTTGTCCCTTCCTCATCCTCCAGATCCAAGGCCTGGCGGCAGTAGAAGTAGGTCGATTTGGTCGATCCTCTGTCGCCGTCGGCAGGCGCAGCAAGTCGATCCTCGGTTGTCGTCGCCGTCATCATCCCCTGCATCACCTTGCAATTTCATTGGTCGCTGCCATGTCTTCTTCCTCGTCGTTGCCGCCTCCCATCTATCTCGCCGGCACCCCTCGTCGGAGCCAATTGCTAGCTCACCGTCGCCGCAAAGTGAGAGGGTAAGAGGCTAAGAGCAGCAGAGCCAGAGATGGCAATCTCAAAGATTGCATGAGATTTTGAGAGAGAAAGAGAGATACGGGAGTTTGATTTGGAAATTTCCAGAGAGAAAGAGAGAGACAATCCCAAAAGTTCCCCTCCTTTTATTTTAGTGGTCGGGGTCGGTTTTGGTAATAACCGCACCGCAGTTAGCGGTTTCGGTGGCGGCTAACCGCAGAGCTTCTCGGCTTCGGTGGCGGTTGGTGGAAAAGGCTCATTTTTTGTGGCGGTTAACCGACGAAACGGTTCGGTTAAACCGCAACCGAACCGATTATCAGGCCTAGTAATATAAACGAACAATGTGATGTGGGAAAGAAGATGGTTGAAGACCATGGCGTTTAATTTGTGTCTCTATCACTATGTTTGGCAACAAAGAAGTGTAAATTTGAGTGTAAATGTATGGAAAAAATTGTAGTGGATGTAAATTGGTGGGGTGTAAATGAGGAGATAAATTGTTATTTGGATGGAAAAAATAAGGGGTATAAATAGAATGAAAAGTAAGTAAATTATATTAGTATAAAATAAATTTATCAATAATTTATTATAAAATAAATTTATCAAATTTACAATTAATTATTTTTATAAATCAAAATGACATGATGACTTGTCGCTGACCTGTGCGATGATTTGACATCCTAGTCAGCCTAACATTAACCTCACTGACGGAGTCTCTAATACCGTTAATGTTTGTAATGGAAATGACTAAATTTGTCATGAAACTTTCAAAATTATTACTATTTTATGTATTTCTCAAAAAATGGCTATTATTATTACAAACACGATTTTTTTTGGCTACACTGATGTATTTTGCCTAAAAATAACGAGAATTTTTACAAACTTTTCGTTGAGTAACACCATATATATATATATTGAATTACGAAATCACGGAAAATTGATAATACTATGGTCTTCCAATTTTTACCACTACCAAAATGATTTTACATAATATTCATCATATAGCTTTCTTAGTTCCCAATGAACAAGAGAGACCTCTCATATGTTCGTTTACCACCAGAAATAATTGAGATCAGTCATCAGTACACTGTCACATGAAAGCAATCAAAGAGGTGGGGAATGAAAAGGGAATTGAAATAACCTTAATGGGTGCAGCCTCTCTAATTATGCGTCTCGTCCTTTTTGGAGGTTGGCTCAGAAATTGTTTCTCGTCCACACACACTGTTCTTTCTTTGTGGGCAATTTTAGGGTTTCTGCGTTTTAGCGCGTTCATTCGAAGCTTTGAGTGGAATGTCCTGTTCATGACCTTCCAATTCAGTATCCTATGTGGCCCGGTGGGAATGCCAACTAGCTGTAATGGAAGGATACATTAACAGACTAATGTTTGGGATATAGATTTTCAAAGAAATGAGTTTCTTGTTACGGTATCAAAGTCTCGCTTGATCGAGATATCTTGCATTTTACATTCTAGCACGTCGAGTTCTGAACATTAACTTGGGTTGGTACTCGATAAAGAGAAAAACATTTTAAAATCGATCTCTCATTTTCTCGTGTGCTTTACTTGCTAGCTTGTACGCAATGATTAATAAGTTATAATCAGTAGGGCAGCTAAATAATTAAACGATCTTTTAATCTAAGTCGTTTTGCAGTTCAACTAGGTCTGATTAGAAACAATAAAATGGAAGTGAAGAATTTCGGGGTTTAGAGGGGAGAAAGAAAGAGCGATCGAATAAGAACATGACTCGCATCATTGATATATCGTCGTTATTATATTTTTCTATAGAAAAAAGTGATAAATCAATACTCTTAAATTATAACACTACTATATATAACGAGAGAAAAACATGTTGAAAACGCTACTCACTCGTTAAATACGAACCTAAAATAACTCTCGATAATATTAGTTGAGTTAAACACCAAATATGCGGGGCTAGTAGGGGTGGATGGCCGGTCGGTTCGGTTAGAAACAATAACATAATGGTCGGTTATCGGTCATCCAAACCACCTCCCAACGGACCCAACCCTACCGACCACCGACCGAAAGAGAGCTTAAGCCTTCGGTTATCTCTGTTTTCGGTTAACCGAACAACCATCAAGACCAAAACCATCTCACCCAACCTCCTAACACCAATCGAGTTTTGGTTATCGGTTAGTGAATAACCGACCGGTTTCAATTGTAACCGGCCTATTAACCGCTAACGGATTGTCCAGCCCTAGGGCTGGGATACAAAAGAGTCCTCTTTTTATAATGTTGAGAGAAAGCAACTGGATAAGTCAAGTGCAAACCGTGATACCGACTCTCCACATCCTCGGCTGAGGTTAGGCCTTTGACTTCTCACGAGAGAGATCCCAGTTTTGTCTTTGTAGGAGAGGCTAACTACCAGCGCCGCGCAGCTTCCTTTGCCACGGTCAAATATTTATCTATATTCCTTTTCCAAGCTGGCTCGGTCAAACATTCAGGTATCCATTGTATTTCATTGACTCTTCTTCTTATCTTCTTTTTTTGTCTTTTGTCTAATCTGCCAAATCCAAGTGGTAACGTGCATTAGAAAAATACTCAATGGGTAACAGATCAGTCGTATAATTTTTATTCTTTAATTCTATAAGTGCATTTAGCAAACGTCATTGTGATGTTTGTTTGGGGCTTATCTGCAATAAAAGTATAATCTACAATTTCGTCCATCGATCGGAGTATGAAACTTGAGGCCAATACTATCTATGAGAAAATGTCATGTAAAATTTACGCTGTAGAAGTGTAACTTAACAGGGTTTGAATGCTCGTCATATAAAATTAACCGTAAATAAGTAAGGGGAGATGAAATCATTGAAATTTGAAAGAAAAAATCAATTTAAGAATCAATATTGGCAAGGATTTAGCGACTATGATCGTATGGCTATTGACCGTTTTTAGGGCATAGTTGTTGCCTATTGATCATGGCGACTCATATTTTATATTTGTCAAAGACTCAAGAGGTTTCTGCTCTATAAGTATCATGACTTTTTTTTTGAAACAAATATAAGTATCATGACAATGTCGTAATTTTGAAATGTTAAGTTCGAGTCTTGTGAATTCTTTCATTTCGTATTATTATTATTTTATAGGATTGATGGGAGTAAGAGAAGCAGAATAGTTTTGTTTGAACATTTTAGGAAAAGTGGGAGGAATTTAATGGGAGCATCATGGAGAGGAGGTGCTAGCGTCGCATATCATCATTGGTTGTTCTCCAGAATCCCATGATGTCTAATATACCCCAATAGTGGGTTGTGGTGTAAAATTGCAACTTGCTCTGACTTTCCATCTTATCTTAATGCATCCATATGTTGGGGTCGTTTATTCTCTCTCACTAGGATAGGGATAGCAATGGGTTGGGTTGGGTTGGGTTGGGTTGGGTCGGGTTTTACCAAATTCAAACCCAAATCCATGGGTTTATCCGTGAAAAAACCTCGGGGTAAAATCTACTGGGTTTGAAAAATTCAAACCCAACCCAACTCGCTGGGTATTCGCTGGTTCATGGGTACCCATGGGTTTTTGTTGTAAAAAAATTACAGTAACAAGTTCCTATCAAAATAAAAGTCAAATATCAATCTCTTAATACAAATTATCCATATATAAAACACCATTCTAGAAAATTCAAGCAAATCACAAATTAATCATACAAATAGTTCAACACCAATCTAGAAAACTCAAGAAAATTGAAGCTAATCACAAATTATCCATAAACAACATGATTAATTGAAAACTTTTCCCTCCTTGTCAATTAAGCTTCCTCACTCTCTAATCGATAATATCAACTTCATTCTACACAATTAGAAAGAAAAAATTAGATATGTCTCTACAAACATAAAAAAGATTAGTTGTTTAGAATATTAAATATACCAGAAAAATTAATTATATGGGTGTGGGCGGGTACTCATGGGGCGGGTTTATCTAAACCCAAATTCAACCCAACCCGATGAATAGTGAACGAGTTTAAACCCAAACTCGGCCCAAAACCCGTTAACATGAGTTTTACCCGCGTTGACCGGATTAAATCGGGTGGATACTCGTGGGTTTGTGTTTTGTTGCCATCCCTATTTCTCACTTATATTTGACTTTTTTTTGACAAAAAGCTCTCACGTATATTTGACAATTATGTTCTTTTCAGAATTTTTTTAAAAGAACAAATTTGTTTAGTTTGGGTGCTCCTGTTGGGGCAGCTATGAACTATATATGGCCATATATTTATTTACTGCTGTTACTTTCTTATAACAGCTGTGACTGTTTTTTTTAAAGGGATGTGAGTGTTATTTAATCATGGTTGAACTATGTTTTATTTATTTATTATGTCCTATTGAACTGTGGCTGTTTTTTTTAATCAAGGTTGAAATATGTTATTTATTTTTATCATTATGTGCTATAGACGGGATTTGAATCTAGAGCTTTCAAGTTGAAAATAGTGACAGTACCTTTAGATTAGACCAAACTCTTGTTCGCAATAACAACTGTGATAGTTGTTAGATGGATTCATTTTGTAATAGGTCGATGGTGAAATTCTTTAGTGGGGCATGGAAGATAGATTTGCATGGAAGATTTGTATAAATTCTATACATGATTATTTATTTCAGAAATCATATTTGGTTTGTCCAAAAATATAGTTTCAATTCCCATATTTTATGGCCAAATTCTAAATTTGTAAGAAGTTGAACCCAAATCTCATATTTGTCAAATCCTGTTTGGTTTTGGCCTAACAAAACGCAATTCTAAAAGCCCGTCTTTCTGGCCCAAATATATAGAGATTGGGCTTACTCAAGACCAAGCAGCCTTCGGCCATGCAATTTAAGGGCCCATTTCGTAATTTTCGGGATCGGCGGGAAAGCGATATAATTACGTGCGATTTGCCGATTTCCACTTTCCTGAGGTTTTTGGTTAAAACCAAATCCAATGGAACTGTGAGAGTAGCAAAAGTGGGAGCCAGCGAAGGAGTAATTTGATCTGGAACTGGTACTGGAGTTGGAATCTCGCGAAGTTCCTGCGGGCGATCGCTCGGCCATTGATGGCCAAGGTGAAACAGATGACGGGGATCGTCGGGCTTGACGTCGTCCCCAAGACCAGGGAAGTTGTCGATCTCCCTCTACTCCAAAACCCTAAATGAGATACAGGCGGTCCTCCCGACGAAGGGCACCGGAAGGCGGTGGAGCGTTTCACAAAGCACAGACTGAAGTTTTGTCAGGAGGAGGAGGAGGAGGACTGGGAGGCGATCGAGAAGAGGCTCGGTGGTCAGCTCGAGGAGGAGCTAATTGAGGAGGCCAGGGACGAGTTCAATCTCATCGAGAAAATGGTCGGTGAGGTGAGTGCGTTTTCCGAATGCTTCAATTCGCGTTTCAATTCGGCCAATGTATGACTGCTTTTGATTAAGCGCCAAAAGATAGCCGAGTCTGAAATTCTGAGCATCCTCATTTGACAGATTATGGGATTTCGAATTGGGCTGGTGCTTCTTTTGATTGAGATATCCATGGATTTATTTTGTCCTGTGATAGGCTCCTTTATTTGAGATGTTTGTAGTCTGCAAGAGTTGAAACTAATGTCTGAGTTATAGGGGAAGACCATCTTCTAATATATGCCAGAAAATGTCTGTAGAAATGAGGTAGTTGGTTTTACCTGTAGTATGGTTTCTGGCCATGAAAACCTTCTATTTACAGCTTTAAGTGCTTTCTAGTAAACTCAGTCAAAGCTCAAAGCTAAAACCAGGGTCAACAGCTAATTGATGTTTGAAAGTTCATGTTTAGGGCTTTGGGATTGTTCTTATGTCAGCACAATCCTGAAATGGTGCTGTGTTTGTTTTCCGTTTGATTCTAGAGTTCTGTTTGGTTTAATAATGTACAATGTACCACGGCACTATGTAACCACTCCTGATGAACTCAATTATTTGACTCAAGTCATTTCAGTTTATCAGTGATCTGATGTATAAACCTGCTGCCTGTCTCTGGGTCTGTGTGGATATATGCTATTCTCTTGTCGTAATGATGCAAGAGCATAGTCTCAGCCCTGACATCCAATAGCCCAAAACATCCACGATGATTGTATCATATTATCAAATCTTTAGACCCCCCCCCCCCCCCTCTTTCCATATCTGTGTTCTTAGTGACATGAGCAGCACTAGAATATTTCCTCAAACTCCGGCTGATATGCTTAGCGTTATAGTACTGGGGTTTATTTTCCTGCTAATGCATGGCAATAAATGGAGAGCGACTAACAATAATGATCTTCATTATCTTTTGAATGAATTTGCAGAGTGGAATGCCTGTGGTATTCCTGATGACTATAAATGTGAGGGTATAGAGAATGATGCTCCAGTACCGCCTTAAGCACGTTCCCTACCATCTGCTGTTCCTGGGAGCGATCGAGTCCATTGATGCCCAAGGTGAAACAGACGATGGGTATCATCGGGCTTGGGTCATACCCAACGCCATTGAAGTGTTGATCACCCCAAAACCCTAAACGAGATTCAGGCGGTCCCTCTGGAAGAAGGCTACTTGAAGGCAGTGGAGAGCTTAATTAAGCGTAGGCTGAAAGTTTGCCATGCGATGGTGGATCGGAAGGCAATCGAGAAGAGGCTAGGCTGCGGTCAGGTCAAGGAGCTAAAAGAGGATGCCAGGGATGAGCTCAAGCTCGTTGAGAAAATGGTCGGTCAGTATGAATTTTGTCGAATGCTTCAATTTGCTTTTCATCTTCCCCTACTGTATGATTGTTTTGATTAAGCACCATAGAATAGCCAAGTCTTTTCTTCGAAGCATCTTCATTTGACAGCACAGCTACGCTGAAAATGGTTGATGGAATTTAGTTCTTGGGTTTGAAATTTTGCTGGTGCCTCTTTAATTGAGACATCTATGGCTTTATCTTGACCTATGAAAGATTATAATGTGTTTGGAGAGTGGGGTTGGATTTGTGGTGAAGTTCCTTTGTTTTTTTAAGATGTTTGTATACTGCTAGGGGTGAAGTCAGTGTCTGAGTTATAGGAGAAGACCATCGTCTAATATTTGTCTGAAAATGTCTGTAGAAATGAGGTACTACGATTGTGTTGTGTCTGTAGTATGTTTTCTGTAACCTTCGATTAAAAGCTTTCATTTTACTCTCTTGTAGTCTTATTTTGAGAATGACAACTACCTCAGATTTCATTGAAAAGCATAGCCAATTTCTAAGGGTTGTTGAAAGTTTCGGTTGGGACTTTGAGATTGCTCTCATGTTTTCGCAATCCTGAATTGGAGTTTGTGACTGCTTTGCCTTTGATTCTAGGGTTCTATCTGGTTTATATCATGTAGACATGTACAATGTACTAGGGAGACAATGTAAAAAGACGAACAACTCTATGGCTCTAGTTATTCAGTTGATTGGTGATTTGATATATAAAACGCTGCTTGTCCCTAGGCCTATGTTGGTTTGTGCTACTCCCTGGTTGATGTGGCACAACATTACTGTTTCATCCTTGACGTGCAATAGCCTATCATATGCATGAACATGATATCAAATCATCAAATGTTTCACATTTAGTTTGCTTGTCCCATATAATTTCTTAGCAATACAAGCTGCTCCACTTTGTTGTAGTAGAATATTTCCTCAAACTCTGGCTAATATGGTTATCGTTAAACTACTAGTTCATTCTGCCAATGCATGAGCGTGAAAATGAAGAGAGACTGACAATATTGATCTTCATCATCTTTTGAATGTAAACGCAGAGTTGGTTCCCTGGGGTGTTCCTGATGAGTATGAATGCGAGGTCACAGAGGATGATGTTCTCGTGCCAAAGCATGAAGAATGACCTGGTCCTCTCCCCCGAGGAATTCTACTGGACGGTAGGAAAGTTGCAAGTTGCAACTGAATTCTAAGGAAGCACCGGCAAGTCAAAGGCAGAGTAGCACACTGCTGGAACGTGAAGGGTAAAATTCTAATGCCATCTTGTAATTTTCAGTTTCGGCCACGTTTAAGTATAGGCTGTTCCATTTTATGAGACAGTGGCTTTCAAGTTTCAAGAGCCATTCAGCTCAATAATGTTTGAAACCAATCAAAGCCACAATTTGGGTTTCGTTAGCAGGAACTTGCGTCACTACTCACAAGTGTTTGAAGAAACAATGTTCTGAATGTTCTCTAAATATACTTTCTCGTAGCGACTTCTTATCGATGAGAACATTCAGAATGGTTAAGGCATGTGAAAATTTCATGTTGAATTCTTTTTGTAATTCTTCGAGAGAATTGACGCGACATTAGTCTTTTAAAGTCAGCTGGTTTCTATATATTATACACAATTTCTTGTACTTTAATATAATGTCGGAAAATAAGTTGTTCAGACTCTGATTCTAAAATTGATGAGTCCCAACATATATTAAGATCATGTGAATAATAAGTTGTATTTCTAATTCTAAGAATATAATGTCCGATAAATATACATAATGTGTGCATTTTGCACAAATATAAAAAATGTAGCTGTTTTGCAAAAATGCGAGATTCATAATACATTACTTTTTATCTTTTTATAAGGATAGACTTTTCTTATGTATCAACAATACATGATGTATTATAAATACATACCTTCTAAATCCAAAATTAAAAAATAATCCACTGAAGGCATATATTCTTGAAACACAGAGATCATCCGGAATCAAATATTCATCCTCCTAGTAAAAAACTAGTAGGGATTGAACGTCCCAAGTCCTATCTCAGTTCAAAATACCAATTCAAGATGGAGGAACCGTTACCGATACAAATAAAATAATCAAAGTTCTGAAAAGAAGAACGGAAATCAACAGTTACAAATTGAAAATAAATTGGGCTCGGGGGGCTGCTGGGCCTAACGTCTCTCTTCCAATCTAACGGCTCTATTTTGATTTTTCCCCCCTTTCGAAACTCTCACCCACCCACCACCATCAGATTTCAGATCCCCGTTCCATTCTCCCTCCCTCTCTCTCTCTCCTTCCCAATTTGAATTCTCCTCTCTGTATCTCTCTCTCTCCCACAATAAATCCCAACAAATCATTACTTTACCTTTCCCCAAAAATGTCGTCTTCTTTTCCTTGACCCTTCCCTCTGTCTCTCCAAACTCTCCCCCTCTTTCTTATCCATCTACCTACCAGTAAACAATTTCCCGTCTCTTCTTCAATTCCTTCGTCGTCGGGAAAAATGGGGGCTTGTTGTAGCAAGAAAACCGTCTCTACTTCAGTGAACAATGCGGCATCATCATCATCTTCTAATTCGGCTCCGGCTCCAAATCCGATAGCGAAGGCCGGAGAGCAGAAGCAGTCCATCAAGGTCGTTAAAAACGAAGTCTCACCGGCGGCGGAGGACGACGGCTCGAAGAAGAAGGAGATATTCGTGATTAAGCACAGGAACAGCCACGACAGCGGCAACAATAACAAACCGCGCTCTTCCTCCTCCCCGGAAATTTCGGGATCCGATAACGGCGCCGTTAGCATCGAGAACGGGAAAGTCGACGGCGTGAGTGGTCTCACCGCTGCTGCGGCGGTGAGGACCTCTAGCTGCAGTAAGGAGGAAGTGGAGGCCATTCTCATCCAGTGCGGGAGGCTGAGCCGGAACAACTCCTTCGGCACCGCCGGGAAGTCTTCTCCGGCGAAGAGGAAGTACAGCGGGTCTAAGAGGAGCTTCGACTTCGACGAGCAGAACGACAGGGATCTCGGTCAGGAGGAAGACGGCGGCGGCGGCGGCGGGGATGAGAGGAGAGACAGCAGAAGGCAGCACCGCCACCGCCAATCCAGCCGGAACTCCTCGCCGGCTTCTCAGGCGAGGAGGAGGACGCCCAGTAGGGAGAGGGACCAGCGCTCCGGGAGCAGAGAGCGAGGCCCTGGCGGCAGCGGGAGTGGACGGCGGGTTAGTAGATCTCCCGGGAGAAGATCTGAGAACAACGCCGCCGCCGCCACCGCGGCGGCGAACGCTGGCAATTCCATTGCTAACAACAACAACAACAACAATAACAATGGCAATGGGAATAAGCCGCCTGGGAAAATGGTCTCCGTCCCGCCTACAGTTTCCTCTGCTCCTTCTTCCAATAAATCCAATTCCAATAACAACAACAATGGCGTCGAAGCTGCTCAGGCAGCAAACAGCAGCGGAATCAAACGGATTTCTGTGAAGAGGAACGCTGGTGGGGAAGCTCCTTCTGCTGCTGCTGTGGGTTCCAGGAGTGTGGCGTCTCCCCGTTCCAAGTCTCCTCGTTCGAAGTCCCCTGGAAGAGCCAGGAGCGACTGCAATCAACAGCAGCCATCGCTGAGCAGGAACTCCTCGAGGAAAGCTGAACAATCTCCTCACAGGAGGAACCCACTTGCTGAAATTGACCCGAGCTCTCTAGCGTACCCGCAAGCCAGCGGGGCCAAGGCCAGCAGCAATTGGGCACAGAATGATGGCAGGGAACCGATTCAGGTTAGGGTTTCATTCAAGTTTCTGTTTGGTAGTTTGATTTCCACAACTCCTTTTCAGCTGTAAACAAGATTATTGTCTAACCTTGTTTTGCAATTGCCAATTTGTAGAAGCAAAACCCTCTGCCTGCTGCTGAAAGCCTGAAGCAGCCGCTGACGAGGAGCAGGTCATCAAGGAGATCCCGAGATCTGGATATAAATACTGAAGCTTTACTCAATCCACAGCAAACGTCCTACACTTCATTGTTGCTGGAAGACATCCACAACTTCCATAACAAGAGCAGTAACACTAACATAATCAGCAACAACAGCAACAACATTCCTCCATCGATGTCGTCGTCATTCCAGCTACCGGCTTGTGTCACAAAAGCGTGCTCGATCCTTGACGCAGTGGCTGACCTCAACTCTACCACAAGCTCCAACTTGTCATCCACATTGTCTGAAGATCATCACCGTAAGCAGCAGCAGCTGTCCAAGGCGAAAGACCCTTTTGTGGTGGAATCCGAGGTGGTGACAATCGATGATCTCATGGAACCGAGCTTCCACAAGTATGTGACTGTGAGAAGGGGAGGTGGGTTGTCATGTGGTAGGGAAGAAGAAATGGAAATGCAAGAAGAATCTTCAGGGAGCAACAGCATTGTTGCCGGTGGTGGTGGTGGTTGGGGGAATTCGTCGTATAACTCCGGGTGGGAGCCTAGTTCAGCTGATTCGACGGATCGATGGAGCTCGAGGGACAACAACAACACCGTTAAGGAGAGGGAGGTGGAGGAGGAGAAGAATGCTGTTGCTGCCCCTTTGGGACTTGGAATCGGGCAGAGGGTTCACGGTTTGGGTGAGAAGAGATCATCATCAGGAGGAGGCAGGGAAATGATGGGAGGAATTGAAGAGGCGGCCAGGATGGCGTTTAGTGGGCAGAGGAATGGAGGGATTGGGCGGGGAAGGCTTGCTGCTAGTGGCAATAGAAGTCATCATCTCCTTGCAACAACTAGTAATGTTGCTGCTGCTGCTGCTTCCACGTAGTAGAGCATGGCGCGTTTTTCATTCTTTTGGTGTAATTTGGTCATGTATTTTTTCTCTCTACTCCACGCACTTGTGGTCTGTTGTTGTTCTTCATCTTCTTAGAACTTGAGGACGTAGTTAAGAAGAGATTTGGTTTAGTTGGCTGTTGTTGCAAGCTCGCAACTTCGCCATTTCCGTTGTTCAATCCTAGCTGACCTTTTCGTATCCTTAACATTCCAACTTCCTGTAGTTTATATTCTGTAAACGCTCTTGCTTCAGAGATCACTCTTTTGAACCATCACAAACTTGCAGTAGCCTTGTATTCTACTATTGTACTACTAAGCTTCACCATGAACAAGCTTGGATGATCGTTATGAACAATCTTCTGGCAGCAGTTGAAGCAACTATTCTGCTGATCATAATGTTGGTGTCGGGAGGAACTGAACTGATGTTGCAGTATCAGCATCTGTTACTGTATGTTCATGTTGTCTCATCCCTGGTGGATGACAATGATACATGCACTGCAATGAATGATTTAAGAACACATACATATGAGAAACTGCACCTTTTAAAGCATTGCCAAACCCTGTAATTTAGAACAAGCAAACACCATTCACAAGAGCAAAATGAGTGTACTGACCAGTTGGTCGTGTTAACATCGACAGGTCGAGTTGTCCAGATAGAATAGCACACAACAGATCCATCTCGTACGTCCACACCAGAATATGAACTTATAAGCTCAGTAATGTGATCAAACTTGTTGCTAATGCTCCCGTAGTAATCAATGAACACTAGTTACTCTAGTAGTTAATCAATGAACCACCGAGAAATACCGAGTAAAAGTGGCAGAAATGTCAGTTTAGCTTCTTAAATTGACATCCTTTTCAAGAGAAAGGTCTGGTCATTAGACTCTTTTGCTTTATTTATTTGAGTCAGTGTGCTGTTTAGCTTTGATCCATGCAAAATCAGTGAAAAACACATATTTTTTTTCTTCTATATACACAAAATTACACAAGTTGACCCAATTTAAATGGCTTCATTTTACATCAATTTGAATTGATAAAGGGATGGACATACATTTTAAAAGAATACATCAATTATGAAATGAGATAGTTGTGAGGCAATTGGATCAAATGAACTTATTTAAAAAAATCCATCATTCAAAGGATGTCTCTTACTTCCTTGTTTAATATATAGCTAAATAAAATTTATTTATGATCATTTTGTCATCAACAGTTAATTCTAAGCGTCAACGACAATTTTGAGTACATAAATGATATTGACCTTCCTTAATTTGGGATAAAACTGTTTTTTAAATATTATAAATGGAAATTTCACCAAAAATTGGAATTTAGGGGCATTATCTCCAAATAGTAAATTCACTAGAAATGATATAATTGAGCGATCTAAAGTTTACAGGAAATTAAGCAGGTTTTCATAAAAAAAAAGTTGGTTTAATACACTTGTATATCCAAAACTTTTACGGTTGTGCCAATAATATCCAAATTCCCCGGAATACCACTTATAACCATGTTTTAAAGTTGTTCTTTGCCAAATCTATCCATTTTCCAATATATTTTTGGTTAAATACACTTGTATATCCAAAAACACCGTTAAAGAATGTGAAGGAATTGGATATAAGTGGTATTTCGGGAAATTTGGATATTATTGACACAATCGTGAAAGTTTTGGATATACAAGTGTATTTAACCAAAAAAGTTTACAGGAAATAACTAATCCATAAGAATATAAGACCATAACAAAAGAAAATTCTAATAGGCCATATGTTTGGCCCAAATCTTGTCAGTGGGCTTACTCCAGATTATACAACCAACATCCTATGCAATGGACGGGCCCACTTCGTGATTTTCGGGTTCGGCGGAAATGCGATCTGGTTTACCATTTCGCACTCTCCATTGGCGAAGCCTCTCTGAGCTAACCAAATCCAATTCACAGCTCCCATTTTTCTGCATCGAGCGAGCGAGCGAGCCAGAGAAACTGTGAGCGTAGCCGGAAGTGGGAGCGAGCGAGGGAGCATTTTGATCTGCAACTGGTACCGGAGTGGGAATCTCGCGATGTTCCTGCGGGCGATCGCGCGGCCATTGATGGCCGGGGTGAAACAGACGACGGGGATCGTCGGGCTCGACGTCGTCCCCAACGCCAGGGAAGTGTTGATCTCCCTCTACTCCAAAACCCTAAAAGAGATTCAGGCGGTCCCTCCTGACGAAGGCTACCGGAAGGCGGTGGAGAGCTTCACTAAGCACAGGCTGACGGTATGCCGGGAGGAGGAGGATTGGGAGGCGATCGAGAAGAGGCTCGGTTGCGGTCAGGTTGAGGAGCTGATCGAGGAGGCCAGGGACGAGCTCAAGCTCATCGAGAAAATGATCGGTCAGTGCGAATTTTTGTTGAATGCTTTCCATTCGCTTTTCATTTGTCGCTCAATCTATGGTTGCTTTGATTCAGCGCCATAGAATTAGCCGAGTCAGAAATTCTGAGCATCTTCATTTGACAGCTGCGTTGAAAATGGTAGATGTAATGTAGTTAAGGGACTTCGAAATTGGCGCATGCTGTGATTGATTTCTTTGCTTATTGAGGTATCTATGGCTTCATTTTGACCCCTGAAAGAATTTTGCGTTTAGAGGGTTTGGTTGAATTGGTAGTGAAGTTCCCTGGTTTAAGTTGTGTTTGATCTATAATTGAAGTTTGTGACTGAGTTATAGTGGAAGAACGTCTTCTACTAGTTGGTTGAAAATGTCTGTAGAAATGAGCTGCTTGGGTATTACCTGTAGTACGGTTTTGATAAGGCTCTGGCCAAAAATTACAGTGTGAATATCTATGGGTTGTTGAAAGTCTCGGTTTGGGGCTTTGGATTGTTCTCTGGTTTGCACGATCCTGAACTGGAGTTATATTCGTTTTGTGTTTGATTCGAGAGTTCTATCTTGTTTAAATCATATACAATGTACTACTAGATAATGTAATCACTCGAAATGAACAAAATTATATGGCTCAAGTCATTTCGGTTGATCAGATGTATAAACCTGCTGGGCTATGTTGGTCGATGCTACTCTCCAGTTATAATGACGCAAGATTACAGTAACATCCTCGACATCCAATACCCGCCGATATGGTATCAGATATCTAATGTTTAGCATTTTTCTGCTCTTTCCCAATCTTTTTTTAGCAACACGAGCACTACTTTACTGCATTGAATAGATCATCAAACTCCAGCTACTGTGCTTAGTGTTACAGTACTGGTTTTCTTTCCGCTAATGCATTGAAGTGAATTGGAGAGCGACTAACAATAATGATCTTCATCATCTCTTGAATGTATTTGCAGAGTGGGATCCCTGGGGTGTCCCTGATGACTATGAGTGTGAGGTCATAGAGAATGATGCTCCAGTGCCTAAGCACGTCCCCCTACATCGACCTGGTCCTCTCCCCGAGGAGTTCTACTCGACGCTAGAGAAGTTGCAATTGAATTCCAAGGAGGCACCACCTGCTGTCACCTCCGGTGAGTCAAAGGCAGTGTAGCACGCTGCTGGAACTTGCATCGAGGAACTTCCATCATAAGACACTATTTTCTTGGATCTTGTTTGTGTTTGTCATCTTTGTAATTTTCTGTTTCAGCCACATTTAAATAGAGGCTGTTTCATTTTTATGAGACAGTGGCTTTGAAGAACCATTCAGCTTAATAATCTTTGGAACCAATCAAAATGATAGGAAGAAGTTCTTTCTTCATATCTCTGTTTTGCCTTTCAGTTCCAATTGATCAATTCAACTGTGGCGGTCCTTGCCATAGATGGTGTAGATTTTGGGTTTCACTAGCAGGAACTTATGCGTAAGTGTTCGAAGATACAAGGTTCTCAAAGTTATCTGCAGGACTTTTATCTTCATGTTATCATTTCAATATACTATCTGGAAGAGACTTCATTTATCATGGATGAGTATATTCAGAATGCTTTAGGCAAATGAGAATTTCTTTGATCTTTTAGAAACATTGAATGGCGAGAGAAGTTAACTCTTTCATTCAAAATCAGACGGTTTCAGAAATCCCTATACATTATACAGAATCTCTTGTGCTTTAAGATTGCATGTCCTAAATCAGCTAGTTAGTCGGCACAATGCAAGCCTTTCTCTATAAATATCAGAAGCTCTTAACCGCTAGTCTGCAGAAACAAGGCATTCTGGTGATCTCTCCTATCAAACCGGCTCTGCGCAGCAAGAATCGGGCTAGAACTTGTACTTTTCCAATGCCGAAGCTTCCATGCTGTACCGACAAGGACGAGCACAATCTTGGCTGGAGAAATGAAAATTTCACTCTATTGCCTTTCCTTAAAACATTCACTCAAATATCACAGCATAACATGCTTCATTTCTGGAAGAGATTCATCTTGTTCCAATGTTCCATCTGGCTCGACCCTCGAGAACCACTCTCTCTTCGATTTCCGAGTCTGTTCCGCCAAATCAGACCGCCCACAGTCATCGTACAGCTTGGCAAGCCAAACGTAGAACACTGGCTCCCCTGGACAAAGCTCCAGACCTCGCCTAGCCATATCTTCTCCGAGGCGCAGATTGTTATGAACTCTGCAAGCAGCCAACAGATTTCTGTATATCGAAGCATCCGGCTTCAAAGGCATAGTCTCCAGAACCTCTACAGCCTCTTCCAGACGCCCAGCTTTACTCATGGTATCTATCAAACAAGAATAATGCTCTAACCGTGGCTCTATGGCATGCTGATCCCTGAATGAATCAAAATACTCACGGCTGCGATCTATCAAACCACCCTGTTGGCAAGCGAAGAGCACAGACAAAAACGTCACCTTATCAGGAGCAACTCCAGCTAGCCTCATTTCATCAAAGGTGGATAGAGCATCATCGATAAACCCATTCGATGCAAACCCACACATCAACCCATTCCAAGATACAACATCAGGCTCTCTAATCTCCGCAAAGGCTCTCCTTGCTTCGTCTAAAAGTCCACACTTACCATAGAAGTCAACCAGGCTATTCAGTACTGAAACGCAGCTGCCAAAACCAGACTTGACAGAGAGACAATGAAGCTGCTGTCCGGTTTCTTGTTTTCCAAGGTACGAGGATGCTGACAAGAACCCAGCGAGACAGAATCCATCCATCTTCACTCCATCATCATTGGCAATGTGGCGTACTATTTCCAATGCCTGTTTGTGATGGCCACTCTGGTTGAGCCTTGTGGCCAAACTTGTGTAGGTTATGATGTCTCTTTTATTCATCGTTCTAACCACTCGCCATGCATCCTCGATCCTACCTGACCCGGCATAAGCATCCACCAGAGCATTGCCCAAAAAGATCTCCTGACTTACTTTCAACTTGATCACTTGTGCATGAAGCTGCAACGTTTGGCTCGGTGAATCTGCTGCGTGGAGGACGGTGGTAAGAGTATAAGAAGCTGGTAGCACTCCAGCTGTTCTCATTTCAATAAACAAGCGAAATGAATCTTGTTGAAGATCATGGTTGGAGAAGCCAGCGATTAACGATGTCCAAGAGATGACATTAGGCGATTGCATCTCCTTGAAGACTCTCAACCCATCTTCTACCGTGTCAGAGCATTTCATGTACATATCAAGAAGGGCATTTCCGAGGGGGATATGGTCCTCTAATCCAGCTGTGATTACTCTCGAATGGATTTGTGTACCCAAATCCAGCGAGAGAATTGGTGAACATTCGTTGAGCAAGACCAAGTATGTCACCTCATTTGGTGAGATGCCAGCGAGATTCATGTCTGCCAGTGCAGTCAAAGCCGATTGGAAGTTTGAGTTTTGAGCAAATCCTGAGACGATTCTAGTCCATAGGACTACATCAGAGTCATTGGTGAGCTTGGCTACCTTCACAGCATCTTCCATCCTCTGGCATTTTGAGTACATGTCGACAAGTGTTGTTCTCGTTACCAGATTCAGCTCAACACCCAAAACTACGGCGTGGGCATGAATCAGTTTGCCGTATTCCAAGCCGAGAAATCCACTTGCTGCTAACATTTTGGAGACAGTAAACCCATTTGGAGTGACTCCAGACTTAATCATATCGATGTAAAGCTGGAAAGCTTGGCGGTACTTACCAGCTCGAACTGAGGAAGAGATCATTGTTGTCCAAGAAACAACATCGGCTTCATCGATCAAGCCGAAGACTTTAGTCGCATCTGAAGAGTCAAACTTGGAATACAACTCAATCAAAGAGCTTCCCACCACTAGGTTTGACTGCAACCCATGTTTTACCAGACTACCATGAACGCGCTTCCCGTAGTCAAGATCACTCAGCGCAGCACACGATCTTACGACACAGGAGAAAGTGAAGGCATTTGGGTACACACCCGAATCCGCCATGTCACGATACAAGTCGATCGCGGCGCCGTGCCGTCCATTCTTCGCATAAGTGGAGAGAATCCCAGACCACGACACGACGTCCCTGTGAGGCATTTCGTCGAACAGCTGGCGTGCATCCCTCAGTCCGAAGCATTTGCCGTAAAGGTTCAGCAGGTTGTTGTTCACGTAGAGATGATCGTGAAGACAAAGCTTCACCACAGGGGCATGAACGCAGAACCCCTCTTTCAGTGACCTCGAGCTGCAGAACGAGACGACCCTAGCGAGAACGTCTTCTAGGCAGCGCCAGTACTCCGCTCCGTTCATCAGCACATTGCTCGCGGTTTTGCTCGTCGTCGTCATTGTTCATTGCTCTGACGAAGAAGCTTGCCGTGGATTAGATTGACGAATGTTGTAATAGCTTCTCCGTATACCTGTAACCAGCGATGGCAAATGGGCGGGTTTGGCTAAACCATCCGCATCCACGCGTTTAAATATTCATACCCATACCCGCCCCATATCCATGCGGAGAAAGATTTTGCAAAGCAATCCTCATACTCATGGGTTTTGGGTATCCATGGGCATAGTTAGTAAATACTCCGTTTAATACACGTATATGTACCCGTACGTACTTTATCCGTTTAAAACTTCCGTATCCGTATTTTTGTCAAGCCATTTCATTTTTGTCCGTTCATTTGGTGGCTCCCGTACTAAACACGTATAAAATCCGTATAACACGTTTTATATCCGTATTTAATGAATTAAATTGTTAACTTTACTATTATTTATATATTTATTTATTTTAAAAAATAATTTATTTTATATATTTATGACTATTAACGTACTATTAAACGTAACATTAGCTTAGAGATGAAGTAAAATACCCGTACGTATTATATCCGTAACTTTCCCGTACCGTATTTTACTAACTATGTCCATGGGTAATACCCGCCCCATACAAACGACATTATAATACTTAAAATTTTACATGTAAATTATCAATTATAACATTAAGGGTGTGCCTACGGTGACATGCATGTCACCGTGACTTGCACTTTCCGGTCGACTTCAGTTAGGATTAGGTCGACCTCATATAGAATTCGGTCGACCTCATATAGGATCCGGTCGACCTCATTTAGGATTCGGTCGACCTCATATAGGATCCGGTCGACCTAATATGTTGTTTCAGTGTAAAAACAGTTCATGGTGCCTACTTTGGATATTCATATCATACAATTGGCTATATGGAAATTGAAGACTAATGACTTGTTTTGAAGCTGGAGTGTCCCTCTACATATTGAAGTGATTGAGAGCTCGATAGGAAGTCCAGAAGACCATTTTTGAACCTCATCAAAAGGCTATGTCAAAACTGGGAAACTGCCTAGAAATGGCTAAGTCTGGAAACGTGTTTGTGAAGCCTATTTTTTAGCTCAATTCGAGAAGCATGAATGCGAGTCGAGTCCAGGAGCCTCTACCACGTTAAATTAGGTATGTTTTTATACAAATTCAAGGAATTGGATGAAAGATTGGATATCTTTAAGGCTTCAAACAAAAGGGTCGAAGTTGCTACGAAGGCTGTTTTTCTGGCAGACTTCGAGCACAAGCAAGCTGCCAGAAAAACAGCATTCGCAGCAACTTCGAGCCTTTTGTTTGAAGCCTTAAAGATATTCAATCTTTCATTCAATGCCTTGCCTTTGTATAAAAAAATACATAATTTAACGCGGTAAAGGCCCCTGGACTGGACTCGCATCCATGCTTGTCAAATTGAGCTCCAAAGTAGGCTTGACAAACACGTTGCCAGACTTAGCCATTTTCAGGCAGTTTCCCAGTTTTGGCATAGCCTTTTGGTCAGGTTTAAAAATGGTCTTCTGGACTTTCTATTGAGCTCCCAAGTACTTTAATGTGTAGAGGGACACTTCAGCTTCAAAACAAGCCTTTAATCTCCAATTTCCATCTAGCCAATTGTAAGATATGAATATCCAAAGTAGGCACCATGAAACTGTTTGTACACTGAAACAACTGATTAGGTCGACCTGATCCTATATGAGGTCGACCGAAAAGTGCATGTCACCGTGACATGCATGTCACCGTAGCAAAGTCCTAACATTAAACGCACCTACTATCATGAAGTTGACAAAGTTGACAATCACTCTTTATACGATTCAAAGCATCTTATTTTCGAACATCTATTAATCCATAAGATAGTGTACAATAAAATGTAATCCAAATCATTATTCTCTGACTCTGATACATCTACTAACTAATAACTAGCTAACATAATCTTGTTAACATGAGGGAAAAAGTGAAAGAGTGACGGGAGATTTGATGAAAATGAATTAGATTTTGATTTGGATGGCCACTCAATTGCATTTTTACCATTTATTTTCTTGAGGTATCCTCAGTCCCTCACTATCATTGATGTATCAAAATTCTCTTAGTGGGGCGGGTATGGATATGCCGTATGAGTATGGGGCGGGTATGGGTAAAACCTGCAAAACGTTTGATGGGTAATAACATGCTTTCAAGAGTCAACAACATCGGTGAAAACTAAAAAGTTTAGTTTTATATACATGTATTTTGTATCAAATTCAAAGTTAAATATATGAATGTTACCAAATAAGTCAAATTACTCTAGTCTAGTCACTAGTGTCTAAAATGGACAATTGGTGTACGATTGGAAAACTTGCAAATATCTATGAATCTTAAGGGTTGGATTGGCGCTATAGCGACATAATTTCAATCATAAGCCTAAAACTTACAAAGTCCCGTTTTAATTTTTTAAACATGTTGGGTAAATCTATGAATCTTTTACAAGACATTTTTTTTAGATAAGGGTGATATAGGTTACTTATTTTGTTATTAGGTACTACTGAAGGGATTTGAACCTGTGACCTCCAGGTTCATGGCTGGTGGTTTTACCACTAGACCAACCCCTTGTTCGCATCTTTTACAAGACATTTATAGGTGTTCGATCATAGGACAATCATATTGAATCGAGAACACAGTATAGTGACATATTTTCAATGGTTTGGTGATCCCACTAGGAGGGTACACACATGAGGAAGGTAAGTGAAGGAAGTGACTAGCTCGTTCTCTCTAAAGTTTACATTATTGGTGAAAGTTTCGATTCCAGATCCTTATATTACAACTCATTGATCGCATCATTTTTATTTCTAATTTTCATAAGAATGTCACTTGTTGTTCTCACTCCATTAGTATCCTAAATTGAGCTTTTGCTATGTTCAACATTAGAAGTTCGATGTCGCTGAATCAAGTTCTCATGATAAAAAAGTCAGACGGAGGGAAACTTTTCTAAGTTGGTGATTTGGCTCGTATAAAAGCAATTGCAATACTCTATATGGGATAGGACACCAGAAAACTAGATATTAGTAACACGAAGGGTTCCTAGTGAATTATGAAGAATCTCAATAGAAATGCATGGAATTTGATAGATTTCATGTTGACTCTACATTCACCAATCTTGTGTCACTCCTAGTTTATGTTTGTGACGCTTTTACATCATTGATTTGAGTTAGTAGAAAATGGGAACATGACATAAATGAGTTGCAAAGATTCACATTATAACTCGTTTTAACTTGTAGATCTCTTAATAAAATTCGGAAGAATAAACCGGAGATTAACAACTTTTTTTAATGAATACTATAAACAATTTTATTTGCTATTTATTTATATTAGTTCGAAGACTTGAAAATAATTTCGCAATAATCCGAAAATAGAGATGATTCGTCAAATTTTCAAATTTGAAAGGGAAAGATAGAGTGTTTCATCAGTGGCATACCTTACGAATTACTATCACTATGTTTCCAAAATTTTTTTTTTTTTTTTTTTTGAAACTTCACTATGTTTCCAAAAATTACCCTCACATAATTACGCATTTACACTAATTAATTCTTTACTTTCATGGGAAATAAATTGGGCCCAGAACAAAAAAAAAAGCCGTGATACCAAAAGCGTTGGTTAAGCAATTTCCCATCCTATTTCCGGCCCGGATTCCGTATAATTTCCTTTTGGGCCCAGCCAAGGCAAGTATAAACAATTTTACTGGTTATTTATTTATTTATTTATTATCTATATTAGTTCGAAGACTTGGATTAGTTTGTCAAGTCAATCATATTCCCTCCCTCCCTCCCTCCCTCCCTCCCTTTCAGTTCCCCTCTCGGTCGCCTTCTAGACTCTTCCATTCTCTGCTCTGCTTGCTGCAACATCAATGGCTTCCGATCTCGAGAACAAGGCCAAAGAGGCTTTCATCGACGACCACTTCCAACTCGCCGCCGATCTCTACTCCCAGGCCATCGACCTCAACCCTAACAGCGCCGAGCTTTTCGCCGACCGCGCTCAGGCAAATATCAAGCTCGGCAATCTCACTGGTAATCACGCTCCTCTCTTCTTCCTTCGGCGGAAGCCTGAGAATCGTGCAAACTGAGAAACTCGCTGGGGGGGAATGATTAGAATTTCGTTACTGATGTGCCAGTTAACGGCTACGTTTGGGATAGTGTAGAGAAATTTTATTAGAAAATGCCGTGTTCGGTAACAGAATCAGTCAGTGTATGCTAGGAAGACTTTCCGTTGCGTATGTTTCTGCTGGGTATTTTGGCTCTCAGTTGGATGCTGGCGGAGATCATTGTTAGTTTTAGTAGTTGAATTAAGGATATATATGTGCGTTTTCCATTGACAGAGGCGGTTTCTGATGCGAACAAGGCGATTGAGCTGGATGCTTCGATGGCCAAAGCATATTTGCGCAAAGGGTTAGTAGGTTTAACCGACTTGTATTTACAACGCGATAGTTGTTCTTGCTTTTTTAATGTTTCTTTGTTGAATTCTGCCCACTATGATTGCAGCATCGCATGCATGAAGTTGGAGGAGTATCAAACTGCTAAAGCAGCCCTTGACATCGGGGTATCTATGGCTTCCGCTGATTCAAGATCAAGATTCACTTCTTTGATTAAAGAATGTGAAGATCGCATTGCTGGTAGGAGCCGTTTTTCTCTGCTAGCTAGCCAGGCTATTTATGTATTGTATCTGATACGTCAGTAGTCAGTACTTGTTTTTCCTATGTTGTTCTTCCTAGTTTGTCTATGTGAATGCTCTTTGGCAGCAAGTAGCAAATCTTCCTGGTTTTTGTGAGTTTGTAACAGTAGAAAACCTTCTTGTCCGACTTCTGATGTTGGATTTCGTTTGGACATATATGAGTTAGTGGGTGTTGCTTGCTGGTTTTCAAAATTTAAAGCCTTTTTTTTTCCCATCTAAGTAATCTGAGAAAGGATCGATTTTTGCCGTAAAATTACTTGTTCATTTGCAGATTCAATGCCCTGTGTTGTTCAAACTCATGTAGGCAGATTAATATAAGGTTTCTGCCGTGCCAATATAATCAGCTTGAATACAGTCCGTCAAGGCTTTAAACTGGTTTATGTTTTTGAAGTTAAGGCACAAAAATGTTGATGTGCAGAACTGTATGCTTGATGATTTCACTTTTGGTTAGTCTTTAATAAAGTTTTCTCTGTTTTTTTTTTCTCGCAGAGGAAACAGGCCAGTTGCCAAAAGAGGAGTTGGAACTCCCATCAAATGCCACCCCCATGCAAGAGGAACCAGTGAATGGACTCTCCAACGAGACACAAGATGTAGCTCCGCCCAAGCCTAAATACAAGTGAGTGCTGGTTGGCCTGTAATTGTCTTTGAAGCAGTCCAAATATCAATAACATACTTTTGCACGTTTACCGCTACATCAATTTGTTTTCTATCTTGCATTTTGATGCATTCATGGGGTTCTACTTTAGTCTGAATCACACTCTAAGTTGCTCTCTGGCCTCTGCTGCCACTCAGCATTGTATTCTTCTAGGAGAATAATTAGCTGTTTGATGGCCAGTTTCTCACCAAAAGTTATGCTGGTCTGAGTTCTGCAGGCACGATTTCTATCAGAAGCCTGAGGAAGTCGTTGTGACTATATTTGCCAAGCGTGTGCCAGCTGACAGTGTGTCTGTTGACTTTGGTGAACAGATTGTAGGTGCCTGTGGTCTTTCTGCTTTTGATGAGTGCCAATTCTGTGTAATGAGTCTCTTAACTCCTTTTGTTTCGTTTTGCTTCAATTTACAGCTAAGCGTAAGCATCAACGTTCCTGGTGAAGATGCATACCATCTCCAGCCTCGTTTATTTGGCAAGGTATAAGGAGGATCATTTCTTTGAAGTAATGTGTTGTAAAGTTTGAAATAGATAATATTTAGACATGTGTACGAATTTCAAATTTACTCTATTGAGGCTCCTATGATGATGTCTTCTACTATCTATTTCCTCTACTCTTGCTTTCTGAAAGATCTGTTATCCAGAATATGACAAATGTTCTCTTTCTTCCTTAATATTGGTCACAGATAGTACCTGCCAACTGCAAGTATATTGTATTGTCTACCAAAGTGGAAATCCGTCTTGTGAAAGCTGAACCGATACACTGGACCTCTCTAGAGTACAAGGAAACAACTGTCGTTAGAAGGGTGGACACTTCCTCCGGTATGTTAAACATGCTGATACTGTGTTGTTTCTTGCAATATTCTACACTGCGAATTTGAACAACAATGCCATGCTATAGAACCTAAATTCAAGGTTAGGCGGTTTTGATGTTAAACCTCTACTGGGTTGAGCAACAATATGATGTGTTAATAAAGTTCCCTTTGTCTGATGGACTATGCAGAGGTTGCCATGAGACCCACATACCCATCTTCAAAACCGAAGAAAGTTGACTGGGATAAACTCGAAGCACAAGTAAAGAAAGAGGTATATAAGTTGATTTACCTTTGCCATCCCTTTCTCTCTGAAAAATAGTCAATAGTAATGTTCCTCAACTTTTGGCTCTTGTTTCCTTTAGGAAAAGGATGAAAAGCTGGACGGTGATGCAGCTCTGAACAAATTCTTCAGGGAAATATACAAGGATGCTGATGAAGACACGAGAAGAGCCATGCAGAAATCCTTTGTAAGAGCCTACTGTCTCTGCTATTCAATAATGTCCATAGCTCTGTCCATGCCATAATGTATAATGGAATTTAACCTTCTATATCGATGTGATATCCTACCATCTCTGCTCTTCATATGGTCTATAGTTCTGTCGACGTGATAATGTATGGAATTCGGACTTCTGCCTCCGATTCTTGATGCTCGTATCATATTATTCTGCAGGTGGAGTCGAGCGGAACAGTGTTGTCGACCAACTGGAAGGACGTGGGGAGTAAGAAGATCGAAGGAAGTGCTCCTGATGGTATGGAGATGAAGAAATGGGAGTATTGACAGTGTGTACAATAGAGTAGTAACTCTCTCAGGCACTGCAATTTTGTGTCTCGTGTTCGAATTCCAATTCGTTCCTTGCAGTTGCCCTTGTGTTAAGATCCAAACTACTCAAGACTTTCTCTTGCTCTTGTGATCTGGGATTTCGATTGCTTTTGAGTGAATTGCCAAGTAATTCATCTGAACCATCTCTCTTGTTCTCTTGTGATCTGTTTATTGTTTTACTGTTTATCATTCCTGTTGTCCGGTTCGGTCAGGCTGCCGTGTTGGCTCGGAAAGAAAACGGTAAAAGCAGGGATCAAAGCGAATTGGTCCGGTTTAGATTTGGTTAAGAAAAAGAAAAGGTTAAACGTGGCAGCCCAACCCAAAGTTTCCATGTCCGAATCGGATTTGGTGAAGGCAAACCCTTCACATGCATATAAGGTGAACTGCAACTCTGCTTCTCCTCTAAAGCAGTTGAGAAGTAAAAAACCTTCATTCTCCTCCAATGATCAGCAAGCTGGGAGACGATCTCTTTGCGGAAGTTCTCGTTTGGATTCCAGAAGCTAGATTCGCCTGCCGATGCAAACTCGTCTGCAAGTAATGGACCTCTCTGCTGATGCACGTGCAATGGAGAGTTGTTTTGGTCGTATGCTAAAACCCAAAATGTTAGCATTGATGGTCGGTTGAAACCTATATTAGCTGCATTTAATCTATTCTCACTTGATATAGATCCCATTAATTCCTAATGTCTCATGGTGGGTTCTTTCGGTCTCACAAAGTGTTCTGCACATGGTTGCATTCGAAGAGAGACCTCGATTTGGTATTTCGATTATCTTGAGTATTTGGAGACTAAAAGAAGACCATAAATCCTGGTATAGACAGCAAGAAGGATTGTTGAAGGCACCAATATTTTGAGGGCTCGAATCAATATGTCTAGATGAATGTCATCTAGATCCAAGGAAGTCGGAAATAATCTTCTTACATTTTTTCCGTATTAGTTTTAGTACTCATAAATGTGATTGTGCAGTCGTGTCATGTAATTTGAGGAGCGGAGAGGTGGAGAGCTTCTTTTGTGCACCACAATTTGCACCTTGTTGGCCGATTTTCCGGTCTAGGGTTTCTCGTTGGCCTACTCCAATTCCAAGGTATAAGGAACTTCAAGGTATGTACAACGGAAGTTACAGCTGGTTGGTTCAAAGCAAACAACTACCCCCTCCCTCACCTCCATTAAAAAAAATAATCATGGGTAAATATCACATTTGGTCACTGAGATTACTAAATCCCTGGAATGTCGAGAATTAACCCACTGGAAGAGTGAAAACTCCATAGTTACTGAAATTATTCTGTATATCTGTATGTTACAGACTGTCTGCAGCTAAACTCCATCAATATAGACCAACGAAACACAACCAAGGAATTGCCGAACCCTTGGGCCAAGGAGGGAAAAAGAATCATCAGCAAATTCTGAAGGTTCTGAAAGCCCAATGTTGATGGGTCACTAAGTAGGCCCATAATCAGCACTACGACGTCGTTATCTCAAACAAGAAATTAGCCTTTCGCTTCTCCGCCTTCCCTCCCCGTCTTTTACAGCGCGCCTCCGTCTTCTTCGTCGCCGATATCAGATTCAGCGGTAAATCCCGAGTGAGAAGAACTCGAGAGAAGCTCGATCGCTCGGAATATTGATCCAGCAGAGCTCATCATCGTCGCAAGTTGCAGAGCAATCACAGGTCAGATTGTGTTTCTCGGATTAGTTCGCGGATTAAAACTTCCGCATCTGTTTCATTTCGAGCAATTCGTCGCCATAACTAGGTCAATTGTTTTCTGGATTCGGGCGATTGCTTAAAATTTTACAGATCGATCCGATTCTCTTCTATAGATAGACGGCAGAGGAGGAGAATGCAGTTCTTCGGAGGCTCCGACATCAGTCCATCCCCGCCGGCGCCCACCGCGCCGGGGAACAATGCGCACATGATTTATGTATTCAATCGGAATGGCGTGTGCTTGTTGTACAAAGAGTGGAATCGGCCACTTCACACTCTGAACGCGCAACAGGACCACAAGCTCATGTTCGGTTTGCTCTTCTCCCTCAAGTCATTGACTGCCAAGATGGATCCCACGAGGTTTGGATTTCTTCTTTAGGGGGTTTTTTTTTTCCCGCATTGCAGCTTTCCAGTTGCTAGAACGTATTCAGCTCCCTGAACTCTGTCTATTTGGTTGTTTGGTTGTGAGGGGCAGTGCTGAGAAAGGGAACCTTGGGGTGCCTCAGTTACCTGGCCAGGGTTGTTCTTTTCACAGCTTTCGTACTAATACATACAAGCTGAGTTTCATGGAAACTCCTTCTGGGATAAAGGTATAGACCCTGCCCCTTCAATACGGTGTTGGTTTTGCTGTGTCCTGTTGTGAATTTCATTTGTCAATGGCAGCCATTGGTTATGAACCTCGATTTGTGCGACTTTGTGCCTTGTCAAGTTCTCAAATTAGGGGATATAGAGGAAGAAAAATTGGGTGTCCGCATTACGCTTGATGAATGCTTGCTTCGTGTAGGGGTTATGAGTCTCGATTTGTGATGTTGTTAACCTTTCTTCTTTCTCTTCTGTGTTGATAATTTTTCAGATAATCTTGGTAACTCATCCTAAAACTGGTGATCTAAGAGACTCCCTCAAGTACATTTACAACCTGTATGTGGAATATGTTGTGAAGAACCCACTGTACACTCCTGGAGCCCCTGTCAGGTAACGAATTCATGCCTGCTTGTGGCAGTTGCCTCTCGTCATTTTCATGGTGTGATAACGTGTTTTGACCTTTCACGAGATTGATCATCTGCGCTTAGATATGTTAAACCTTGAAATGTGAGTTTAATTGTAATGGTGACCAGAACTTGTGGTACAACCACACGGGAATGGGTGAAAACTGCTAGATCAGATTACAAGGAGCTGTGTGTGTGATTGGTTGTAGTGGCCAGGTTTGCATCTAGGTTGTAAACGCAAGCTCTTAATCTAGCACTAACTTGAAAGTTGCAACCATATAATCCTAAATCCTTTTGGGGTTAAACTAAGACTACATTACTAGTGATCTGCAGCGATCAGCTCATAATGCCGAAAGTGATTGCTGTTACACAATGAAGCACGGCTTTTGACCCAGTATGATCAATGCTAACAGTTCACTTTATTTCTCCGCACAGTTGTGAACTTTTCAACACTGCTCTTGACCAATACGTAAGAAGCATCGCTTAAACAATCATGCATGCATTGGAAGTAGCTGCTATCGAATTGTGGGGAATCATACATCACCGTGGCTATGCTGTGCCTAGAAAGAAGGAACAGGTACAAATTTGGCTTTGAAGTACTTCCTGGAGCAACTCCTTTCGAGGATAGGAGTCGAGAATGTGCTGCAGATAGTTCGTCGATACATTTGACTTGATGTACACGTTCCTCTTAAGACTATTGTGCTGCTACTGAAAGTGGTAGGCTTGTTTGTGGTATTGCCTTTGTGAATCCATTGTTCCCAGTGACCTTGCTCTGGTTTCTTCCATCGACAGCTTGAATCTAATTGCGTGTTCTGATAGCACCATCAGTCATCACTAAATGGTAGGATGAGTAGTGTAAAAAATAGTTGCCATACAAGATAGATGACAATTGCATTTTCGCAAACTTGCATCTGATAAAACTATGGATTGCAAGCCACATCATTTTTTCTAATTAAATTATTTATTATTTTCGTTTTTTTAGTGTTTTATACTTTTTTTAATTTAATTAAAATAATCAATTGTATTTGTAAATTAATTGCATTGATATGGGTGCAATAAAAAAAATATGAATTGAATTGCAAAAAAAAGTTGAGGTGAGAATAACGAGCACAAATGTACTCCAATTACCAATCATATTTTTATAATACTGTGCATTTGTTCTGCCACCCACTCAAATTGAAGGCACACATTTCAAATTCTTGATACCAATTAGTGATGCCACCAGGAATCCAGGATCATGTTTTTTTTATAAGATTATCATATCTTTTTTTCCATGAATGATACAGACTACAGAGAAGAGCAGGCTTCACGTTACTTTTTCCAGAGTGATCTAGACAGGATGATTAAGATAGCATTATATATGTTACTGAAAAACGACATACAAGTCAGACAGACACACAAGAAAGACGATAAAGAAAGAAATTTGCATTTTCAAAGATGCAATTTTTCCTAAACTACTAGAACTGCATGGACCCTCCAAACCACCACGATTTTGTTTATTGGCGTGCAGAACACAATTTGCATTACACCACCCTTTCATTGACACTGATCCTGCATCGAGATGTTGCTATTAGGATATAAAACGGACCGATTCGGTTTTGGAGAATCGCTATTCAACAGTGAAAGTCTTATTAGAATTAAGGATTGAATCAACAGTGGAGTTCGTCCGCTTTGGTCGGATTTAGTCCGGTCAAAATATTTGAGTTGTTTTATTTATTTATTTATTTATAAAAATTCATAGGACCAAACCGTCTTATATCAGTGATCGTATCTAATTATCGATTTGATACGATCAGATACGGACCAAACCACTACACACTGAACTGCCGTCTAGATATGGAATATTTTACTTCAATAATTTTCCCGCCAGCCACAAAGTTGGTCCATTTTGTTGTTTTCCTGCGACCAAACTTTTCCCTCTGCCTCCATAAACTTCTCTGCTCCAGAAGAAAAGAAAACCTCATCCAAAGTTCAATCAATCCCACAAACATGGCAGCAGCTGAAGAAGCCGTAGTACTCTACCCATCGCCGGCGATAGGCCACTTGATATCCATGGTGGAGCTTGGCCGCTTAATCCTAACCCACCGTCCTTCCTTCTCCATCCACATCGTCCTACCTCCGGCGCCATACCAAGCCGACGCCACCGCCCCTTACATCGCCGCCGTCTCCGCCTCCACTCCCTCCATCACCTTCCACCGCCTCCCTCCTCCTCCGGCCACCGCAGTTTTCCCCCAATCACCTCACCACGAGATCCTCGTGCTCGAAACCCTCCGCCTCAGCCTCCCCCACCTCCGCCGCACACTCGAACAAATAATCTCCCAATCCGCCGCCGTCCACGCCCTAATCCTCGATTTCTTCAGCACCGCCGCGCTCTCCGTCGCCGCCGAGCTCGAAATCCCCGGATACCACTTCTCCACCTCCGGCGCCGCCTGCCTCGCTTTCTGCTTCCACCTCCCGGCAATCCACAAAACCCAACCCAAAAGCTTTCGTGAACTCGGCCGCCGTACGGTCCTCGAGGTTCCCGGAGCTCCGAAGCTGCCGGCGTCCGAGGTCCCGAAGATTCTCCTCGATCGGGACGACGACGTTTACCGGTACTTCCTCGATTTCACCGCGCGCGTGCCGGAATCCGCGGGGCTGATAGTCAACACGTTCGACGCGCTGGAGGGTGAGGCGGTGAAAGCGATTTCCGCCGGGCTGTGCCTTCCCGACCGCCCAACTCCGCCGCTGTACTGCATCGGGCCGCTGATCGGCGACGGCGGAGCGAGGAAGGAAGGATCCGGCGCCGATTGTCTTGCCTGGCTCGATTCCCAGCCGAAACGGAGCGTCGTTTTCCTCTGCTTCGGCAGTTTGGGGATTTTTTCTCGGGAGCAACTGGGAGAGATTGCTATTGGCTTGGAGAGGAGCGGGCAGCGGTTTCTGTGGGTGGTGCGGGACCCACCTTCGGGGGATAAGCGAAACGCCGACGTTTCGGTGAAGGATCCGGACTTGTCGTTGGAGGGCCTGCTTCCCGACGGGTTTCTGGAGCGGACGAAAGAGAGAGGACACGTGGTGAAGTCGTGGGCGCCGCAGGTGGAGGTTCTGGGTCACGATTCGGTGGGCGGGTTCGTGACCCACTGCGGGTGGAACTCAGTGCTAGAAGCGGTTCGAGCCGGGGTGCCGATGGTGGCGTGGCCGCTCTACGCGGAGCAGAGGTTCAACCGGGTTCTGCTGGTGGAGGAGATTCGGATCGCACTGCCGATGTTGGAGCGCGACGACGGGAGCGGGTTCGTGGAGGCGGCGGAGGTGGAGCGACGGGTCAAGGAGCTGATGGAAATCGAAGGATCGGGAGAGCTGGTGAGGCGGAGGATGGACGAAATGAAGAAAGCAGCGGAGGATGCACTGAGCGACGGTGGTTCTTCTCGGGTCGGGTTGTCGCGACTCGTTGACTCGTGGAGGAGATAATGAGTTCTCGTCTAAAAAAGTTGGGTAGAATACGAGGGAGTAGGCCTTTGATGAATTATGGGTACCAACTTGTTTTACTCGGTCTATTTTGGTGTTCAATTCAATTGAGTATTTGATGCATGTAGGAGTTGTATGAGAAATCAAATCAAGGAGGTTTGATATTTAGTGATGAAGCTATGTAATAACTATAACTACTGAATTTAGGAATGGCAATGGGGCAGGTCCGAGGTGGGTATCTCGATATACATACCTGCCCCATGGCAGGTCGGGTCCAGGTCGAGTATTTTATCACGGGGCGCGGGTCGGGGCAGGTCGACCCAATGGGTATCTAATTTATGTGAGAAACATTAGAAATATTCATTATTTTCATTAAAATACCAAGAAATAAACCATAATATGATGAAATGTAGTTAAATTATTGGAGAAATTAAGGTTTTCACTTATTTACAAGTTTATTACAGCTAAAAGATGAGGTAATAAAAGGAAATCCTAAATAATTTGACTAACACTCTGTTTGGGAAGAGGGGTAAATGGGAGGAGGGTGCAAATGTGAGGGGTAAATACAATTTCCAACACATTTGCACCTGTTTGGTTAATTTGGAACAGTAGGGGGGTGCAAAACGGGAGTGCAAATTTACTGTTTTGGCTTACCCCCCAAATTGGGGTGCAAGGGAAGGAAGGAAGAGAGGGGGAGGGGGGAATTATAGAATTTTGTTTTTCTAATTGTGTTATATATAATTATATAATAATTAATATTATCAATTTCTTCTTTTTATAAATATCATTAATGTAAACATTATTCGGGGTTGACCATTTGACTCTGGAAACAAGTTTATCAATGTTCGTCAAGTCAAATCTAGATCTCTTGGTTGAATCGAATTTGCATTGAAAATTAGAGATACGAAGTGTTTGTGGAAAAGATAGAGAGAAATTGTTTGGTTAACTCAGTTTATTTGACTAAATAGTTAAAACTTACAAATTCGGACGTGTTTGACAATTTAAGATTAAACTAGACACGAAAACCCTATATAGGATGACCAGTTACAAGTTGAGCTTCGAGTTTTGAGATTGCTCGATCAATGATTATACAATTGTCATAATTAATTATTATTTGAGCATTATTATATAATAACTATTTTTAGTAAAGTATATTTATTATTATATAGTAATATTTATTTTATTATTTTATGATAATATTTTAAAATTTTAAAATCTATTTTGTAATCTTAAAATCTATTTTAAAATCTATTTTAAAATAATATAATTACTTACTTTTCACTCTATTTGCACCCCCCTACTTTTTCATCCAAACAACAATTTACCCCTCCACTTACACCCCCCCAGCAATTTGCACCCCCCAGCAATTTACCCCTCAACTTGCACCCTCCTTCAATTTGCACCCCCCTTGTTGCCAAACAGAGCGTAAGATTACATGTAATTTAGGAAAAAACGGGTCAAGAATGGGGCGGGGCTGGGCAGGTCAGGTCGATGGGAGGAACCCATGCCCGCCCCGCCCCGCCTACAGGCCGGGTCGGACCCGCCCCAAAACAGTACAAACAGGTCGGGTAAAACGGGTCAGGTCGAAATTGCCATCTCTAACTGAATTAATTGGATTGATTCGGGTTTTAGTTTTTACATCGTTCCAACGGTACAAGGGGCCAGGTCAATGTAACATTGATGTTGAAAAGCATAGGCGGTAGCCCAGGCGAGAATGGGCCATTGACTAATGGCCGGGAGGCGATGATCGAGGAAAATGGGCCTTCCACCAGGAGAGCATATATTGACAAGAAAGTCACTTTAAATCTCCGACATTTGTAGTAGAATTGTTTCCCAAACTGCACTAGTTCATAAAACCAATTTCAAAATACAGTAGTGTTCTCGTATAATTTTTCAATCTACACATGTTTTTTGCTGGTCGTTCAAGTCGAAAGTGATCTACAACAAAAAAGGTGGCGAGTAAAGCGACCAGCCACGTGGGCAAACTTGGTTATTGTTAGGGTCAGCGATCCGATTAGCAATAAATCGTCGGTCGGTGCAGCGATCAACGAGTTCACATAAATAAATCGATATACAAAATCAACATAGTCATTGTGCGATTATGAAGCGATCAATAATCATCGTTGTTCACACTAACAATCAACCTTAATCGCTTTGTACAGAAGCAATCAAATTTCCCCACGAGGATGAGGTTAGATGTTGGCTGGTAGATTGATCAAAGACCCGATCGCTTTATCCTTTAACGATTTAGGGCAGATCGCGTTCCAACAATGATTAAAGCTGTTAAATCACCAAAAAACCAAATATATTATAAATATACTGAACAATAAGTCATAATATGGGGAACAAGTAGGTTTTTAGAGTGGGAGGGTTGTATTGTATCACAAACTCAAGGAAACTTTTTCCTGGTGTGGAATGTCCCTTAGCCGCAACTAGGATTGCAAATGGCTCGATGCTCGACTAAAAAAACCTCGTTTGTAACTCGGCTCGTTAGTAAAAAAGTCAAGTCTGAGCTCATCCTTGTTTGGCTCATGAGGCTCGTGAGATAGCTCGACTCAGTGGCTCGTTGAGTTGAACTAATAAGTTGGCTCGATAATATGTAATTAATATAGGTTTATTTTGAAAAAAAATGTAATTAATATGAGTTTTTAATTCCTAAAAATTATTAAATGCAACACAAATTTAATACCTTAAAAGGCTATAATTAATAGGGGTATCATTTTTCCAACCCAATTGGAGGTAGCAATGCTATCCCATCCTGATGAAAGAGATGAAACCAACACAAATAGTTTAACCTAATGAAACAGATAATATCCCACCAATTGTCTTTTATTATTTGTCTCTATAGACTAGTTTTCTCGTAGTTGTCAATATAAATTCGTACAAATATGTAATGACAAATATACTTTGTCATATTAAATACTAGATTCAGAGCCCGCCCGTTGGTCGGATGAATTTCAATAACAGTATAAATGACCATAATAACTGTCCGAAGCAAAACATATTTTATTACGTACCATAAAAAAATTTACGATACAAATCTGAAAGTGTATCTTTAACATTATGGCACAATTTGCACATATATATTTTTCGTACAAATTGCTTTATGATACAAACTAAACTTATAATTTTTCCGCTATGACACAAATTCAAATGGTATGTGCAAACTCCAATACAGTATAGTAAATAAGCTCATACATAACATGTTAATTAAAAAGGAATTTCCTTTTTTAGTTGGAGTCAAGGTTGTCAAATCGGTTTATACCAGTGTGCAAGTTTAGCAAGTGAAATGGTTCGACCGGTGGTACAACCAGTTTGTGTCGGTCCATGTCGGTTAACAAAATATGTAGAAATGTGAAAAATCATTAACATGAAATGAATTTCATCACATATAAAATCATATTTGAATAATTTATTTATAATTCATATTTATGTTTACATTCCAAATAAAATTACAAATGCTCATATTTAAATATAACAGTTAACGTTAATATCTAAACGTTTATATTTGAATTCAACAAACAACATCAATATTTAAATTTTAAACTCATAAAATAAATGAAAAATTAATTTTTTATTAATTAAATTCACTAAAACAATGTTATTTGATTAAAAATCATAAATTGATCATGCGGTCATATTGGTGGTATTCACGCTAGTTTCATTACTGCCATCGGTTGAACCTAACAACCATGGTCCAAATTTGTTGTTAATAAATTAATTGAGTATTTTAAGCCCACCAAAATTATCAACTTTCCCTTACTATGCGGATAGGTTAAATCTGTCCAGCCCAATATATACACAGTAGCAATATATAAAAAAAAAAAAAAAATAGGGAAAATACTTTTATAGCCTTCCGTGAGCTGCGGAGAGGCCTCCAAATTTGGTTTTAACGCACTCCCTTTGGAGAATCTCTTTAAATGGATGTGTAGATCTTATAAACTTTACATGTGACAAAACCAAATTTATCATTGTACCGTTTAAACAAAAATATATTAGGACAAGTTCTCTGTTTGTCATTTTATACCTTCTCTATTTTTTCCAATTATGTAATGATAAAATACGCATTGTCATTGGTCTAACTTGGCTTAGTAGGAGATTTCAAGAGATGGGATACAATGACTACCTTTAAATGGTTGGAAAAATAATAAGAGACAAATAGTAAGAGATTTCAGGAAATGTACAGGTTACAAGATATTTGGCATTATTATTTGAAATCATTAATAGAGGTCGACCGAATACTTGTACTTTTCGGTTGACCTTCCTATTATAGGTCGACTTAATCCTAACAGAGGTCGACCGAATATTTGAAATCACTAATAAAGGTCGACCGAATATGACGATAGCTAAATTAGGTCGACCTCACCTTCGACGTGGTCAGCCTCTTGCAACACCTACAACAACAACCACAAAGAATCTTCTTCACAAAAGCTCTATCCGTAAAAAAAAAAACCTAATTTAGAGTTTCGGTGGCGGTGAAGGTGACATATATTCGTATTTATAGATATTTAGGACATGAATGACTCTAATTAAGTGGTAGATAAGTTAGGGTTACATTTCTAGTGTTGGAATCCTTATCCAATACGGATACGGTGTGCACGTGGTCGACCTCGTACTTCTGCAGTCGACCTCTTAAGTGCAAAATGGTCGACCTATGAAGTATTTGGGTCGAACTTTCATTCTATCGATTCCCAAAGAGGTCGACCATTTGCTATAGAAGGTCAACCGCCTCGTCGAACCTCACAAAACTAAAACAGCAGATTAGGTCGACGAAATCCTATATTCGGACAACCGAAAAGTGCATGTTACGGTAACATGCATGTCACCATAGCAAAGTCCCAAGATATTTAATTGGACAAAGTATATTTGTCATTACATATTTGTACGAACTTATATTGACAACTACAAGAAAACGATCATATAAAGACAAATAATAAGAGACAATTGGGGATATTATTTCATTATGTGAAACTATTTGTATAGGTTTCATCTAATGTTTTATAATTTATATAAAAAATCAAAATAAGAATTTTGGTGGTATTTATCCTATTTGTGGCTATATAATATAGGCAAATCACAAAACTTTTAGAAATAAATACAAATGTTACTCATAGTATGTCATATACAGGTAAATATAATATTCTTTTCGAGACCAAAGTATGAATTAGGCTTCTTATCATTGTGAAATTAAATATGATTCATATATTTTTCTTTATATACGAAAAACACTCTTGGTGGAAGTCAGGTCACAACCACCTCAGCATAAAATGCCGAGTCACGAATGAAATAATTGTTTGACCATCAACATTGACGGTCAAACCAAAGTATGATCTAAATTTCTCAATTTCTTTCAAAATTCTGAGAAAACCTACTTATTTGGGGCTTTGGACCTAAATTATCAGACCAAGTATGACATTCTCCATCATATATATTATCATCTATATGCTCCATACTGTTAATTACTAAATGCCCTCGACGACACACATTGAAAGTATATTATAGAAAGTTAAACATTAAATTTAAATCTGAAAGTATATCTTCTACAAAGTTAAACATTAAATTTAAATCTCATAGTGATATTCTGACAGGAAAGATGATTAGGAGAGCCTCCATGATTGAAAAACGACACGCAAAGAAAGACGATAACCAGAGCAATAGCGCACGGAACCGAAGATATTTCACCAATTCAACAAGCTTGCCGCCCCGCCATAAACTCTCCTTTGTCCACGAGCGAGCTTTTCCCTGCGCCCACAAATTCCCCTTCTCACGACATCTTTTTTTTTTCTTCCTTCCCTCCATTAAGTTTCCATAATCGATTCGCGAGTCACTAACACACAAACAAAAAGAAGCACGATAATTCTTCGAAATGGCCGCAGAAGCAGTAGTGTTTTACCCATCGCCGGCGATAGGCCACTTGATCTCCATGGTGGAGCTTGGCCGCTTAATCCTAACCCACCGCCCATCCCTCTCCGTCCACATCATCCTCCCTCCGGCGCCGTACCAAGCCGACGCCACCGCGCCGTACATCGCCGCCGTCTCCGCCTCCACTCCCTCCATCGCCTTCCACCGCCTCCCTCCTCCTCCGGCCACCGCCGTCTTCCCCAATTCGCCGCACCACGAGATGCTCATGATCGAAACCCTCCGCCTCACCCTCCCCCACCTCCGCCGCAAACTCCAACAGATCGTCTCCGAATCCGCCGCCGTCCACGGTCTGATCGTCGATTTCTTCAACACCGCCGCGCTCTCCGTCGCCGCCGAGCTCGAAATCCCCTGCTACAACTTCTTCACCTCCGGCGCCGCCTGCCTCGCATTCTTCCTCCACTTCCCCACCCTCCACGGATCTCACACCGAGAGCTTCGGAGACCTCGGCCGTACTACCATCCTCGAGATTCCGGGAGCTCCGAAGCTGCCGGCGTCCGAGGTGCCGAAGATTCTCCTCGACCGAAACGACGACGTTTATCGGTGCTTCCTCGAATTCACCACGCGCTGGCCCGAATTCGCCGGGTTGATTGTCAACACGTTCGACGCGCTGGAGAGCGAAGCGGTGAGAGCGATTTCAGCCGGTTTGTGCGTTCCCGACCTCCCCACTCCGCCGCTGTACTGCATCGGGCCACTGATCGGCGACGGCGGAGCGAGGAAGGAAGGCGGCGGCGCCGGATCCGGCGCCGATTGTCTTGCCTGGCTCGATTCGCAGCCGAAGCAGAGCGTCGTTTTCCTCAGCTTCGGCAGTTTGGGGGTTTTCTCGAGGGAGCAGCTGAGAGAGATTGCAATTGGTCTGGAGAGGAGCGGGCAGCGGTTTCTGTGGGTGGTGCGGGACCCACCATCTGGGGAAGACACGCGAGGAAACGCCGACGTTTTGCTGAAGGATCCGGAACTGTCGTTGGAGGGTCTGCTTCCGGATGGGTTTCTCGAGAGGACGGAAGGGAGGGGGTACGTGGTGAAGTCGTGGGCCCCGCAGGTGGAGGTTCTGGGTCACGAGTCGGTGGGCGGGTTCGTGACCCACTGCGGGTGGAACTCGGTGCTGGAAGCGATTCGGGCCGGGGTGCCGATGGTGGCGTGGCCGCTCTACGCGGAGCAGAACTTCAATCGGGTTCTGCTGGTGGAGGAGATTCGGATCGCGTTGCCGATGGTGGAGCGCAATGACGGGAGCGGGTTCGTGGAGGCGGCGGAGGTGGAGCGATGTGTCAAGGAGCTGATGGAGATAGAAGGATCCGGGGAGCTAGTGAGGCGAAGTATGGTCGAAATGAAGAATGCGGCGGAGGATGCCCTGCGTAACGATAGTGGGTCCTCTCGTGTCGGGTTAGTGAGGTTGGTTGACTCGTTGATGCACCAACGAGTTCGCGATTCGGGAAAACCTTAAATAGAAAATGAGAAGTAGAGCTTCGAATGAGTTGTTGGTATGAATGTGGTTGTTGATTTTCTTGTGTTTATGTAATTTTTTTAACAAAAGATTATCATATTGATTGATAAAAAGATCATGAATTACACCCTGGAACCAAATCAGAAACGAAAATTATACAATGGACACGAAGCCGGAGGCAAAGAAAGGGTATTTCCACTAAATGGGCTCTAATGTAATCTGACCCAGAAATCGAATAATGAAAACCACTATTCTCAGCCATCATACGCAGAATCTCCTGAACAATAGCTCCAACACAGCTGTCTTGTGCATCCTTGGCATTAATTTTATCAATGAGCACTTTTGCATCACCCTCAAACCGAACTTGAGCAATGCCGAGATCCTGACACCACTGAATAGGTTCACGGAGGACAATAGTCTCCACCACAAGAGGGTTAATAATATTCTCGAAAGCCCTTCCTCTTGCTAAGACCACAGACTCTGGACTTACATGCCCGATGAGCTGCCACTCATTCTCCTTCCCTACGAATTGAGGGTACGTTGACCTCGGTCTTGCACCTTGGACTCCCTGGGATCTAAATCACATGGACCTTCTATTCTTTCCTACGCGACACCCTTTCACTAGGGGTAGCACTCTTACTCTAATATAGGTTCCGGTCCTGGCCACGACCATTTTCGAAAGCCTTCTGGTGCTCCTCCATCATAGGGAATTTCCTAACCAGTCTAGAATCCTTGCTCTGCCCAATCTGGAGATTTGATGGTTTAGTTACCATGAAGCCACGGGGGCTTTTTCCTTCGCTCTTCCTATCCTCCCTGCGTTTGTCCTGGTATAGGGGGTCCCCCTATTTGCAAACCGATCTTCCGGTCGAGGTATCTATATGCCTCATAGGAGGTGTCGTCTCAACCACCTCGTTCTGCTTCTGGATCTTACTACTTTGTCACGCATTCCTCATTCTAGCAGCTTTCGGATTGACCCATACTGACCTAGAGGCACCATAAAATGATTGGTTGTCATCCTCTTCTCCATAGAGCTTTTGTCCAAGCGCTTTGGTAGACATATGTGGCCCAAACCTCTCTTTCCCTTGTTGTTGATCAAAACACATGTCTGAAAGCAGTGTCCCACACGGCCACATTTAAAGCAGAAGCTGGGTAGGAACTCATACTTCAAGCTGACCCAGAAACAATCAGTTTCCTCACTCAGGGCCATGATATGAGAGTGGAGTGGTTTGGTGAAATCGATGATAGCTTTTACCTTGATGAAATTTTATTTTGCTGCATGGGAGGCATAAGCACATATTTTAAGGACTCTTCCAATGGCCGAATGGAGCATTATCCGTCCAAACTTTGGGGGTACATCAATCTTCATTCACATCCCAGATCTGAATACCAAAAGGAGCGAGCGCCATTTTTTCATAAGTACGAAGAGTGACGTTTGGAGTCCAGTTCCTCAAGTGAAGGATCTCATCCTTGATAATCCAGGGAGTCCTGAGCAAAACCCAATTCTTACAGGCTTCACTGGGAAGAGAGAAATCCAGAAACCCTTGTCGTCCCTTTGATCCCACTAGGAAGAGCACAAAAGAAAGCTCAAGCTCCCACTTTGATCCTTTGTAAATATGATCCACCGATATCATCCCCAACCAAGGACGGCCAAAGGCCACTGAAGGAACGAGGGACACAAACTGAGAGATTAATCCTTACAGCAAAAGTAGGAATTGAGAGCAAGTCATGGATTTTAATTTTATGGAACCAAAAGGCATCACATAATCCCAACGATTTGTATCTGAACTTCGTTTCCTTCGGTGCTACGTTGCTCGAGCGTCAATTCCTCTCGCCGGTCTCTTGTTAATGTTAAACAAACCAAGAAGCCATCGATCATAAGGGTTTGGCGATGATAAATAATCATAGCAGGAGATTAAAAGACTATGAGCAGACACAGGTTTAACCATACCTGGTCCCTTGAGGCTACATGTTACAATTCTTATGTTGGAAAAAGCTTCCACATTAGTCACAACGAAGACAGAGCTACTCGCCTGAACAACAATATGACTAATTGACTATGAGCAGAGGGATTGTTAATCAGCAAAGGCCGCATACAACCTGTAGCAAATTGGGAAGGAAAGAGTTAATCGAGTGACAACTCTGACATGTTCTTCTTCGTGGATGCGTGGTCCAATTCACAGTCGTCCGCCCAATTCTATTCGAGATTTTGTTATGAGAATACTGGGCAGCGAACAACGGAATTTATAATCCGCAGAAAGTCCGATGGAGAACGGGTTCCACTGTTGCCGTCGGAAAAACAGGGATGTACATCCTAGCTAGAATCTCGGTTTGCTGCAATTGGAGAGAGAAATGGAATAATCACTCTGTCCTCACCCTAGACTCCTCCACCAGATCCGTCCACCGTAACAGTCGGCGATCATCCACCCAACCCGTACGGGCTCGTAAGATTACTAGTTCCGAGGGTGAATTTGAAAGCTCTATTTCCGGTGCCCATGACTCCGGTTGGACTTGAGATGGCGGATGAACCCCCTTCAGAAAGGTCCCACAGAGGGCTTTGAAAGACAACTCATTAGTATTTTTCCGCCTGCCTGCACAATCTATAGCATATGGAAGTTCGTTTCCACTCCTCTGGCTCTAGCTCAGGCGGGGCTTGCGGCGCCGGGAGCCTTTGTCCCATAGCAATTCCTTTATCTGATTTCAAACAACCCGCAACATTCAATGTTGGGACTTTTAGGACGAGGGTACACGTATGATAGCCCGAGACCGGGTGAACAGGATTGTGATAGAGTCGTGAACAACATTTACTTTTCGAAAAGAATATTTCCATCCTCAACAAGCCTAGGGTTACAGGAAATTTCTTCATAGGATAAAACTATCACCACTTTAGATTCCAGGCTTTAAGTACCTAAAGTATACTTAAAACTTTTAGTAGGAAGAAGAATGAATTTTTGGTGTGTACTCTCTTACCATGTGACCACATATATTTATAGTGACTGATGCCAACCGCTATTACGATTCATAAGCAACCGTTCACTTCTCAAGCTATTAAACTAAATTCCATAATCCAAACGTTGCTTTGTTCCTTAACAAAGTGAAACGTTGCATGGCTTAGGGAAAAGACACATTCCATTACAAATTGACACATGGCTTGTCAAAGAGCCACATCTTTCCTTTGTAATAACGTTACATGGCTTGAAATGAATTTATCCATTTATTCCAATGAAGGTATGCATCACGTGGTAAATTTACTTGGCAGTTGAGACAATATCATCGCCTGGGGAAATTAATGGAATGTAACGATGGCATAACTAGTTCAAAATTAATGGACCGATGGCTAACTCATGATTAACCTTACCGATCCAATAATTTAACAAGCAGGCTCCATTTCAAATTCCAACATTCCTCCCCCATTTTAGTGTATTTATATAATTCACTAAAATTACTACAATCTTCCAACAAAACTTAAGCATAAATGAAAATGTCGTGACGATTGAATTTTCACCTTAGTATATTACACTTGACAAATATTCGAATACAAAGGGTGTCGGTAACGATTGAACCCATTGACTCATATGAATATTCGAAGATAATATACACTTAAGTTTTCAAAACTTCTAAGCGCCTTGACATTATTATCCGCCATGTGTCCAATCCTTCTCATAAGCGCACACGAAACCAAAGTCCGGGTTTCTTGAAGCGGCTACACTTTATGCTTACGTAGGTTGAATCTCTTATTCGTGTACCCGCATAATACATTTTTTCAAAGATTCAATTAAGAAGTTTGAACTTCATCCTCTTCTCTCATGCAGGATAACAAGCACATACCTCGGGATGACAAATTGTGTGCTTCAATTTCTGATAATAATCTTTCCACATTGAATTCAGCCTCTAACGTTGTATTAGAGGGGAATTGGGTGTCCCATTACCAGAAATTATGTGGACTTTAACCCATCCCTTTCACAGACTTGATCACCAAGTCACTAGTTAACCACTTTGTCAAATGATCAACCAAATTATTTCGAGTTTGGTCATACTGTCTGGACACAACACTATGAATGATCAGTTCACAGCTTTTACCGTGCCTTACTCCCACATGACCGTTCTTGTCATTTTCACTTGACTATATCCTTAGCCAAATTAGCATTACTATCACAAAAATAGCAATATGTGAGATTGGTTTAGGCCATAAATATATGTCATAAACTAAACCTCTAAACAATAATGTCTTTTCTCTAAGAGAAACCAAGACCACACAAACTTTGATTCCATAGTGAAACTTAGTGATGCAAGTTTGCTTTCTAGAGGCCCAAAATATGGCACCTCTCCCAAGCAAGAGGACCCATCTCAATGTTGAAGTATCACCTTTAACATGAGAAATCCAAATAACATCAACAAATCTTTCCAAAATTAATAGTAAGCCACTATAAGTCAATACAGTGTGCCTTTGACATATCCTAGTACACACCTCATTTCATTTCAAATGATGAGAACTAGGATTCATCACGTACCAACTTAATTGTTCTATCGCATATGCGATATCTAGCATCATGCAAGACATGCATACATCGAGCCCCCAATTTAACATGGAATACTCCAGTTGTATAACTGATTTCCAGTATTAACCATAAGTTCCATACTTGGGTCCATTGGGGTCTTTAACTCACCACAATTCCTACTATGGAATTTATGCAAGTACCTTCTCATGCAAAAATATTGAGAGAAGGATTCTTTCTTTGTTGTTCCGCTTGATTCAATACACAGAATCACATTTGCCTCCCCCATGTCCTACACGGAGAATTGAAATAACAACTTTTTATCAAAGTTCACTTATCTTTTATTGGTTCCAAAGATAAGCATGTCCTACACATACTAATGTACGATGACTTCATTACCAGAATCATCATAAATTGTGTAAACATTTTTGTCTCCTTGGTTTAAAATAACATAAACCACTTGACAAAATCACTTATCTTTGATTGGTCCCAAAGATAAATATGCAATGTTCGTACAAACACAACGACTCTATTACCAGAATCATCAAACATTATATATACAATTTTGTCTCCTTGGTTTAACATAAACCACTTAGACAAAACCACACCACCAAACCACTAGACAAATCCAAATTTATCTAGAACTTCATAAACGTCGAATAGAGAATTGGACTAATTAACCATTGAGTATGTGACCTACCCATAGGCAATTTTTATTCTTCTATTTCTCCATTTTACGAATCATTCTCCTTCTTCCTCATCTTCGAATCATCCCTCTTCCAAGTTACCTTCCGGATATGGAATACACCATGAGACTAGTCCGAAGAAAATCCATCTTCTACTGCCATCGATGAAAAACCCATCATCGAACATTCTCATAATTCCATAGACCAGAACCGGTTTCTTGTAAATAGCGGATCGAGCCATCGTACCAGAATATTATTTTTTTCGATTGTTGGGACTTTTAGGACGAGGGTACACGTATGATAGCCCGAGACCGGGTGACCAGGATTGTGATAGAGTCGTGAACAACGTTCAATTTCCGAAAAGAATATTTCCACCCTCAACAAGCCTAGGGTTACAGGAAATTTCTCCCGAGGATAAAACTATCACCACTTTAGATTCCAGACTTAAGTACCTAAAGCATACTTAGAAGTTTAGTAGGAAGAAGAATAGATTTTGGTGTGTACTCTCTTACCATGTGACCACATATATTTATAGTGACTGATGCCAACCGCTATTACGATTCATAAGCAAACGTTCACTTCTCAAGCTTTACAACGATTCATGGATTAAACTAAATTCCATAATCCAAACGTTGCTTTGTTCCTTAACAAAGTGAAACATTGCATGGCTTAGGGAAAAGACACATTCCATTACAAATTGACACATGGCTTGTCAAAGAGCCACATCTTTCCTTTGTAATAAGGTTACATGGCTTGAAATGGATTTATCCATTTATTCCAATGAAGGTATGCATCACGTGGTAAATTTACTTGGCAGTTGAGACAATATCATCATCGCCTGGGGAAATTAATGGAATGTAACGAGGGCATAACTAGTTCAAAATTAATGGATCGATGGCTAACTCTCATGATTAACCTTACCGATCCAATAATTTAACAAGTAGGCTCCATTTCAAATTCCAACATTCAAGTCTATCGCCTGAGCTGCAAATCCCCTATCTATTTCCTCCGACAATATGGAATGAGAAATCGCCAGCCCACTTGTTTCTCAAGTTTTCGTTTTTTATTAGAAGGCCCTCTCTGTTTTTCCGCTATTATTACATTGTCGAAGTTCGGCGGACATCGATCAAGGTCAGGAAACCCAGTCCGTACGTGTTGCGTCGTTTCTCCATCGCTACCAGGTTGGAGATTGCTAGTATGGTAAGAAAATCCTCCAGGCAAGCTCGATGACTCTCCCGAACAGCCATAGTGATAGCAACCTGTTGCTATCGGGTTAGGGTTTGCTTGTAACTCACAAGCGAGAGTACGACGTAAAGTGTCGAAAGACTGTTTTTAGGTTTATTATTGATTGATTCCCGGACTAATGCCGTAGTTACATTTTTATATAGGTCACTAAACCTAATACTTAACCCTAAACCTACCCGCTCAACTACGTACGACTCCAACTTGGCATCCAACTCTAATGCATACTCGGCCCATGCACATAGACTAATAACCTACCTACTAACCCTAAGCAATTAGACCCATAATTAACCCTAACACATTACCGTACTAACCAAAAGCCCAAACCACTATCCTATCATTCCTTCCCCCTCAAAGAACCTTGGTCTCCAAGGTTCGGTCCATGCCGAGACGCGGCGGTCGGCGACGAAAGCAACCGCAACGCTTGCGACGACGTTGAGTCTTAGGATGCTTTCGAAACTTCCAGCTCCTTGTCCGACCTCTATTCCTCTTCCTCACCTTGGCCGGAACTCGCGGCCACGCAGCTTGGGCATCATTGTCCAGGACGATTGCTTCTCCTCTCTTGAGTGGCCAAGACCTTGAAAACAGAAGCCCATCACAATCATCCTCGTCTTGGTCCAAAGAAAGAGCATGCCCTCCAATTACTGGAGGATAACTTTTCCCAACAAAACCCCCGCCTTCCTTGGATGCTTCTTTCTCACAATTTCCATCCCCAACCAGCAAATCGAGTGGTGGTGACTCAATTTTGAATGGCGCCACTTCGCGCAGCACCAAAACTTCCACGCTGACAATAGTCGCTTCGTCTTTCGCGGGTTGTACTCCAACCGTGAACGCTTCCTTGAGCTGAACGCCAATGACGAACTCCTCCTTCTCGCAGCCTCGGAATCGATAGGTGAGAGCCTCGTCGAGGTGGTGACCACCGCGACGCACTGTTTCCTTCCTATCGCTTCCAGATCGTTGGGTGAGAGCTTCGCATAGGCGATAGCCACCTTTGCGCACTGTTTCCTTCCCGTCGATCTCGTTGACGGAGATCTCCATCTTCTCCGCCGCCCTGACTTCATTGGCGTCGACTCGGGCCACGTCGTTGTCGCTTCGCTTCCCGTCGATGACGGTCAGTTGTTCGGGGATATACCCCGCCAACAACTGTTCCAAAGCATCCATCCTTGCCACCATGTTCTGACAGGTTGCAGTGATCCGATCTGCCATGGTACAGCAGGCCTCCACGTCGAAGACCATGCTCTGATGTCGAGCACAGCTAGGCGCTGGCGATGTCTTCCCTGGGAGCTGTTTAGAGCTCGGTTCTGTCGAACCAGGCTCTGATACCAATTGATAGCAACCTGTTGCTATCGGGTTAGGGTTTGCTTGTAACTCACAAGCGAGAGTACGACGTTAAGTGTCGAAAGACTGTTTTTAGGTTTATTATTGATTGATTCCCGGACTAATGCCGTAGTTACATTTTTATATAGGTCACTAAACCTAATACTTAACCCTAAACCTACCCGCTCAACTACGTACGACTCCAACTTGGCATCCAACTCTAATGCATACTCGGCCCATGCACATAGACTAATAACCTACCTACTAACCCTAAGCAATTAGACCCATAATTAACCCTAACACATTACCGTACTAACCAAAAGCCCAAACCACTATCCTATCACATAGAGAGAGATCTTGCAGCAAAACAGGCAGACCTCAGAAGCAATACAAGATAAGGTTGGTCAGACTTTATCGTTCCTCCGAGTCAGAGGGAATTGCCCCATTTCGCCCAAGTTGTTTCGGAACCGGAAAAAAGGAACGAAGTAGTGAACCCGAACCCGAAGGTTTAGAATATGTTCGATCGTAGGGAGAAGGGCGAAGGAACGAAGCGTCGGCCGGTCTTTCGACCAGATCCCCCTAAAAACCGTACGTGCGGGTCTCCCCGCATGAGGCTCCATCATCCGTGGCAAAAAACACTCTTATACAATCGTAGCCTTTTCTCTAACCAAAGGCCTCTCCAGAGAATCGAGAGAGAGCCCCAAGCGAGCCTTCTTTTTTTTTTTTTTCATTCCATGTGTTAATGCAATTGAGGGTAATTATCATAAATGGTCACAAACCTATTCACTTTGTACAAAATGGTCACAAACCTTTAATTTTGCACGTTTCAGTAATAAAAGTTTAAGTGAATACCAAAAAGGTCAATCCGTCCACTTCCATCCAAAAGTCCGTTAGTTTTCCCCTGTCAGCATGACAAATCAATAAAAATATTAATAAAAAATCATTTAATCATCTGAATTAACCCGTACAACCATAACCAGTTCACTAGCTCTGTAACACCTGCGATACCCAGCCCTTCGTCTCTCATACCCTTCATCCCTTTGAGCTCTTACCGCTGTGGTTTCTCTCCTTCGGATACATCCAGGGGATCATCTATACCATCTAGGCCATCAACAAATGATCCGTCTCCAACTCCGACCGGTCAGGTAATGCTACTACTACTTGATCACCGAATCCACCAGCTACCTACTTTATTCATCAATTAGTTCTCTTCTCTCCGAGCCTCCCTGATTCCTCAACTACACAGATGGGCGGAGAGCTTAATTGCCACCTACACAAATGAATTATAATATTAATTAGATATCTCATTAATCAAATTCACAATGGCGCTGCAGATGTAGTCAGAGAACGATCCGCGCAGGAGTACATGCGGGCGGTGGAGGAGGAGCTCGGTGAGCTTCTGGAAGAAACCCAAAATCAATTGAAGTGGACCTCGCCTCTCTCGCGATGTCTGTTACTGAATTGAAAAAAAAACTATTTTCTAAAGTGGACGGACGACTCTTTAATCTCTTGCTGTTTCCCATCTCTAGTGAAGCAGAGAAGAGGAGTGGAGCAGAGGCGGCGATTGGGATTGGGAGAGAGAAACCACGGCGGGCGGTCGGAGGAATGAAGGGGTGGTTATTAGTATACGGTCGGGTGGTTACTGAGTTAGTAAACCGGTTAGGGTCGTACGGGGTAATTTGGATGATTAAGTGAAATTATTTATTAAAATTTTTAATGATATGTTATGCTGACTAGCAAGGTTGTCAACCCGCGGGTTGACTCGGACCCGGTCGAGCTAGTGAGTCAAGGATTAATTGGTCGACCGTTTTAGCCCGGTTTGGCCCGGAAATATGGAAAGAGTCATTATATTGTACTTATCCTCATAAATTATATCAAATCTTATCTAACATATGAGTTATAACATATAATATTACACCAAAATAACATATCGTACTTAGATCCAACAGATAGTGAAAATTCACACACACTTATATAACATAAATATTCAAATGTTCAACTTAGGATTTCAAAAATTGAGTTAGGCGAAAAGAAAAATCGGAAAATAGGCGCATTTCGCAAATCAAAGAAAAAAATGAAACAATTTGACCTCCAACCCGGTACCTTGTAACGGTCGACCCGGCGGGTGCGTGCGGCCCGTTTTTCTCACCGGGTCAGGGTCAAATTGGGTCGACCCGCGGGTTGACAACCTTGCTGACTAGGCAAATCTAACAGATTTTTGGACGGAAGTGGACGGATTGACCTTTTTGTTATTCACTCAAACTTTCGTTACTGAAACATGCAAAATTAAAGATTTGTGACAATTTTGTACAAAGTGAATAGGTTTGTAACCATTTATGATAATTACCCTGATCTTGTCCCAGCATTTAATTTCCACCGATTATTAGTAGTTGAACTTAATAACTTATCCATATATGCATCAATATCTCTTCTCTTCTCTTCTCTTCACTTCACTTCACTTCACTTCACATAACTGTGGCCGATCGAGTTGATCACACTTCGACAGCTCACTCCATTTAAGAGGGTCACATGCACTAGAATAGTGTAGGCAAGTTCAACAACCGGCCATTTCATGTCTTCCTTCATAATTCTTTTATGTGTCAAATCTTTGTGTTGTTCCTCCTTTCTCAAGTCCCGAGCACTTCTTTTATGCTTTAAAGCATAACTTAAAATTATACTATAATGTCAAAAGTACTGATTAAAATTGTATCATAAATAAAGTTGATTATGGTACAAGTGAATTTGTGAGGAATTAAATGATCAATGAGACTTGAGATCCAAGTCCAACGATGAAACTATTGGATAATAATCAATCAAACTGTTCAGATGCTACATTGTTGTTCAATCAAACTGTCAATCGTGAAAATTTACGTACGACCGTTATTGCTGTCTCTGAAAAAAATATAGACTACAGATCGATAGGGCTAAAGTGATAAAATGCCTAATAGGCTAATACCAACCCCCAGCACGTAACGTAAGGCCGTAGCCCAACTAGTAATGGATTGAGAATGGGCCATCGGGATCTCTTTTTTTTTTTTTTTGCGCGCGAAAGGCATGATCCGTGAAATCGTACCAGTTCAACCACGAAATATCAATATCGGAGCCTAAACGGATAGACGACATTTAATGGTACGAGGTTGAACAACGATTAAACCACGGGTTTATCATAAAATATCCTACCAATAAATTTTCCGTTACGGTTTCATGGACCAGTAGGCCTGTCAATCCGATTTCGGGTTTTCGGTTTAACCCGAACCCGAACCGATAGCCACGTTCTCGGTTTCGGTTTTTTTGGGTTCAACCCGATGTCTAAAGTAGCGGTTTCGGGTTCTGAAACCCGAAAAACCGAAAGCAACCCGAAAGCTGATGCTGAGTTCACCGCGGCTTCACGCTGTCGTTTTGGGAAGGAGAGTCATCCCTAGCTCTCGACTCCACCTCGTTCTCGCAGGCGCAGTCGCTCACTTCGTCTTCGCCATCGAAACAGAGCTCCCTCGCCACCATCATCGTCCTCGCCGCCAGCGGCCTGGTGAGGACCTCCGACCACCATCGAATCCCTCGCCGGCCGCCTCCATCAACTTCCTTGCTCGTGGGTTCTAGTCTTTGACAGAGTTGTATCCCTTCCTCGCCGCTTCGCTCTTCGCCTCGGGAAGGAAAGACCCAGTGCCCACATTCTTCCGACGACTCCACCATGGAATCCCAGTGAGTCTCTTCGAACAATTCTTCTATTGCTTCAATTTATTACTGGGTTCTTGTTATTGTTTGGAATGCGCTGGTCATTAGAAGCCGATCTGTGTTTTTCATTAAGGGTTGAAGGTGTTCTGAGTCGGCATTCAGCACAGGAGGTCGAGTTTTAGATTCGTTTAGGACCTCCTTATCCCCTGAAGTTGTGGAGGCGTTGATTTGTTGTGAAGATTGGATAAGATCTTCAGACTCCGAGTTGGTGGCTGATGGAGAAGATGAGGGTGATGAAGTGGTATTTCAAAATGGTAAGGTTTTAATCTTTCTCTTTATTCTTATATTTGTTATCTTGATCAAGTCATATTCTAACAATTTGTTATTGTTTATGTTATCCAGTATATGTAGCTTTTCAAGCTCGGAGTGCAAGTGCACCTGCAGGACCTAGTGGAAGCTCTCGTGCAGGACCCAGTGGAAGCTCTCCTGCTACCCATGTTTTGGTCTCGAGTCCTACTATGTCACAAGTGGAAGAAGACTATGTCGACAACAATTCCGATGAGAATGATGAGACTTATGTAGATGTAGAGCCTGATGAGGAGTGATAATGGTAGTAGTATTTATCTTGTATGGTGGATGAATTTTATTTTACTTGGATGTTATCATTTGAAAATTGTAAAACTAATGTGTTTAATTACGAGTTGAAGATAATCTCATCTATGATTGTCGTATTTTATGTTGAACAAAATTATTTATAATTTTGCGCCAAACACCAAACATTTTTTTGCATATGATAGTTTATATACCTTCAATTTTGGACCTATGGTATTACTAAAACATTTAATTATACGAAAATCCACAATTAAATAAGATATGATTAAGTTACGTATAAAATATGTTTAAGTATTTTACTTTGTCTCTAAAATACTAATACTCTTTAATAGTTAATAGTATGTCTATAGTTATAGAATACATAAAATTAAATATTTCAATAATTAACTAATATTTTAATAATAAACTAATATGTAAATATTAGTTTTATACTGTCCATGTCCCATAAAATTAAACATAATGGTAAAATAAGAATGTACAAATAATAAGAATAAAATTGTTTTGTACAATGTAAAATTCAAATCACAAAACTGAAAAAAAAACTCAAACCGGTTCGGTTTCGGTTTCACCCGAACCGAATCAAACCCGCCAACATCAATTTCGGGTTCCAGTACCCGAAACCCACAGAAGAACATTTCGGGTTCGGTTTCGGTTTGTGAGGGGGCGGGTTCGGTTTTTCGGTTTTCGCGGGTTTCGGGTTCGGTTACCCGACCCGAACCGAACCGACAGCCCTATGGACCAGGGTGAAAAGACGAGCGCAGCTAGGCGCCCTAACCCATATCATTAATTACGCGAGGCTCGGAGAGAGGACAAACTGTTCAGCGGCCGGCGGGACACTCGCGGTTACCGGAGGCAGGTTCCGATCAAGCAATATATGGTCCAGCCAGGAGCAGAGCGCGTTTTAGCTGTTACATCTTATAATTGCATAGGCCCCGCGGCGGCATTTGTTCTCTTCAATCCGGCAGCTACACAGTTTGGCTTCACGTATGCATGTGGACAGAAACAAACCAAATTTACAAGACATTGAACACTCTTTATTTTCTTTCACGCTGCAGTAACTAGTGGCATCGCTGAATCCAAGCAGAGGCTTCAGAGGAATCAAGCGCAGTTGCAAAATCCCCATCCATGGATGTAGCGGCGGATTCAGAATCGAGTAGAGCACTGGGGCACATTAGAAAAAAAGTGAATAGGACTAGGTCGTAACACGACGAACACTGAAACGAACACCGAAAATCGAAAATTTATAAGTGCTATACTAGTTCTCGATCGTCGTTCTAATTTGAGAAATTATTTTTTCTTTTTAAAAAATAAATTTAAATGTCATTCGAAAGTTGGGATTGTTTTGGTGAGATTGTTACTATACACTTTTATATATTCCGTAATAAAATAATTTGAGGCATCTATTATTAGTCTATACTACGGCTCGCTAATTGGAATTAGTTCTTTTGTTTAAACTGGAAGCGATAAGAATCTTATCGATTTTAGTTTTCTTTCTCCGAATTGGTTTTTATTTTAACGATTTTGATTTCGAATTTAACTGAGAATCGATAAGAAGTCAAACTTGATTCATGCTCGTAATGGAACAATTATAAAGGATGCATGGGTTTCGGTTGGTTCTAACCGAAACCGAATTTGTTAAGAGATTATCCATTTTTCTGTTAGCCGAAAAAACTGATATTAGGCGAACAAAAACTGATAAGCCCTTCAATTAGTTCCGTTTTGGGGAAACATGCTATATATGTTATTTTATTTTAAACGATTTTGGCTCAGTTAACCGAAGCAAATCGAGCTGACACTCCTGGTCTATATCATGATGGTAATGTTTGATAGTACATAAAATTGTATCATGATGGTATGAATATATTATGGTGGTATAGTTGTATACATGATAGTATGAATATATTAACCATCAGTTACTAGCCTACACCAAGGTGGTATAAGATGGTATATTTGGTGCTGAAATCCCCCCAACACACACATAAATTGTAGTTCAAAAGATCACGATGAAGCCGCATCTTCTATACATAAAATTTCAAAATTTGAGGTGAAAACAGAGGTGGTACGAAGAGGTACCAAGTAGTACTAGGATGGTAACGAGTGGTAATGGATGGTATGCTTTCCACAATATATCGTATTTTGATATCATTTTGTAGATCACAATTAATTAACTTTATAAATAAAAAAAATCAAAATAAAATATAGAAGATACAATTCGAATAATAAAAGTGAGGAAATATATAATATTTTATTCTCAACCCTTAGATTTAGTGGTGGTAAATGAAGATCTTAACCGATAAACGAATAGATAATAATGATTAGTGATTAATCAATAACTGATAATTTCTTAGTGATTGGATTTCGGCTACCTATATTTTTGTTAGTGGTAAAAGGGGGTAGGATATTATGCCTACGGCCTACCCTTAAAAGGGTTGGTTTTTTGACACCCCCTTCTCAATTGGTCAATTTTTTCATTAATCATTGACAAGT